AAGAGACAGACAGGCCAGAAAAGGCAAATGCACGCCCTTAATTATTTTGCGCTTTGCCTGACACAATCGAATGCTTTGCGTCTGAGGTTTTGCAATACTCGAACCACCGCGCGAGTCACATGGGCGCCTGCTGTCACGACAGATGCACGGCTCGCCTTGCCGGCGCCGAGTCGCGCACCGCCAGCGCTTTTGAGTGCCAGCCTACTTCAACGCAGTGCATCTACCTACCCATCCCGCGTGGCTTGTCCACGGTGTGGCATTCGCTGGCTACGGATTGGTTGCCATGGAATGTCACCACACTCATAAAGAGAGAGGAGGATTCTCGTCGGGTGTTGACGATTCCCTTATCCGGGTGGGCATGACTCGCAGCGCGGTTCCGATGACGCCCGAGTGTATGTAGCGTTGCGTTTTGTTCTAAGACCGGCAATCCGACGTGCCGGTAATCTGTACTGCGACGCACGCCGGATCGATTGGGATTGCTTTTTTGTTCTTTTTTCCCTCTGGAATTTTCTTCTTTCCCTCTCTCTTGAGCACAGACTGGCTTGGTGGGCCTGGTGTGACTTTGTCGTCGTCTTGGATGATGGGCATGATGACACGCATGAGGATGGCATCTCGTTATCTGCAGGGCTGAGGAGGGGTCTAAAGTACCAAGCAATGTTTGCATACACGTGATGATGCCTTCGGTGGACAGACGTATCGCTGGTGGTGGATGTCTGTGTCCACCGCAGTCTGACGTGCAGCCAGTCCTTACTGAGAAAAGGTGACCCCATTCGACTTCTTTTTTTCCTACTTTCTGCCCCGAGTAATGCCGTCATCGTTCGTCTGAACATTTCGCAGCCATGAGTCGGACACACCACAAATAACCATCAGCTGCTGCACACAGAGTGGGAAAGCCGCATATTGCAAGAATTATACACACCGTACCATGTTTTCATATTTAGAAAATTCCCATGTACTGTATTGCGTACGTCCTTCCCCCTGTGTCTCGTGACCCAGGCCTTGTGGCACCTGTTCATGGCATGAGGTGAAGAAACCTGGTATCGACTGGGTGGCTCACCTTGTTCACGCCCTAGGCGCCCGACAACATGTGGGACCAGGGCGCCTTCAACGGCGGCCGTCGTCGAACGAAAGCCCTGAGACGGGGAATTCCACAGCTTGGTCTGGCTCCACTCGCTTGCAGGTGCTACAGGGCACGCTCGGCAAATTTTCTAATTCTTTCCCTTGCCTGTCCTTTGCACCGTCTTATCCCCCTTCCAAACCTGTCCCTATGTCTGACCGCTGCTGCTCGCTGCTGCTGCTGCTGCTGCATGCGTGCATGCATGGTGACAGCTTTCCCCAGACTCTTTGCCCTGGTTGCGCCATGCACTGGCAAGTGCCGAGGGAATGTTCGCTGCGGTCCCACTCGAAGCCCAGAAAATTTCCAGAGCTATCAATAGCCACGCCAATTTTGTGAGGCTGACTTACCGCCCCGAGGAACATCCGATTGCTCTGGCAGGAGGGAAATTGTGGAGGGTGTGAGGTCATCGATGGCGCCCTCACACCGAGGTGGGTTCGGGATGCCGCTGGGTTGGGTTTCGACCGTGGCGTGGCTGTGGGTTGTGGTTGTGTAGGGCAAAAAGGAGGGGTTCCGAACGAGTGTGTGGACACCTCTTGCCCCTCTGCCCCTCCGTGCTGCCCCGGGAGTCGAAGGATCCTGAGGCCATCGTGCTACAATGCTGTCCTACCAAACCTGCCAGGCATGGTGGTTTGGAGACTCCCGAGGGCTCCTCCCTGCTTTTCTTGCGAACGACCCTCTCCACATGCTTGGAGTGTGACTCACAACAGCGGAGATGCCGTACGGACCACTTCATATCTGAACATCGTCGATGACAGTTCCGATAGGGCTTCGTGGTACAGTCAAGTCAGCGATGGTCTGATGCTTGAGCGCAGAAGGCCCGCTGCTCATTATGCTCCCTCGCATTTTCGATCTTCAGGGACCGCTCTAGACAAGGCACCACCCTGAACCATTCATCGGGACGGACAGGAGACATTCCCGCGCGGATGGTATCGAAGTGAATGGAATACCAACGAAGCATTGCTGCCGGCTTTGCAGTCTGGGTTCCGCATCAACAGGCTCGGGACGTGCCCGCGCGGGCTCCAATCACCAACCGGCAACTGGTCAGGCACGCCAGCTGGCCGTCTTGTTGTCTGGTTGGAGAGGGGTGGGATCTCGATCAGATCTGGCTCCCGCGCATATATACCTGTGGCTCCCACATATCGCTTCCGTCTTTTTGGCCGTAGCCGCTGTAGCCCGGCAGGCCAATGATTCCATCAGATGATATCAAGCGGGATGGTGACGTTGCCCGGTTGCGTTGACAGAACAGTGACAGAGGATATGGTTCGTACGGTGGAAGTCTTGGTATTGTATCATGGGGCTAGAACCTACGTTCATAGGCCTTCATTATCGGAGTCTACACGAGAGCCAGAAATAAATGGTTCGGATAAAGCAGTCGATATTCTTGGGGGGCGGCAATGGCACGAAGATATTCACGCGTGCCTATATCTTATGGGAGAAACTTTAAACTTATCGCATAAGTATCATGTTGAATATTGCAGACTGCAGTACAAGATGTTGTAGACATGATCACCACACTCAGGGCTACAGGCTATGATGTATGAGTCTATTCCTCGTGGGACTACGTGTCCAGACGTCCCTTTCGCCGACGATGATGAGGGAACCTTTCATCGGCCACAAGTTGTCACGGCTCCACATCCAACCCAGGCTTCCGACCTCCAAAGGACCAGTGTTGTCCACGAAAGACTTAGTGACGTGGATTGTCTTGGTACTGGGTGTATAATCCTATACACAACTAAGATGTTTGCTCCCAATATTGAAATGTAGACGTGACTTACTTCCAAGGCAAATTGACAGATGAGGCGGGCATGGAGTTTTGTATCATTTCTAGCAACATGGGCGCGTTCTACCTTGCTGGTAGAGTCTTTCCTCCGACTTATGCGGCAGGATTGCTCGCAGGCTTCCGAGACAGATCTTTGATCAACGATGATGCTCATTAACATCACATTAATTTAAATAATACGACAGAATTACGTGTGCTACCAGTCATTGTTCAACTGATAGTCCAGGTCTTGGAAGTGGAAACGATCAGCATACCAACCTGACAGCTATCGGGTCAAACTCAAAGCAAAATCATTAAGGTGTTCTTATATGAGGCTCTCAGATCTCGGTAAAGTGTGAATCCGGCCCCAGTAAAGTTTGACAGTGTCTTGAGCTGCGAAGTATAGAGATATCCCGAGTGGTGGAAAGAAGTCACACTAGAGCTCAGATTGGGAAGATCCTCAATTTGATGTTTTACCCACCAATGTGAGGAGTAAAGCAGCAAGTCTACATAGAGTCTCCCAATTGTATTGTTCGTTTCATATTTATCGCACATTGTGATACATTTTTTGCTTTTGTTTTCCATTTCATCACGTGTCTGTTTGTGCCCCAAAGATCGTCATCACGAGCAATTTATTGATAGACACTCCTCCCCACGTGGGTTGCCTGGACGTCTCAGGTAAAAATCTAGTTGAGCTTGGTCCTATCTCGGAGGGTCTCGTGGCCAACAACTTCTCCGGCGTTCATCCTGTCGTACCGCTGGCTTGAGGCATCCAATCGTTACCATCCTGCTGCAGAAACAATTCAACAATTCCTGTACAGCAGGAATGAGCTTGCCCTTGGCTAATGCAACGGATCAGATGTTCAATGTGGCATAATGTTTGGAAAGAACTGAGCGTGTTTCATCAAGCCACCGAGTATAGTGTTAAGGATCTGCATTTTGTGTGATTGATGAGATTTTCACTTTCACAGCTGCTGTCAGGAAGACAGTTGACGTAAATCCTTGGCGAGCGACGCAGAAACTTGAATGTCACAGGCTTGAAGTAATGGCCAGTCCAGATTACTCTAGAATACGCAGTGCTCTCAGTTGAAGCACGTTTCTCTGCACAGAAATCACTAGTAATCGAAGCAACGGCTTGGGTTGAAATTGCCTAGACCAATCATTCCAGGACGTATGTACGCTCAGCCAAATCAAGGGAACTGCTGAATGAGCGCAGAAAGCTCACAGGGCTCTTGAATCAGGACACCAGTGCTTGAAGATTCGCGTATGATTGCCCGCAGATACTTATTTCTGAGATCATGGTGGTGCCTTCCATTTAGAACTGATACATCTCCCATATGCGAGAACACTGCTCTTACAATGAAATCGGTCATGTTATTGATTGATCTGGTTCTGAATAAAAGGCAGTCACGCCAAGTATGGGAAGACATACGATTAAACCTCGAGAGATTCATTGCGTCCTTTGTGTGATTCAGCTCTTTGAGTGGGCTTCGTAGCGCGGTAGTGCTGTTGTATACTTCACTGATACAATATCATTTTCATGTCTGAGGTACAGAGGCAAGAGGCAGCCAAGAGGCTCCATGAAAGAGTCAAGTCGCTATACTTCCTTCTCTGCGCCATGTTATTATACTGTAGGAGACATGGGTATAGTCATGTAATTGATTAGTCGAACATTACAGAGTAGGCTTTATTAGACAGGCAGCCGGCCTGCCAGTAAATAGTAATTGATCTTCGCGCTCAACCTCATCCTATGAAACCTACTTTTTATCATGAATGCCCTTCAGAATTCGCTCACGTGTGTGTCTAGAAACAAAGAAGCACCCGTGGAACAATTCTTGCGCGGGAGCGCTGTTACATGGAATGACCGGAAACGGATACATAAGCTGAGCCCTCGAACAAACACCAAGAATTGACAAAGCTAGACCAGTCTGAGTGGCAGATTCATAGAATTGTCAATTAGTTGGATGATTGAGACAAGTCTCTCACAGTCATGAGTTTGGCTCCCTTCTATAAAGCTCCATCGACTTCCCGGAGCAGTCTGTAGTCCCAATGCCTTCCTCCTGACCCCAACTCTGTAAACACTTATAAACACCCAGTGCAAGAAAAATACTTAACCCTTGAGCCATGGCTTCTTCAAAAAGGCCCAATACGGATGTCGAGCACAACAAGGTCACATTGGGTCGATCGAAAATTCGCAGAGGAAAGGACGGGAAGGCGCTTGTGGACGCCATTCGCAATAATGTACTATTGTTTCTACAAAACCTCAGCGATGAAGAGGCGCAGAACTATTCACAGAAAAAATTCGAAAGCACCCTCTCAAGTGCAGTCGCAGGAGCGCTCGACCCGGGTGTGGGACCCGAGGCGGTCGTCGACCTCAGGGAACACGGCTACGACAACACGATCCTGTATGCCAACAGACAAGGAGGACAGCTGATGGCATCGCTCCTGAATCTGATCGATGACAATGCGGAGGGTCTGCTCGCCAAGATGCGGCAAAACCTGGATGACCAGACGTCGAGAGCGGACCAGGTCGAGCAGACGCTTGCTTACCTCCAAGGACTGATCCCCATTAGCCCAGCCGGGCAGAGCCATCTGTCCATGGACATCGAAGCACTCGAAGAACCAGGCGCGAATTCTGGCTGGATGTACGGTGTACTGTGGGCAGCGGTCATGCAGTGGATGGACGCGAGGCTCAGACAGATGAGAATGTATGGACAAGCAACTGGTAGAGGCCCGAAGGAGCCGCCGAGTCTAGATGAACGCACCAAGATGATCAACACACGTGTGCATGGGGGAGACCTGCGTGTCGATGCGATTATTTGTAACATCAGCTTTGGTGACCACCGGCACGCCGACCCTCATTACCAGGGATTTTTCAAGGACGCTTTCGTGGAGATGTACCAGCTGAAGGTAGACGACGGATACTGGTTGGGTGAGTACGAGTATGCCCTGCAAAACAAACGTCACGATCTAGACTGACAGTATCCGGCGAACAGCGAAGCGTGGGGACGAGACCAGTCAGGGAGTTGACTGGCCTCACATCATAGGCATTATGAATAAATACGTCGCTGTGATGGATTCCCTGATACTTCTCGCTAAAAAGCTGCCCGTTGACTTGAACTTGGTCCATAAAGACCAATACAAACCCTATGCAGCTCACGTCACAAGCCTCATCACGCAGGCAAGGAATAGCGAGACTTGGCAAGCAAACGGAGCAGCGCTGCAAATCCTTGACACACGTGAAAAAGCAGTGATCAATATGCTCAAGAAATGCACAGTCAAGAAAAATCCGACGAACCAATGGGACCTGCACAAAACCCCACTGACAAACTGGCCACCGGCGGCCTACTTGAGAGACGCGGCCGGTCCACAGCAAAGGACTGCCGGCACGGCTGGCGCGCCGATGACGCTTCGGACTCAGCCGAGAGTCAAGTATGGGCCCTGAGCAGTTAGGGACTGGCACACAGAGAGACGTCAGCAGGCAAGGCTGGCAAAGCACGCGGGCTCGGCCTGCGCAGCTTGCCCAAGTTGAGGGTATCACCAACATTCCAGAAGATAGATTCCGATGCCGTAATAATGTTCATACCGCTGTTCTTCCTGCAAGTCTACCATAGCTTAAACCCACTCGAGACTCTATCGGGCCGGTAGGCCACAAGGTGATCCAGTATCTTGCCCTCCTCCAGCACCTTCCCGCCCAAAACGTCGATCTTGTACTTGTCGCCCTTGACCTGGATCTTCGCAAAGCCCTCTCGCGTCAGGCCCCTCACGATCCCGCTGAAGGGCCCCTTGACCGCCCTGCCGAGCGCCTCAAACGGCGCCGCAATCTTGTCCATGACACCGCCACTGCGCCCCGATGCGCGCGCGGCGGCCGTTTCTCCCCTGCCCACAGGCGTAGACTGCATCTTGAAGGGCAGCGCGACCTCCTCGGGCGCGACGACGATCTTCTTGGGCGGCAGCAGCGGCAGCATCTGGCTGAGGGCGACCTCGAGGGCGACGGGGCTGGCGTTGAGGGCGACGAGCGACCTCTCCTCGGCCTTAGAGCGACTTTTGGCCGTCCCGCCGGTCAGGTAGGACCGCGGCAGGGAGTCGCGCGGCACGGCCCTGATGGAGCTGACGATGTTGGCGGCGCCCAGGGCGAAGTGGCCGCCGAAGTAGCCCATGAGCATCAGGATGGGCACGAAGGCGTGCGGCACCCACCACGGCAGGCCCTCGGGCGGGTGCACCATGATGCTCCAGTAGTGCACGCCCACGTAGCCCATGCAGAAGACGGACGCCGACAGCCCCGACGCGCGCAGCCAGAAGTGCGACGGCCCCTCGTACAGCACCGTGGGCGCGCCGCGCTGGGCAAGACGCTCGGCGACGGACAGGGCGACGGCGTTTTGTTTTGCCGTGGCTGCTGCCGCGGCGGCTGGTGTTCCTTTTGTTGGCTGGTATGGGAGGGTCGGCGGAGGTGGCTTCTTCGGGGCTGGTTTCTGCTTGTTGCCCGAGGGGGCGTGTTTCTGTTTGGCGTGGAGGTGGGCTGATGTCTCGAAGGTGCGTATTGATCGTATCGTTCGGCGCGCTTGGTATATCCGTGTCGCACAGGGTTGGAAACAGTTCGCGCTGCCGGCGGATCGGGGCAGCAGGAGGAGGATATCGCGGCCGAGGCCGTAGCCCCTCGAACAGGAGGCCATGTTGGGTGGTGTTTGCTCAGAAATAGCAAGATGATGCCCTTCTGCTTGTAGAGATTGATCAGTCAGAGAACTAAAGCTCCCAACACTGCGTACTATGCGAAGAAGTGGAAAGACCAGCCGCTAACGCCGAGAAATGAAAGAGTTGGAGCAAAATCATGTGAAGTTGAAATGCGCCGGAGCACCCAAAAATCGTCGGCCGGCGACAGGGATTTGGCTTTCGGCGTTGGGGTTGCACTGATTGGTCAATTGCCCGCAACAAGTCGGGAACCAGTACCTGTGTGCATCAATACTTCATTTCACTTGTTTCTCTGAGCCGCAAAATTCCATCAGAGCAAGTCTACGAGTAGATTCAGTTTCAACCAGTCTACATGCTGAAGGTTTTGAGGATCTCCGGGAGTGAAATCTGTGTTGCTCCCGTCATGGTTGACTTCAAGGTATTTGTTAATTCTACTGTAGTAGTAGTAGCTCATAGCAATGCAAGTGCCCCTCAGAACAGTCCAGCCCCTTGAGTACCTGGACAAATGATTACTATCTTGAAGGATTGAACTCATAAGATGCTACAATAGTATCCGAAGCACGCCAGCCCTACACATCTGGTTAGTGGATACCGTTTTGTTGGTGCACAGCCCGCAGATTATGTAGACGCTGAACAAACAGATTTCATGAGTGACCTTCTCTGCCAGCAATATTCTCTCAGACGATGCCCATATACTAAGAATGGCATTGCTAAGACTAAGTTGTAGCTCTAAGATGTGGTGTTGGAGCTCCCAAGCGTATGATTCTGGGCGGGCAACGGAGGAAGTACCCACTCGAAGTATATGACTAGGTAGGTGAGCGAACCGAGTTACTCGTTCAATGTCACTGCCTGATATCGAATGCCAAGTCTGTAAAAGCCTCATTGGAGGCAGTCAGATAGAGAAAACGAAATATTTTCAATATTGAAGTGCTCTGCATTTAGGCCCAGGTACCTGCACGAAAACCGGCGGATCTGCACCACAGCCAAGAGAGGTTCGGAGCTTGAGCTGGAGCTGGCCTGATCCCTGTCGGGCAAAAGCTCATCAATTGGGGAGACCCGGACACCGATCGGTTCCCAACGGGACCTCGAGGGCCAAATTATTTCTCGCTGCCCGCGACAGTCTTCCCCTCCGTTTTCGCACCCGCCGCACGCCAACACCCTACCCTGCCTCGCCCATTGCAAACGTCGCCAACTCACCTGCACTCTCACATCGAGGGGCGCCTGACAAGAGTTGCCGACGATGGCTTCCCTCGCCTCTGCTTGCCGCCTGTCCTCCAGGCTGGCGCGGTCCAAATTGCCTCACGAGGCAGCTGCTCGGGGTCCGTAATCAGCAGCACCCAGCACCCCCCCCCCCCCCAGACCACACCACCACTGCCGGTGAACCTCATACTGATATGATTCTTTGCGCACACAGGCTTTCGCACGTCGGCTTCCTCCCTAGCCGCCCAAAACTTCACAATGCCCGCCCTTTCCCCGACGATGACCGAGGGCAACATCGCAACTTGGAAAGTCAAGGACGGCGACAAGTTCTCCGCTGGTGACGTCCTCCTGGAGATCGAGACGGACAAGGCGACTATGGATGTGGAGGCGCAGGAAGACGGTATCATGATGAAGGTTCTGACCGGTGACGGCGCCAAGGGTGTGCAGGTTGGCTCGCGGATTGCCGTGATCGCCGAGGAGGGAGACGACATCAGCACGCTGGAGATCCCTGCGGATGAGGCTCCGAAACAAGCATCCGCCACCAAGGCACCAGAGAAAGACTCTAAATCAGAGCCGGTACCACAAGAGGAGCGGACCACATCAGAGCCTGCCACACATGGCGCTAAAGGGAGCGGGAAGGCTCAGAAGCAGACATACCCTCTGTTCCCCTCAATTATCCAACTGCTCCACGAGAACGGCATCGACGAGTCCAAGGTACACGAGATTCCTGCGACCGGACCCAAGGGCCGTCTTCTGAAGGGCGACGTCCTGGTCTATGTTGGCAAGGCAAAGGCCGACTCGGCGTCCAAGGTGGAGGAGCGGTTCGAGAAGTTGGCACACCTGGATCTCAGCAATATCAAGGTGGCTGCGAAGGTAGAGAAGAAGGTCGCACAGGAGAAGCCGGCCAAGCCAGCTGCACCTGTACTGGAGGACTTGCAGGTTACTCTGCCCATCTCGCTGGCGCAGGTGATCGAGGTACAGGGCAAGGTGCAGGAGACCCTTGGTGCATTCCTGCCACTATCCACATTCATCGCGCGTGCCACCGAGGTCGCCAACGACGAGCTGCCCCTGGCGGCCGATTACAAGCCGTCCGCGGACGAGCTGTTCAACCAAGTGCTGGGCCTGGACACCGTGGGGCCACAGGGCTCAAAGGGACACTATCTTCCACAGATCTCTGCGCTTCCACCACCGGCATCGTTGTCGCAGAAGAGCTTCACCGCAGCCAAGCCGGACATATATGATATCCTCCTTGGGGGTTCGGCCAGCAACAAGACAGCTGCCCCACCCAGCAGGCCGGCGGGTCTCTCTACGGGCGTGAATGTTTTCTCCCTCAAGGTGCCCAAGGCCGAGGAGCAGAGGGCCAAGATTTTCCTCGAGAGGATCAAGACCGTCTTGGAGAACGAGCCTGGCCGGCTAGTTCTGTGATGAAATACAGTATAACCCACAAACAGCGAAGCCGCTTTTTATGCGCACACTGTACGAATACCAATTTGCATTCAATAGACACCGTGGCAAGCCTTCTATGCATGTATCAATTTGCGATCTACTTAAGTGATTGTGATTCATTGTGATGTACTCATCTCATTCCAGGTCTAAGTCTACGCGGCTTATGATATCGGACTGAGTCGACGGCCCAGACGACGCCTTGTAAGCATTATCACCAGCCGTATCTAACCCCCTGAGTCGGACCAATCGGCGTTTGGCTCCGCTGCTGGACATAGGCTTCCAACAGTACCTGAAAAGGATTCATAATAAGCTTTCCGTCCTCCAGAAGTTCACCCCGATTCCTTCCTGATTACACATTGCTCTGGAGGACACAGTCGATCCTAACTCATTGCCCATGGCTTCATCTGTCTTCATGACACATATATGCGTGTATCTGCTCACAGCCAAACCGCAGTCGCGGCTTGTGCCACCTCGCCGTTCTCCCGCTCCAGCTTCGTCATCGCGACCTCCCTGAATTTCCTACCATCAAACCCAAGAATGACCACAAAGCCCTGCTCGCTATCCGTCAGAGCTATAAACTCCTCCCCAGTCTCTGAAATCGGCCCAGGCGCGGGCTCGATAGCATTCGCAAGCCCACCACTCGTCCTCGTCTCGAAGATGTCGACCGCGGGGCCGTTGATGTCGCCGTCGTCGTTGAGCTCATACGCGGCGACGTAGCCCTTCGTCTCGGGCTGCAGGCCGCGGGTCGAGGCGTAGAGGAACCTCGGGCTCACCCCGTCCTCGGCCGTGTTGCTGAGCCGCACCTCGTCGGCCCAGAAGTCTTCGCACCGCTTGCCCTCCGGCAGGATGGCGAAGCCGTGCATGTGCTCGAGCGAGACGCCGTCGTCCGCCACGCGGAACGCGTCCACCATGCTGCTGTGCTCCTGCACGCAGTACAGCACGCGGCCGCTCGGGTGCGGCCAAGTGTGGCGGGGGCCGTCGTTCGTCCGCGGCGAGATGTGCTTGGAGCCGAGGGCCAGGGGCGGGCGGCCCTCCGCGGCGGACTCGTCGACCGAGTACGTCCAGATGCAGTTGTGGCCTATGTCGGCGACGTACAGGCTGCGGCCGTCGGGCGACAGGTCGACCGAGTGCGAGCCGTGGCGCAGGCCGCCGAAGCTGCCGTGCGCGACGCCGCTGCGCTTGCCGTCGTCCAGCTCCTCGGCCCGCCGGAACGACACCTCCTGCGCCAGGGCGCCGATGCTCCCGTCGGCCGCCAGGGCGAACACCTCGCCCGAGGGCCCGCCCGCCGAGTACAGGTGCCGCTCAGTCACGGCCACGTAGCCGCTCAGCGCCCGCACCGGCTTTTGGTTTAGCAGCTCGACTGATGCGTCGTCGCGGATGCGGTACGACGCCACTGAGGGGGGATCCGTCCAGCACGTCGTGTAGAGCCGTGTCTTGTCCTTGGACAGGGCGAGCCACGAGTGGCCCCCCACCGCTGGGGACGTCCTGGCCACGCTCAAGGATGCCTGGCCATCGGGCTGGCTGGCTGGCTTGAATAGTAATGTGTAGACCTCGGGTGATCTGAAGGTGCCGACTAGCAGCAGGAACCCATCTTGGACCATTGTTCAAAGGGCACAGTCGGATGTGGGCGTGTCAAAGGAGGGGCACCGTGTGTGCAACATGCACATGTATATGTGGACTAACACAGGGGGCCCTATACCGCCAGGACGTAAGATATGTCGATGTAAATAGATGCTCTCTTCCCTAGATCACAAGCACAGAAGAAGACTGGAGATTATGTGTAAAAAAGTAAATAAAGAAGCAAAAGTCCAAGTAGATTATGGGTCGATCAACAACCTTAGTGTCCGTCTTTAAAGCATGGGAGAGGGATGTGTCGGTACTTGGGTGGGATGAGGTGGACTTCTGGGTCTACATTATGTGACGAGTGCGGATAAGGGGCAGCGTCATCAAATAGGCGGTATCACAAGAAGCGGAGAGGATACAAGACGAGGAGAGCCAGTCGTCACTTTTTCTTTTTTTCAACAAATTATCTAAGGAAGAAAAAGAATGACCGAAGCAGCTGCTGGGCGAGGAGGGTATATCAGAGCTTGGGCGATGGTGAGACGATGGGCTATTAACCGTCCGTCCCTAGGGTGTAGACATCGTGGGACTGGCGCGGGTATGAGCGTATGGTGCTCAGACAGGGCTGGGCGCTGTAGTCTGCTTTTTTGCCTGCAGTCCTCTAACACGTCGAGGTTGGAATAGTAGCGGGAGTAGGCCCGTGAAAGGCAATCGATCGGATGTCCAGATCGAGGATATGGGTGCGTCTTCCGACGGCCATGTTGTGCGCGCCCACAAGCCGCCCAGCAAGGTTCAACATTTGCTCCAACTCCGACTCGCCAGGACTCTCTTCCTCTTCCCCTCTAGTCCCTTGTCATCTATCAATTAATCCCATGTTGACTTGTTAATCTGTCGTCCCATGTCCAGTCAGGAGATATCCGCGGCTAGTATCGGAAACCTTCGTGCTTTGAGCCTCTTTCACAGGTCCGCACCAACCAATACATACCCCCCCTTTTTGCCCCCCAGGTCGCCCAAAGTCCTAACCCTTCATAGTACAGAGCAAGGTTGCAATCTGGACCACAATCCATGATCTCACCATGCGACAAGTCGGTCCGGCAACCGTTATCATGCACCTATCATGGCCGCACCTATGTCTCTCCCCCATCTCTGTATCTCCTGACAGGGTGTGACAAGCAAGAGATAACGATATGATGGGCAACGACGCATGATCGGCCCTTAGATGGGCCCTTAAATATGTAGGCCCTCGTGGGCTTATATTGCGGGGGAAAGAGAGATGTGTAGGACCACCAGTCGCTGTCTTTCACCGTAAACAGTACGACTGACCTCGTGGGCTACAGCACCAACATGAGAGAGCAAGACTGGACTGATGAATCGGCATGGCCCCCCGGGACCGTACGCCTGGAGAAACTCCTCGGAGCCGGCGCGGGCAATGCTTCTCAGACCGAGATCATCCTGCAGCCACGCCCGACCAGCGACCCCAATGACCCCTTGGCGTGGCCGAGATGGAGGAAATACCTCAACTTTGGTCTTGCGACCTTCTATGCTATGATGGCTTTCGGTCAGATCAATGCAACTACGCCTACCTGGGGGCCAATGATGGACGAGCTAGGCTTTGATGCTGTTCTCATGTGAGTGCTAACAGCCTTCACTTCTACATGGTCCTTCCTATACTCTGTCTGCCTGCATTTTGCTGCTACTCCAGGGGATAACTTCGACGTCACTTAATAGATGACTCTTTTTGATGCCGGTGGAGCATTGCTTGCTGACTATCAGCACAGGAACAACACCTATGCCATTGGCTGCGCAACGCTCGCTCTGGGCAGTTTCATGCTGATCCCCTTTGCGCTCAAGTACGGCCTGCGTCCAATCTATATCCTCAGCAGTGCCGCTCAGATGGCCATCATGATCTGGGCTGCCAGGACCATGACAGGGGGTGACTGGTGGGGTGTGAACGCACTCCAATGCTGGGTGGGGTCACTCGCCGAGACCATGGTGCAGATGACGGTTGCCGACGTCTTCTTCGTCCACCAAAGAGGCCTGATGAACTCGATCTACATCTGGGCGAGCAACTTCGGCTCTAGCTTGACACCTGTTGCTGCCGGGTTTGTCACGGCTTCGCAAGGCTGGAGATGGGTGTGGTGGTGGATGGCAATTTTCTTCGGAGTGGTTCTCATTGCGTTCATCTTTGGATTTGAGGAATCGAAATTCGACTGGACTGCAGCGGTTATCCATGGCGTTCATCCGTCGCCGGACGTGGGCAGCACGCATAGCGATGCCGAAGCGCAGGCCGAGAAGAAAAAGCCAGCATCGGACTCCGAGAAAGCAGCCCTGTCAAATCTGTCGCCGAGTGAAGAACCCCTCACGTCTATCCAGATCGACCCATCCATACCTCGCAAGACATACTGGCAGAGGCTAAGCCTCGCAACCACAACCCCGGGGTCGTTCATGCTGTTCGCGCGCCATGCATATCAGCCCTTCCAGATACTCTTCACCATCCCCGGGGTGGCCTACATGTCTCTGGTCTACGCTGTGCTCTTGGCATGGTCCACAGTCATGTCTGCAGCTCTCAGCACCTACATGATCCTGCCGCCTTATGATTTCAACTCGACCCAAATTGGCCTCATGAACCTCGCTCCTTTCATTGGCAATACGCTGGGCTCGCTGATTTGCGGTCCTCTGAGTGACTGGACTATCCTGCGGCTGGCAAAGAGGAACAACGGCATCTATGAGCCCGAAATGCGTCTTTGGGTCTTTGTGCCCTTCATCCCTTTCCAGGTTGCGGGCGCCTTTTGGTTTGGTATGTCTTTCCTACTTAAATCTGGATTCTGTATCCGGAATGCACCGACCCATCTAAGCGGCCTGCTTTCCAGGCAGATTGGCCTTTGCAGAGGACGCTTCGGCCTGCTAGTCAGGTGCAAGTTCAGCAAGAGCCAATCACCTTACAAGCGGAGCACACTGTCATTTCTCAGATATTGACACTGCCGTGCCAATTCCTTCCGTCCGTGTGTGGCACCCTTTACTGACGAAGTAAGCAGGCTACGCTCTGCAAGGCGGCCAGTCTTGGGTCGCTGTAGCCTTCGCCTTTGGCATGTGTAACTTTGGATCCGCCCCAATTTCGAGCATTGCGTTGACATATATGACTGATGCCTACAATGAGGTCAGAGACTACTCCACATGCTACAAAAGAAGACGCTGACAAAGTCATGCCTAGATCATCGGTGACGCCCTGGTCGCGCTCACGTTTGCGAGGAATACTCTCAGCACTATATTCGTCTTCGCAATGACCCCGTGGATACAACGCGTCGGCATGGCTAATGTGTTCAACACTATTGGGGCTATTGGGCTTACCGTCCTACTATTTGCTTTCGTATTCCTGTGGAAAGGCAGGTTGTGGCGCGCTCAGAACACCAATCGCTACAAAGAATTTGCTGCGAAGCAGTTTGATCCTCGACCCATTGACAACCACGTGTAGGATTTTACCCACGTGGAAGGTTGGTCGAGGCCAAATGCGGTGTAATGCGCCACGTGCAATTCACCAGGCAATTCCTCAATTCCCTCGGGTAACCTGTTAGAGGATCATTGAAGCCTAGACATGGGGTAATGATCTTCGAGGGGCAATTGAAATTCTCCGAATTGAAGATACTCCTTTCACCTCGTCACCATAGCGGGTTCTGTGTTGGTGGTTTCGATGTGCTTGCCAACATATGTCTTATATCCACAAATTGATTCCTGCGTAACACGGCCGTAACGGAAGCGGACGAGAATCGGTAAATTGTGACATCAGCCATGAGCAAAAGAGAAAATTCGTGTACGGTTCGTGGGTCAGACATGAGCTGCAGCTAAAAGTAAATTGGCAATCCTGCTGGCGAGCATGTCGATCCTGCTGACTCCGCCGACCCAACGAAGGAGCTGGTCGCCTTACGGCGCGGCTGTACCAACAGCGCGAGAATCAGCCCCCAACACCCACATCTCGAAGACTCAGCCGCACGAACACATCATTTTGGGTTACATTCATGGTGGTTGCACACGAACGCGCCTCAGTAATCCTCTTCAAGGATACATACATAAAGTCGCCATGCGCCGCCGGCCGCCCCTCCACAGGAAGGATTCAGCGGTGCTGACCTGCTGCCCTTCCACTCCCACGCCCAGCCCTTGAGACACTGGCTGCATCGTCCAAACATGATTTTCTCACAGCCATTGGCGAGTGCGGCCGCTCTGCTAGCCGTGCAGAGCGCCTCTGGTGCCGCCGCGATAGCAGTTGACAAGGTTAGGAGGAACGAGTCGACCATCGTCAAGTACACGCTGCCACAGGACTCGAGTGACCCAGCCGTGCGAGCAACAGAGCTCGACACCACGCGAGCTGGATGGTCCTACGGGCCGCCCGTGGCTGGCGGGCCGTACTATCCCTCTGGAGAGCTCGGGGTCGCAGCAGGCGCGGCAGACCTGGCGTCCCTCCAGGCCGACCTTGCAGCAGAGCAAGCCCTTGTGACGGAAGACGCCGCAGCGGCCGCTGCTGGAGAAGCAGCGGGAAAGGTATGTAATCAATTCCCAGCCTTGTCCATCGGGGCCTTTCACTGAACTTTCGGATCAGTACAACAACTTGACGACTGTGAAAGACTATGAGCTGTTGTACGATGGCGAGTGGTTGAACGCACTGCCAAAGGGCCCCGTCCCGGGCGTTCTCACAAACTACACCCAGGAGCTGCTCTTTTCGATGGAGCGGTTGTCGACCAGCCCCTATGCTATCAGGAGGCTCATCCCTGGGCGCGACGGGATGCCCTTCTGGGTAGACGACTCGGTGACGCTCAAAGTCGCAGGCGCGCCCCTTTGGGCTCTGTTGCTAGAAGGTCGTCTCTTCTATGCGGATCACTCGAACCAGGCAAACCTTCCTCGGACCGACCGGTACGCCCCGGCCTGCGACGCCCTGTTTTTCATCGACAAAACCTCAGGGAATTTCCTCCCGTTGGCCATCCGGACCGGCGTTGGGCAGAGTACCATCTACACGCCCGAGGATAGCGACGAAGACTGGCTCCTAGCAAAGATCATGTACAACGTCAACGACTTTTGGTTTGCTCAATGGAACCATCTTGCTGCCACCCATCAGGTCCTGCAGATCACCTGGCTTGCTGCCATCAGGGCGTTGAGCGTGGAGCATCCCATCCACGCTTTGCTTGATCGCCGTACGTATGATCCTTTGAGACTGTGGTTGGGTGTGCTTGTACTGACCTGTTTTGACCATAGTAACCTTTCAGTCTTTTGCTGTACAGCCGCTTGCATTGAGCGTCTTGTTCGAGTCTGGCGGTGCGGTGGACAGGGTTTTCGGCTTTACAGGCACCGCGGCGCAGGACTATGCCACTCTGCTATACAACAGTGGCAGTGGTGACTTCCAGAGTAACTACTTCATTAAGGATCTGGAGACAAGGGGTCTCCTCAACTCCAAGTTCGGCCCTGCGTTGAACCACTTCCCGTTTTACGAGGACGCCTCCGTAATTTATACGGCAACCAGGACATTCATGAAGTCCTTCGTGGACTCATATTACAAGTCCGACTCGGATGTCAAAGCCGACACTGAGCTCCAGGCGTGGGCGAAAGAGGCCAACGGGCCGGCTGAGGCACACGACTTCCCCTCGACCATCGCGACCAAGGACACCGTCGTCGACGTCCTCACGCACGTGGCTCACCTCGCCTCGACGGCCCACCACGCCGTCAACACCAACCAGCTGCTGTCCGTGTCGTCGACGCTGCCCTTCCACCCGCCGGCACTCTACTCGCCGGTGCCGAACACCAAGGGCGGCGACACGGACGTGGTGGCGTTCTTGCCGTCGTTCGAGCAGGTCGTCACGCAGCTCAGCTTCGCGGGGCTATTCGCGCGGCCGTTGCTGGTGAACACGAACCGCAGCCTCACTCACATGTTCGATGACGCCGACATGCTCGCCAAGATGAACCCACAGACGACGGCGGCCGCCGCTACGTTCAAGAGCGCCATGGAGGCGTTCAGCGACCGCGTCAGCGCGCGGGGGTTCGACGCCCAGGGGCTCAGCCAGGGCATGCCGTTTGTGTGGCAGGGTCTTGATCCCAGGGTGGTGCCGTACTCGGTGACCATCTGATTGCGTCTAGACACTGACGGCCTGAGGGCCGCAGAGCTATATATATATATTGATATAATGCGCGTTTCCTTAGATATATAATTCAGATACACAGAAACGTTTAGAGACGGCCGGGGTATATCTGTAGGCACGTCGGCAGATCTGGAGGGCTAGGTGTTATATCCGATGGGGCCCAGACTGGGTCCTCCACCGGCAACTGCACCCATCGCCCGGCACTGCGATTCTCTCAAGACGGAGTTAGAGATGGATGCTTTTCTGGTTGTAACGCACTACGCGGACGTATTCTCACCTAATAGTACTTAGGTAGTAAGCATAGTTAGTAATGCAACTAAATACTAGTAGTAAACTCTCGGTGCATTTGCCCAAACCGCGTTGCGGCATGATCGGCAGCTGGCCAGCTCACATCTGCACGACACGACGCTTTCATCGAGATGGCGTCGACGCCTCAATCACATCTGGGCAGGGGCACGTCGAAACCAAAGGCCCCCTTGCAATCGGGTTGGTTAGAGGTTACATTCCTCACTGAGCAGGGCGAATTTGACTTGCCAGCTCCAGCCAGCCACGGGCAGGCTGCGAGTCAGCCCTCAACAGAGGAATGCAACAGGAAGCTTCCGAGCATCCGTGTCCCCGTTGCTGTTGTGCCATGGCCTAGCGAAGGGGAAATGAGAAGAAGCAGCAACATCAAACGCGTTGACTGTTGGTACAAGGGCCGGCCTCTATTAGCTTCTCTGTTCCTCGGCCTCCTCGTCCTCCTCCAACAACAGCGTGCAAGCTGGGAGTAATCAAGTCAAGTGAGCCGGTGCGTGCGTAGCAATTAATCTTCTTGCTCTCTCGTCACTCGAACGTAACGCACGAGACCATCACACACGCGCTTGGGCAGACATTCCAATCCCGCGTGCCTTCTCCCGGGAAACCCAAAATTTATACTCATCAGCTCACCCTGACATACTTACACGGCGGATCTGCCCCTCTTCCGATGGGCTGACCTCGCCCAACGGCAATTACTTTCTCACTTTCTCGTGCCACACGCGCGCCAGCCCATCATCCATCCGCTCACCGCATTCGTCGGTCGAAAACTCAGTTTCCCTGGAAGCCCGTCCTCGTTGTTAAGCCGCATCATACAGTCTCTACCATGAGCTCTATCGTCGCGCACTAGGCTGACCCCACTCCTGTGGATGAGACAGAGAGCCAGCCATCCGGCAAGACGGACAGCTAGGCCAGGCCAGGCCAGACCGCAAAAGACTGGGTGCTTGTCGTCTATCCGTCGACGGACGTAGCCGCATAGCATACATAGCTTCCTGCCTTCTCTGGACGCCTTACCCCGTTCCCGGTCCTGACACGGAAGAGAGACGCATACAGACACCGGGGGGCCTTAGCCGACCTTTCCGGCACTTCGCATCGCAAGAGGCTAGCAGTCACTCACCGTGGGCACACTCTCCCTCCCACCGAGAACGAGACGCGCCATCTTCCGTCCGCGTCCCCCTTCCAAGCCGGAGAGCCCCGGGAATTTGTCCGGATCCACCTTAATCCCGTCCAACTGCGCCTGGTTGGGGCCCTTGACGTCCTCCCTTCCTGCTCCCCGGGGGAACTTTCAACAAGCCCGGCGTCGGGCCGCCCATGGCGGTACCGAACCCTGTTTAATTTCTCCGGCCGCCTTCAAAAATCTCCGTTGCTGTACACCCTTAGCCCCTACCCGCGGCCCAGCTTGTCGCCATGACAAGGCCCAAGGTCCCTGATGACAAGAGGATACGTACCGCCCAGGCCTGCGAGTCCTGCAAGCGTCGGAAGCAAAAGGTGAGCCTGCCATTTTCGTCTTGTCTATCTATATATCATGTCAGCATTCCAAGAGCCAATCACCTCTTTTTTTCGGCCGTTCCACGCCTGCCTCTCTTCTGCCGCCCTGCATGAACAACAGCTCCCTCGATGTGTTCGTCTGGTGTTGTCTCTGCCTGGGAATGTTGCCTCCTCCCCCATCATATATATGCCTCCTCAACCCCTGCCTTATCGTGAGGGACCAGCCTGCATGCAGTAAGACGCGCCAGTGTTGGGCTGGTCCCACGTGTCTATATTCACCGTGGGAGCGGACATGCTCTTGTGCTGTGGCTCTGCAATGTATATCACCTCCCTATTAGATCATGCCCACCGCTCCCCGGCCTGTGACAGGCTATCTTGAGGATACAATATATATCAGTGCTGATGCTAACGGTTGACGTAAAAATAAGTGCAACGGGCTAAAGCCTTGCAACACTTGCACGAAGCGAAACTTGGTCTGTGATTACCTGCCAGGCCACGGGCATGGCCACTCAACACCACATCATGGCGGCCAAAGCGAGATCGTGGTGTCGGGCTCGTCACCAAATAAACGTAGGAAGTCGACCCCAGACACCATGGAGTCCGATGAGGCAGCGGCCCCGAAAAGGGCCAGGTTCGGGGGTGGTGACGTACAGACAGCCCCCTCGAAGCAGGCCGTGGAGACAACCGAGCCGTCGAGGCTCCTGGGCCTCCCGACGCCGGTACCTGCACCAGCCATACCCGGCCAGCCCCATCGGGAGGGCGAGCCGGAGCCCGAGGCCGAACCAGAGACCACATCAAGACAAAGCACCGTGAGCGGTGCCGACGAGGTTGCTGAGGTGTACACGGAGACACGCATGCTTCAAGATCCCACTGGGAGACTTTGTACGTAAACCGCCGTCCTCCCACCCACACATGAGTCTGACTGTCTGATAATGATGGGCAGTGTACCTGGGCGATTCCGCTACGCTGTCCTACCTGCAGTTCATTCGCATGATAGTCGAGAGCGTGGATGGGCCCTCACAGTTCACCATGGACCCCAGCCGCCACCGGCTGATGGAGCTAACGACGAGCCTGCCCCCGGATTATCGCACGTCACTCCTGCTCCCAGACCGGAGGACGGCAGATGTTCTCATTCGATCGTACCTGACCAACGTGAGTCTCATTTCAGTAATGTCTACTTGCCATGAACAGTCTGCAATCGAACGGTGGGGCTTCGCAAACATTGCGGGATGCCACGTCGGCTGCTTGAGTACCGAACGGACAGAATGCTAATCGCCAGCAGACCAACGGCCTCATTGAGGTGTTCGACAGAAAAGTCTTCGACCAGCGGCTCGAAGCCTGCTATCAGAACCCGCTGGCAGCCGAGCCCACCTTCCTATGCTTGCTCTATCTTGTCTTCGCAATTGGGCTCGTCCTCGCCACACCAGCTCCCGGTAGCCATGATGATAGCATCATCAAAAACTTGCAAACGAGCACAGCAGACCGTGCCGAGATGTTCTTCATGAATGCCAAGTGCTTATGTGACCCGACGTCCGGCTTCGAAGATGCCGATTTCTGGAGCGTCCAGGCCCTCTTGCTCATGTCGCTCTTCAAGTTGGCGAGGACAAAACGCAACGCTGCGTATGCTTACCATGGTACGACTCTTGACACCTCGCAAGAACGTTGTCTCAGTACTGACTTTTGCAAGGCATGGCGGTGAGGTCTGGCTTTGCCCTCGGGCTCCACAGGCAGGAAACAATGGTCATATTCCCAGTCCCCGACCGCATCGTGAGGAGGAACGTCTGGAGGAGCCTTTACATCCTCGACCGTTTCCTTGCAGCCGCGTTGGGCCGGCCAACATCTATCTCGGAAGAAGACTGCTCAGCAGAGGCGCTTGTCACACCCGAAAGATACCTGGGGCAAGAGAAATATCTCGCTGACACAAACACTGACCCTTCGTCATCGGGCGGCCTGAACGCCGCCGTGCGGAGCTGTCAGGTGATTGGCATCATACTGAAGAAGATCTACGCCCAGCGCAAAATTTCGACGAGGCTCGCCCAGGAGATTTCAGAACAATGTAAAGGCGGCCCTCAGAAATACCACGCCGGCCTGCACTGGCGACAGGCTATGAATACGGGGATTAATCCGGCACATGGCATGGCAGTTATCCACGTGAACCTGCTCTACTGTCACGCGGTCATCCTTTTGACCAGGCCATTCTTCCTCTTCCTCATGAACAGGATGCAGCAGGAGAGGCTTGGGATCCCACGAGCAGCCATTCGGCCTGGCTCAAAGATGGAAAAATTCTCCGAGGCCTGTGTCAACGCTGCGTACCACACCGTGTCTCTGGTACAGATGGGTCATGAGGGCGGCTACCTGCCGCAGCGTGACCCGTTCATAATGTAGGTGTTGCATGCAATTGTTCTTTTGTGGACGTCATAAAATCCTCCGCCGATTAACCACTGACCATGGACACAGACACTTTCTCTTCGCTGCTGCCCTGGTGGTACAAAGCAACGAGTTCGCCTCCCTACACAAGAACCCGTCGTACGGCGAGACCTACCACCAGGCGCTCTCCATCATGACATACTGCGCCAAGACGGACCCGCAGGCCAGCCGGCTGGTGTACATCATGACGACGTTCCACAACGTGATCGTATCGCGGGCGCCAGCGACCTCGTCTCTGCGCGACCCGGCCTCGATACCAACCACGCCGTCCGGCGCGCTGGTCAGCACCCCGGACCCGATGGCCAACTTCTTCCTCTCGCACTCGACGCCCACCACCGCCCACGCGGCGCCGACCAGCGCCCCGGCCTCGAGCGGCGCCTTCGACCCGGCCCTCTCGATGCCGCCCCACCACGCGCAGCAGCCCCAGGCGCCGCAGCCGCCGCCCCCGGGCCTGCACAGGCGCGACTCGGCCAACACCAACCCCAACAACAACCCCCAGACCTGCGGGCCCTCCCCTTCCCCGGGCATGATGCCCTCCGCCCTGACGCCGACGACGTCCTCGGCCGGCGGCGACCCGCTCCTCAACGACGCCGAGTGGTTCCACTTCGACACGCTGTGGGAGAACTGGGCCGCCACGCCGCAGCCGCAGGGCCCGCAGGGGCAGACGACAGCCTCGTCCGGGGCGCCTGGCCATCACCAGCAGCAGCAGCAGCAGCAGCTGGCCGACCCTGCCCTGTTCGGCGACGCCGCGCTCGGCGGCTTCGACGTCTCCGGGGCGGGCGGGGGCGGGGCCCCTGCGTTTGCGACGCCGCCTCTGCCGGGCGCGCAGGGCAGTGGGGGCGCCCATGGCGGGGGCATTGGGAACGTGCCGCTTTACCCCATGATACGATTCGCGGAGTGAGGGGCGTTACTAAAGCGTTGTTTTGCTTGCTGGAAATTGAGGTGTGCAGGTGGGTGGCATTGTGGGCTGCATGAGCGCTGTTCCTTCATCTATTCGAGTTGGGCGAGTTAGTGAGCGCAGGATCTTGATATTTATGTATGTGTGTACGTGTGTATGTACGTATTGTCATTGGCAGAAGGAAAAAAACAGAGAAACGCAGCATGGCGCTGGTGCTGGCTGAGTCGAGGGTTTGAGAAAAGTTCAGGACGGCGCAAGAAAGGGAGGGAAGGAGGCGTGAGGGCGGCGGAATACAGAGCTGGACGCCGAGGATGGAAATCTGAGCTGAAGGACTCCTTGCTAGTTGCTAGCCAGTAGATGCTTTTATGAAAGAACGGTCAAAAGAGGAAGCGATTTAATGAACTGTGAGTACCAAAGGCCGTAGATACGGGCACAGGCCAAGTCCCAGAGTGTATCTACCAAGCTTGCGTTGTGTACAGACAGGCTTTGGTGGGTTTCACTAAAGCTCAGACAAAATCCTGACTCCGGCTAACGAACACAGGAAATGAGCACATCGCGGAAGTCATAGTTCATGAATGCATAAAATTAAAAAAGGAACTAGCTTAGACCTAACGCCGCCCGACACGGCAAAGATACCTCCCATACATGCCATGTAATTAGACCGATGTACCTGAACTCAGACCGATACCCCTAACTCCTTACCGCTCCCGCGAGGGACCATAGCGCCTTGAAGAAAATGTGTACTCTTAATCTATCGAGACATGTATCACGACCACGTCGCTGGGCCAAAGGTCTGGCCCTCAGGAAGTACGGTCTGGATGGCCGTGTCCTGGAAGTCCATCGTCGTGGTGATGACATCGTTGCCCCACCAGCTAGGTGGGTTGATGTTATTCAGAGTGAAGGCGAAGAAAATGGTGAGCGTGCTGAGGGCGAGGCCGAGATCGAGACCGGAGGAAGTCAGGAAGTTGAGGCGGCTCCACCAGTTGAAGTAGCGCTTGCGGATGTAGTACTGGAAGACGAAGCCTACGATGCCCCAGGACAGGTAGTTGAGCGGTGTGGCTGGCGGGATGGAGCCTGCGCCACCGAAGATGAGCGGCGCCATGAGGTACTTGACTGGTGACTTGGGCCACTTCTTGGCGGCAAAGTAGAAGATGATGGGCACGATTGTGCCGATGCCGAAGAAGATGAAGAGGCCGGAGTAGATCTGGCCCGGGGAAAACATGCGGGACGGTCCAATGAGTCCCCAGATGACGGAGGCTAGAGAGGTAGTTAGAATAAGTTGCTCTGACTATACTGGGTGACATGGTAGTAGCTTACCAGAGAAGAAAACCTTTCCGCCTGGGCAGGTGAAGTGCTCTCGCTGAGTTGTCGTACAAACATTCGGAATGGCCTTCAGCGCAGAGTTGAGAACCATGATCTGGATGAAGCACGAGAACGTCGTTGCCACGACCTGGGCCATGAACATGGTCCGCGGAGGGATCTTCATATAGTGACCAAACTTGAGATCGGAAACAAAACTGAGCGCCTGACTCATAGTAATGTAACCGAACGTCTTGAAGATCATGAGAGCCAGCGGACGACCAGGCTGGATGTAACCAAATACAAACTCAGTCAGGACGTTGAGCCCGATCTGGTTGTTGGTGATGGCTTGAATAATTCCAATGGGCAGGGAAAAACAGAACGAGATGGCCACGGAGAGCAGGAACGCCCACCACGTCAGGTTGGTTGGGAAAGCTAGAACGGCAACGAAGCCGAGAGCCAGCATCTGGAAGACGACGGTTAGAGTTTGATGCGACATTGACACGCAGTCGAGAGAAACTCACGAGGACAAACAAGCTCATGTACCACCAGGTTGGAGCCTCGGGGTACTTCCTCATCAGTTTCATGTGGATATCGTCATTCTCGTTCTTGGAGTTCTTCCATTGACTCCAGATCATCTTGCCGTGATGGAGGTACGTGTACACAATCAGAGAGGCGATAGCGGCAAAGGACAAGCCGTAAGACATGGCGAATGTCGTGCTGATGAACAGCGGCGAGTACTCCTTGTAGGCCTCTAGGTTCAGGGTGAACTCGGGTGTCAGGATTCTCGATACATTGTAGGACGAGCCTGTGTTGTCGTAGGTACCAGAGTCACTCATGGGTAAGAACTCGGCAAACCACACACCACTGTAGTGGAAGACCGACGCTCCAATGATGAAGAATGTGAAAACTCCAATGAGGGTGTTGGCAATGGCATGGAAAGGCGGAATCAGAGGGGAGCCAACGAAACCCGCGACCTGTGACCAGTCAAAAGTGATGGGAAGAATCGACAGGCCACTTGTAGCACCAAAAAGCTGGTTGACGACTGGGTTCTGCGGGGCGATCCATGTGGCAAAGGCGAAGGTACTCAGGAACTGCGCCAGGAAGCCAGGGATGAAATAATAGACAAAGGCGCCGAGAGTGATGATTGCAAACCACCTGTAACGAGGCATTTTTCCACCGAGAACAGTGGGATCCGGCTGTTCGTTGCCCTCGTACATGGCATTCATCAATGTCACGGAGACGAGATTTCCGGGCCAGATCATCGCCGCAGGATAGACTGTTTGTTCGTTAATTTTGCGGACACACTTCTACACTGGTCTTGCTTACCGAGGAACGTCCTCATAATACCAGCAATGCCGTAACCAAGTGACTGGGTAGATATGGTGAGCATGAGCTGCCAGGGGATTCCGAAGTCCTGCTTGTAAAAGACTTTCTGGGCCAAGATAATATCAGTCGCATACGCGACAGAGAATGAGACACTAGCCATCACAACAATGATAGAATGCTCCTTGATGTTGAACGGTCCAGGGTTCAGCGACCATCGTATCCCGAAGAAGTTAAACTGTCGCTTGGGCATGACCTTGGCCCAGCCGTGACCGATAGGCCAGGCGATGATCTGGGCAATCAAGGCACCAAGGCCGATGGCGGGGTTTCGGAGAGAGAACAAAGTGTTCATGGAGGCGCCAACGACGACAAGTACCATTCCTATGGTCCAAGCACGAACCTGTAGCCCATGGTTAGTAAAGGCATATAGCGTTATGCTGATCAGGGTTAACTGACAGTGTTGCAAGGCGCTTCGACATCGTAATTCCGCACGGCAGCTCTGACTTCGGGGTAGGGTGAGTCCTCTTCGCCTTCCTTGTTGATATCCAATACCTTCTCCTCGTCGGCGGAATATGTCGAGGCCGATGAGCCACGGGGACGCGGCATGCTCGGTCGTGTATACTCCTCAGGAAGATTGGGATCTAAAAGAAGTTCGTATTCTGATCCTTCTTCATCACTGTCATTTGGTTGGAGGTTAGACTCACCCCATAGCGAGAGACGGTGCTTGAGGTCATCGACAGGACTCATCCGACGACCCAGAGGAGTCTCGAATGTCGACCCGGATGCCTCCACCTCTCTTCCACTGACCTCCACGACATCGACCTTTGAGCTCGAGTTGCTATCGTTTCCCGCCATATCGGACTTTGATGCCGTACCAGACGGCTTGTCACTATATGGTTGGCCCATGTTGCTTGAGGACCGAAAACAGGGAGAACGGGGCAAACTCTTGTTGAGCTCAGGGGTAGATGCGAGAGAGGGGTGGGTGCTATATAGGGGCTGTCTGATTGTCCAACAGACTACAGCGGAAGTAATGGGTTGAGAACCACGTGCAGGTCACAGCCAGCACAGCGTCGTCCGTCGATCCCAAACTCAGTCGATCCCAGACGGACATGAAGCGTCACGCGAGAACCCCCAAAGTAGGCGCCAGATAAGCAACTGCGATGGGATTCGCCGTCCCCACGAGGAAGCTTGTTTTCCGGGGCTTCAACCGATGTCCTGGGCTGTGACTAGTATCCCAGGAGCCAGAGTGCCGGGAATGCTTGGACAACAGCGGTAGATCTCAAGCCGGGAAAGCCTGTCAGTCGAGGGTTTGCCACGCTTGATCTGCGGGATGGATGGCAGATGGTGGAAGAGGAGGCTGAAACCTAGCGTTGACCTCGGGGTGCGGGTTGTGGGAGGACAGAGAGTGCGGTCGATGGTGAGCTTGCAGTATGGAATCGCGCGGTCTCAGGGAGACAACGTTGCCGATTGAGAGCCGGGTAGTGGATTCATGCAAAGGCAGAATTCCAGATTGTGTTGGTGGTGTTTCCCTGTCGGTAGCTTTGGGATGGGACAGCCGTAGAGCTTGTGTGAGCCGTCCGATAAGGGGCCAGAAACAGAATCTGGGCAGGCTGAAACCGACTTGCGGCAAGCACAGATTGCATAAACTGGCGATACCGCGTGTGTGCTGCACGGCGGTCTTGAATTCAGCGGGATAGATTGGATGGTTCGTGGTTACAGCAGCCCGGGAAACAATGCAACGCTGCAAGAGACAGACGCAGTCGCGGTAGTCCTGGTTTGGAAATGTAGATGCCCTCTTGCGATAGGTCCAACTCAAACCCTCGTGCGCAAAGTTGCTAACGGAGGGAAAATGCTTGCCTCTAATCAATTCGATGCTTTTTGAGGTAGATTGCGTGCTGGCGAAATTGGTGGAAGTGAAACCGACGGCCTTGACTGACTGTAGTGATGTTGAAATCCGTCGTTGTTGAGACTTGGGACTTTGCTGCTTCAAACCTTCCTCGCGAGCGGGCTCACTTGAAGTGGAGGTGTAGGAAGATAAGGCACGACCGAGGGACGCTGCTTACTCTACTCGCTTGTGGCTGCCAGTACAATGCAGTCTCAGATAAGGAAACAAATGCACAACGCATGCACTAACGTGAAATCCGAGGGGAAGGGAAAAGGAATCTAGAACAGAAACACGCCTCTCGCCAACGCCTGTCAACTTGCGGATGTGGCTAGGTGTTGTCGTGGGAAATCTGGGGAAAGGGGCCCTTCCTGAGCCTCAGCCTCAGAGCGCTCGGGGCAGCAGGGACTTACGTTGGCTTTGTCGTCAGGGTCCAGGTCGTGGCCGTGGCTCATCCCTGCCCCGTCCTGCACTGGCCCGCGCCTATTCAGGCCTAGATTTAGAAACGTCAAACGTCGAGCAAGTTCACCGCCTGCCCGTTGCGGAAGTACCTTTCTCGCCTATCTGCCCAAACACGCGCGCTTTGAGGAAAGAGGCACTAGCCCCGCTACGGACGGACCTACCGAGCGTCTAAACTGCCGACGGCGCGCGCGCAGAGAGCACAAGCAGAGAGCAGAGAGCCACTGAAGCATCAGCCTTGGAAACCCCATCACCTCCAGCTGTCAGTTTCACCATAACCTAAACATCTGGTTTTACCCCCCCAGTCTCCCATCTGAACTCAATCAAGCTTCCTCGTCTCACGCGAAAAACCCACCTGCTGCCAGCCACAGTTTCGATCCACCAAGCCCTGGGCTTCCCCATTCTAGCCACCAAGTCAGGACGAGTTCTAGACTTGGGAAATGGGAGCATGCGACGAGTTGTCGTGACAGGTCTAGGCGCTATCAGCCCTCTGGGGGTTGGTGCGCACAGGACATGGCAGCGCCTCCTGGCTGGACACTCTGGCATTGTTGATGTTTCTGCAGTCGAGCCTCAGACTAAGTGGAAAGGTCTTCCAAGCTGTGTCGCAGGAGTTGTGCCCAGTGGCAGCACTGGCAAGACAGACGGGAGATGGAACCCCTCGGACTGGCTCGAAGCTGGAGAGCAGAGGCGCATGTCTAGATTCGCCCAGTATGCTGTCGCAGCTACGAAGATGGCGCTCGACTACGCTGGCTGGGACCCCTCAAGTCAGGCTGACCTCGAGGCTACCGGAGTATGCCTCGGAAGTGGGATAGGCAACCTGGACGAAATGTACTCTACTAGCGTCGCTTTCGAGAAAGATGTGAGCCTGGCCTCCTGGACTGCAACTAGGCCGAGGGAATGAAAAAGCTAAGACTATAGGTAGGGTTACAAGAAAGTCTCTCCGTTGTTTGTCCCTAAGATCCTCATCAATCTTGCCGCGGGCCATATTTCCATGAAATATGGCTTCCAGGGACCTAATCACTCCGCCACAACGGCCTGTACCACCGGCGCTCATTCGATTGGGGACGCCTCACGCTTCATTGCCTGTGGCGATGCCGATGTCATGATCGCCGGCGGTGCGGAGTCTTGCGTGCACCCCCTGACCTTCGCAGGTTTCGGAAGGTCGAGGTCCCTATCAACCGCCTTCAGCCATGATCCTAGCTCCAGCTGCCGCCCCTTCGATAAGGACCGCGACGGTTTTGTCGTCGCCGAGGGCGCTGCTGTCCTCGTTCTGGAAGAGCTTGAGCACGCTAAGGCTAGAGGTGCAAACATTCTCGCCGAGGTGGCCGGCTACGGCTGTAGTGGTGATGCTTATCACATGACGGCTCCCCAAGAGGACGGCTCAGGGGCTCTGCTGGCCATGAAACGGGCCCTGAAGAACGCGGGTCTCAGACCGCGCCACGTCGACTATATCAACGCTCATGCGACGAGCACTCCCATAGGCGACGCGGCAGAGGCTAGTGCAATCGGTACCTTGATGCTGGGCGAGGAAGGCCTTGAGAAGGACAGCCAGGTCACCGTGAGCAGCACAAAAGGCGCGGTCGGCCACTTGCTTGGCGCCGCCGGTGCGATTGAGGCCTTGTTTTGCGTGCTCGCAATCACAGATGTGAGTTGGTGGCTCTGAAACTCCTCTTTAGTATGTGCGGCGCTGACTCGATTCTAGAATGTGGTTCCTCCGACCCTGAATTTGCATAGTCCAAATGTAGGCAAAGACTTCAACTTTGTACCTATCCATTCGCAGGACAGGGATGTCAATGTTGCCATGTCGAACTCTTTCGGGTTCGGTGGTACGAATGCGTCCTTGGTCTTCTCACGATACAGCTAGCCGGGCCAATGCGCCTCATACTGGTCGCATCAATGGCTTTGGAACTGGGCTAGAATGGTCTTCAAAGCTATCATTTATTGCTTCATGTAGTAGATCATGTAAGATGGGTCTGGGGCGAGTGAGTTATGAACGGTACCCTCGTGAGCCCATGGCATACAATGAGCCCAAGGCGGAAATATCGCCATCAATCGCATTTCGTTGTCACCACGGTGTTCCTGTTCACTCTCTTGTTTTCCAGGATGCCTCAGCACCGAAAGTGACAAGAATGTAGGATTGTTGAATACAGTGGGCCGACGCTTCGGGTGAGCAAAGGCTATGATGATGGCAAGCAATCTGTGAATCACTAATTCGTTGCTAGAGGCTGTGCTGTGGACGACTCTCACCAGCCGAGGATTGATAAACCTCCGGGATGCTGAGGGGCGCGTCAGAGGCGAGAGGGTGTGGATACCTATTCCAGAGCGCCGATAAGAAGCCCATAAGGCCTATCGAAGGGCCCGCGAGGCCCAAACCGCCTATCTAGCTAGGACAGAGGGGCAATTGGAAACCAATCCTAAGAGTAGACCAGCCAGAACTGTCGAGCACCATGGAGGCAATCGTCGTCGTCCGCAAGAAGAGTCGCAATCCCCATCAGAAGCCGCAAATCAAAGAAAACAGCAACGCCAAGTAAACCGAGAGGCAGTCGTCATTGATCTGGACCCTCCTACCCTCCCACCACCACCAGCAAACCCTCCCAGCCCCGGAGGCACATATGAACCCGAAGAGGCTGCCACTCCCGGACGAGACAGCGTGGCAAGTGAGGACTTGGTGTCACCATGGAACCCTCACCGAACGGCGACCAGGGATGGGACGTGGGCCCAGAACAAACAACCGTGGGTGGCGGATGGTCAGCGGGATGGCCAACAAGGCCTGGCGGAGTGACATGTTTTACAAGGCTGAAAACGGGTTCTCGCGCTTTAGTACATCTTTACAGTGAGGCTAGAAAGAAGAACCCGGAAGCTGTTCGGTTGAGAACCGCATATATTATATAACGAGGCCAATCGTATCATAATAAATAAAGTAAGATTGCCGCGACATGGTTTTAATTGAAGACCAAGTACACTATTTGATCAAGGTCCAATGTTGGCTCCGGATGTCTTGGTAGGATACGGAGCCGAGCTCGGCAAAGCATGTCTACAAGGATAGCTGCAGCAATATTTTTGACGTCGATGCGCTAAGCGTCAATGACATCTATAATCGAGACTTGAGAGCCTCGACAGCTGGCTTCGCACTGTCTGCTGATTCTCCTAGTTCACAACCCATCCAGTTCCAGGATATGGCAGACCGGCTTTGCAGACCATGTCGCGACGTTGCGCGGCGACAGCTACGGCTCTTGCGCGAGCTCAATCGCGCCCCAACCGTCTCCCAGCGGGCCACCGTCGCAGAGATCGCGCGGGCGTCAACGAGACAGTTCCACCAGACTGCACCGAGCCGCTCGCAGGGCTCGCCCCAGTCTGAGAAGCAACCTGGGATCGCGCAGACCTTGCTAGGCATCGCGAGCAAACTTCTGCCGTCGAAAGCAGTCCAGCCTTACCAGATCTTTGGCGCCACCGAAAGCATCTACAAGGCTTGCGCGGCACCGGCCACATACAAGATCCCGCCGGAGTTGAGGAAGAAGGAGGAGGTGACATTGGCAGAGAACGGGGAGGAAGTCGGCGTCGGAGGGGGCGTGTGGCATGATGGTACGCTCAGATCTCAACTCGACAGCATCTGATGCCTGCGTTGCTAACAGCGTGACCCACAGAATTCGGTCTGCCCCCAACCTTCAGCACATGGTCGCAAGTCACCATGCTGCACCTCTACCTCATTGTCGTACGATTAAGATGCCTCGAAAAGAACGCATGGCAGGCGTGGCAGAACCAGCTTGTGAACCACTTCTTCCACAACGCCGAGGACGTGATGGAGGTGAACCACGGCATGTCGTCGCGCATGATCCGGCAGAGGCACCTGCAGAACCTGTTCCAGACGTGGAGGGGCGTGATACTGGCGTATGACGAGGGCTTGGTCAAGGGCGATGCCGTGATGGCGTCGGCTGTGTGGAGGAACATCTTCAAGGCGGACGAGAACGTCGATATGAGGCATGTTGCTGCCATTGTCAGCTGGATGAGGTCGGTCTCGAGGTCCCTAGACAAGATGCTTGACCCTGCACTGCTCTATCATGGAGGCAGCGTATTCAAGACGCAGCCCACGGCAGAGTTGAAGCTGGTTGATGAGCCGGCCTCGCTTGAGCAGATCACCAAGGGTGCTGCGTCAGAGGCCCAGCCGGCTAAAGCGAAGCCGAGCAGTCGCTTTAAATGAGGTTGCAGGCATGGGCTTTGAGGTTCGGTTACTCGATATGTATGTACAAACAGAACATGGGCTTCAAGAAAGGAAAACTCTGGGCATCGGAGCTGGGGGGATTATGTATTATTTTGATATTAGGGATATCAATTCGTCCTCTCCCACATCTGAAACTCATAGGACGTGTCGTTTTCCACTTGAATACCGTCAGGAACCACCTCTCCAGTCCAGCTGTCGAGTTCCTGTTTTGACCTCTTCGCCCACTCCAAAGAGCTCTCGCCCTCGCCGTCCAACTTCAGTGAAAAGAATGTGTCGCACTCGAAATCGGACATCACCTTCGTAAGCAGCACCCTCCTTGCCTCCTTCATTTGCAGGGCCGCGGCGTAGATCTGGCCACCACCTATCACAAAAACTCGCCCTAAGCTTCCCTGTGGCTTCTGTTGCAGATATGCGATGGCTTGCTCGAGAGAAGAGGCCTTCACTGGGTCTGTCTCCACACTGCTTGGCTCTTCTGGTGACGGTCCAAAGGATCGGCTGATGACTACGTTGAGTCTTCCCTTCAGCGGTCTAAATTTGGGCGGTATGCTCTCCCATGTCTTGCGCCCCATGATCACAGCATTCATCACAGGAGGTTCAACCTGGGTTTATGTAAGTGATAATCGTCTGTGAGGAAGAAAGGTTGAGCAGTCAAGGCTGCGGAATACTCGACTTACTTGAGGAGGAAGTCGTTTCGTAACCCTGGCAAAATAAGCCATCTCCTTCTTCAATCCAGTCCAGGGGAGAGTCCCTCGCAGGCCGATGCCCATGTCCCGGGTGGCTGCGAGGACGAGTGTGAGCTCCAGGGGCAGCATCGCGTTCTCCGAGGCCGGAACACTCATTTTCTATGAGCACAGTTGCTTGAATCTTCTCAAATGCCAGAGCGAGACCATCCGAAGCCAACAAATTCATGATCAAAGCCCGTTACGCGCTCCCGTCTGAGATGCTCGTCGCCAGTTCGAAGGCGGATCCCTGTCGGACTAGCTTACATAAGTAATCACGTGACCTGGCCGTTCCCTTGTTCGCCAGTCCACAACTCAAAAAGCTGCGCGTTGCAGCTTTCCCCTCTTGATCTTTCTCTCCCGACCATCCAACGCAACCTCATCGACAGAACCAAGTAAGTTATACTCCCGCAGAACCACAGTGAATGCAGTTGTCTGCATGAGCGTTTGATCAGTTGATCCTCATTCAATTGATCAATTCCTCTTGCGGCGATGCTTTTCACCGGGGCTGCTGCTACCGACGTCACTTGCGAAAGGCAAACAGCAAGCTAACCCCACCAACAGCCCCAATCGTTCACGATGAGAGCCAAGTGGAGGAAGAAGCGCGTCAGGCGCCTTAAGCGCAAGAGAAGAAAGATGAGGGCTAGATCGTAAGTGTCATCCGGTCTTTCGATGCCATCAGTTTGAGCAGGTGACTGACCCCGATCACAGGAAGTAAACAACTCGCACCACTCGACCTCACGCCAGCTTGAGCATCACACAGAGCCATCATGACAATCACCAATCATCACCAGCAATTGGGCAATCACTCGCCTCAAGCCACGCCGCCCAGTCACCACCCGCCTGTGTTGGGGAGGATCGGATCTGCTGAGATTCCTGGACCCAAGTTTCTGTGGAGGACTGGAGTCAGGAGGGACTTTTGAGGACGCCCGAGGGCTGGCCTTTGATGTGCTCTGGGAGAGCTGTCTACGTCAATTGGAGGTCGACACTGGTCCAGTGTTTGCGGGACAGAAGCCAACTACCTCGCTAGCTTGATACGCTCATGGAATCTTCATGAGTACGAGACAGGGAGACATTGACAATCAAAAAAAAGGAGTTCGCTTCATTTTTGCCTTTCCTCCTCGCGTGATGCTAAAAGTTACTTGTGCTGTTCCCTCCGTTCAATGCTCCAAATTTGTCGCACAGGCGACCCACAACCTTATGGTAGTGCGCTTAGCGCAGATCGTCCCGCCCAGTCCCAGGACGCCCGTCTGCCAATACCGGTATCTCAAAGCAAGGCTGGCTCTTCAAAGGTCCGTCAAGGAATTAATCCTGCAGTCTCAATCTGACTCTTTCCTAAAAGTTAGATGTGCGCATGCGACCATTATTGCGATGATGTAGATGTGGGAAGTGTGGGGTCTTGTCCCAAGCTTTACGCGCTAGGAAGGTGGTAAGTGGCAGAAAAAAAAAGTTACGGACCCTCATATCTTTCGTATCGTGCATCCACCAAGGGATTCCCGCATGCGAAGTCCAGATCACATTCATGCTTTTCTTTGAGTAGCCCGGCTTTCCACTCAAAACAACCGGAAACTGCCACGGCCACAATCATTTCGGCGACGGGTGACTCGGCCGTCTTCCCATTAAAGCCACCAAACTGTCCCCCAGATCGCACACCACACTATTGGGTCAAGTTCCCTACCGAGACCGCACCTAGCAGACGATGGCGGACAGCGGCAAGAAGAGGAAACATAGGGACGATGCAGGGGCCGAGAGCAAACAGAAGAAGAAGAAGGTCACTTCTGTTTCTCCATCATCAAAAAACAAATCCATCAAAGTCACCTCTGTTGTCCAGTCGAAAGCTTCTCCCCCGATCGTGGCCACGGCTACAGGCATCTCAGTGTCAAAAGATACTAAATATAACACATACTCTCGAGCCCCCACGAAACGGTCCAAACATGGCGCAAACGACCTTCTACTCCATTCTTCGAGTCACAGAACTGTCGACTATACGGCGCGGGAGGACAAGCCCTCGGCTGGGACTGGGGCTGGGCAGCCGCTTCTCAAACATTACATAGGACTTTTCGACCCGGCAAGCGGTCAGTTGCAACTGGTTGAGTCAAAGAAGATGACAATAAGGGGTTCTGTTCGTGCCCAGCAGGCGCCGCAGGAGGACATGCAGTCGCGGAAGCTGAGCCAGGTACGGCCCACTCCATCAAACACTGCGAGCACCGCAGCTGACCTGTCGCAGACAACGATGAACCTGAAGGCCGACCTTGGTCAAACCTTTGGTACCAAGAAGGCGAAGAAGGCGCTCGCAGCCATCACCGAAAATGCCATCTCCCCGCGTAAACCTCAAGCCGGCGACGCACCACAAGCGCTTGACGCATCAGACAAGGCTATCATGGCGACCATTAAGGATGTCACGATGAGCGTGGCTACAAAGGAGGACTTGCAGAATGCGATGGATGCTGCCAAGCCAGTACCGCGGGGCAACTACGAGGCCGAGGAGATCCAGGACGTCTACAGGCCGGAGCAGCTCATCGGGAAGGACATCTTGGAGCTGATACAGGTGAGCGACTGGGCGGAGGCGGTCAAGAACAACGAGAACGTCGAGCTGCGGTCGAGGTTCGTGGCGCACCGGATCAACCGCATCGGGTCGGGCGAGATCGCGGTGCTGCGCCTCAGGGTGCTGCGGTACCTGTACTGGCTGGTGCTGCTGTACCTGACGTCGCGGAAGGGCAGGGAGCGCGGCACCAAGGAGGTGCTCAAGAAGGACAAGCTGGCTGAAGAGCTGTCGCCGGCGCCGCCGCCGGTGGTCGAGAGCATCCGCCGCAGGTTCTCGGATAATGGCATCATGCGCAAGCAGCACGTCGACCTGCTCGCGACGCACTGCTGCGCGTTCGCGTGCATCCTCGACAACTTCGAGACAAACACCTGGGACCTCAAGGAGGACCTTGGCCTCGAGCAGAAGCAGATGAACCAGTACTTTATGGAGATCGGCGCCACGATCAAGAAGGCTAAGGCCGAAGGAAGGATGGACTGTATCGCTCGGCTCAAGATACCGCTGGTCTTCCCAAAGATCAGGCAGATGAGGCGGTAGATAGATACCGATTGAGGGGTGGTAGCATTCGATATCATCTTGCTCAAATGTGTCATTGGGTCATCATCTTCGTCGCATCTGGGGTTTACATGTTGCTTTACCGGGAAATTGCATATTTGTCACACAAGAAGGCATTCCATCATGGCATATCGCCGTATCTTATCACGGTCAGAGGGCGAATAAAAGCGATGTGGATCGGGCCAGTACAAGCCCTCGAATAAAGACAGGGCGGTCGTGTGCCGTTTGCTTGCCTTCTGTGATGTCTAAGTACGTGTGGAGTGAAGACATATAGCAGGTACGAGCATGAATGCCGGACCAAGGGCGATGGTATATACAGTGAAGCCAGTTGAAGGATTGACAAGACTCTCTGACATTTTTGCCCACAATAACACCAATCTGCCTGGGGTGTAATGCTTTCCTTCCAGACCTAGCAACCTGACTGAGGTGAGCAACTCGAGAGTACCTAGATAAGACGGAGTGTCTCTCTGTTGGCGGTGTTGGTAGATTCGAGGGCCGGATTCGGGTTTCCAGATCTTTGGGCCTATTCTTCATGCCGCCCCTCACAACTGTGGATATGCCCTCTTTCTGGATTGTGTGATGTAGCCATGTATATTCCAGGGCTGGGTGCGAGATACATAGCAAATCTCTGCTATTCTTCGGGCTTTGAGAAGATGTGCCGTCGATGGTCACTCAGCATCTCATGGGCGTAAACCTTGACCTGGTGCTGCCCGCCATCAAGGTCACATATACGAATGCTGAAGACACTTGATAAAGGAAGGGAAGAATAAGAACAGGAAAGGAAAGCGCATTTCATGCTGTCTCTGGATTCGTGTCTTAGTACGTATTGTGTCCGTGAGACCGTGATAAATGCCAATATGAGCCAAGCATTCAGTCAATCCGCGCATCGAATTCCATGAGAGTTGGACATGTGCGCCTGTCACCTCAATCGTCATCGTCGTAGGTAGATAATCAAGACCATCATCGAGCATTCTGGCATACGCATCCCGATGGAGGGTTCTCACCATTGGGGTTGCGTCTTACACTTCAGTCTAGGGTCTAACCCGCACCACTTCCCTGCTACACCCACTCGCATAGGTGGCGTATGGGGGGCAGGTGTCTTATACTGAACTGTGCACACACCGCAGATCAACTTACACACATGGCTTATGAGCGGGATTTCGTGGCTTCTTTCCCTCACCGCACCATACTCGACAGCAAGGCAGAGGCTAAGAAGTGCTGTGAAAGTCTGACATCCTTGGTATGTAGACAGCAAGAAGCTCGCCAGTGCCTTCTGGGCTGTCAAGTCTGAAGCAATTTTCAGAAGTCACACACAGCTTCTCGGAAGACCCGAGAATTGCAAAGGCGGGGCCTGAAATGCCGGGTCCGACTTGTTTAATATCGCGCCGAACCTCACCCCTACCTGACACCATGGGTTGCTTGCACGTCGCCTTATGGACGGCGGCCATGATGAATTGGGATTTGGGATTTCTGGACATGCAATCAGACGGTCAAAATTTGCTCTGACTTGAGGGAGAGCGCACCTCTCCCATGCTCCTGGACAGACCAGCCGCACACCGTTCTGTCAACTGACGGACATGCCAACGGGCCTCGTCAATCGGGAAGACTCGAGTGAGTCTGTGGGAGTGAGTGGTCAGTCCCAATGGGCCAGCCGGCCAAGCTCGACCCTCTCTTTCCTGCCCAGGCGTTGCTGGGGACGAACAGCCCCTTGCCCTCCACCTGCTCCATCTGCGACGAGCCCGTCACCAGGTCACGCTGGGCCCAGGCGGATGGCGTCTGGCATCTGGCATCGGGCATCGAGGCGTCGGGCACAGCCGAAGCCGATCTGTCATGGCCCTTGACCCCTCCTCAGCCAGCCAGCTGTGGCCCACGTCGGAAGCTCTTGAGCCTCATCAGTTCGACGCAGCCGTCGGTCCCCGTCCCCGTCCCCGTCCCCATCTCCCACATGTGGAGTGGTCCCGACAGCGCGGCACCCTACCCCAGAAAACCTAGCAGCAGATGACGTGACGGCACATGCCAAAACAACTTTCCCATTCGAGTAGTCTATTTTCTTTTTTTGAAGCTATCGTGGGGTCGCCAACAGCCATGAGCCCTTCTTGTCGCCCGCATGCGCTCAATTGGCATCCAATTTGACCCAAATGCACCCGAATGCATCGCCATCAGTGCAGCTCAGGCGTATTCATGTGATTTCCGGCTGTCCTGGGCAGCCTTTGCAGCTTGTGTGCAAGTTCTGTGGTTATGACCAGAGATGTTGGTGATTCACCGGACGTGAATGAGCTACGAGCTGAGGCGACAGCTTCTGCTGCCTGTGATTGGCGCAGGGGGTGGCTGGGACCCACTCTTCGCCGGGAACGCGTCGCTGCCATTTTCCCGCCCAGCCAGTCGCAGCCGTGAACGTGAAGGCACAAGGCCTGCTGCCCGCTGCCCGCTGCCCACTACACGCTGCCCATTGCCCACTGCAACCTCCCCGTCAGGCCTAGGCGGGTGCTCGCTCATCATTCTTCGACCATAGCAAACTTTTTGCACTTCATCCATTTGCATGCTCAATCCTGCATCTTTTCATTTCTTCATGGTGCACACAATGCTTCGGCCATCGCCCTAGTTCATCCTGCCTACTCGTTGCCCGAACACCCCTCGCCGCGCTGCCCCGTCCCGAACCGTTATCCCCCCAACCCAAGCGCACCGCACCGCACCGCACCGCAGTGCCGTGGAGTGCACTGCAGTGTGCAGCCACAACGCGCTCGCAAGCAACCACGCAGCACGCCAACCACCGTCCACAACCTGCCATCAACTACTGAATGCAGACATAATATCTGGATCGCAATGTGTGTGCCCCTGTATATGAATGCCATACTCCTTCCCGACTATACCACATCCTCTTGTCTCCAACATACTTATCCCCTGGCACCACGTAAACACTATACTGTTGTAGATGTTTTACTGTCCACCACAAGCTCACTACCCCCCACCATGTTCTCGCATACGAGAAGCTGACCTTGGTTGTGATGCAGTCATCGCATCCACTGGATTCTCATGCACTATAGTCTCGAAAAGGAATCAGTTTGCTGCCCGATTTCGTAGCGACTGCGCCTTTCAACCTCGATCCATACAACAGCTTTCTTTTCTCTGCAGCGCATCGACCTTACTCGCTTACTCGTCTGCCCATCATGGCGCCGGGTAAGAGGAAGAGAGACCCCCTCGAAGGCTTCGATCCAAATCAGTCCGATCCTGACGACGAGAACTTCGATCCATCCGAGGCCCGTCCAAGACGAAACAAGAAGACTCCTCGTACAGCCCGGAAGGGCGGCGGCCGTACACGCACGAACAGATATCGTGGCTCAGACATCGACGAAGATGATGATGAGGAACTCTCCGATAGCATGGGAGAGGGCTCCTTTGAAGATGAATCTGAGGAAGAAGACGACGACGTCCCTGTTAATGCCTCCGGCCGCCGCGCAAGGAAGGCTGCTGTCCAGCATCCCAGCTATAGGGAAGAAAGCGATGACGATGAAATTGTCAATGACTCTGTCGCCAACACAGATGTCGAAGAAGAGGACCCTCCAAAGCCCAAGTTGAGGGGAAGGATCGTGACATTGAAGATCAACCAGGCCAGCCGGAAGGGCGCAAAGGAGCCATTGCCTCCCGCGCCATCGACCCGACGCACCAGAGCAAAGACGGAGGAAGGCGATGAGCTCGTCGAGCTCACAACATCTGGGAGGCATCAGCAAACAGCTCGAGCCGCCTCGAGGAGCAAGAGCCCAGAGACCTTGAGCCGAGCCACTCGCAACACGAGGGGAGCAAAGGGTGTCAAGAAACCAGACCCGGAGCCAATCGAGGAGGCTTCCCACGAGACTAGTTTTCAACCCAACGAGGAACAGGTCGAAGAGGCTGATGCCGAGGCCGACGTGGTCGAAGACTCTGCTCCGGATGCTCCAGCGAATCAAGGAGACGGCGAGGACGTGCCAACCCCCGTCCAGGGTGATATCCCAATGGAAGGGGTGGAAGAGGCGGCGCCGCAGGAGCAAGAAGCTGAGGAAGACTCAGATGATGTTCTCACTGGACGTAGGATGACCCGGTCTTCCCGACAAGGCAACAATGTCCCTGCTGCTGAGGATGGCGACGAGGAGTCTGATGTACGGCCGCGGCGAAATACACGTTTGAGAAGAAAGGGAAGTGACCAGGGAAAGAAGAATGGACAGGACCAGAGTAGCGACTTCGAGCCAGACGAGTCGGGTGGTGAAGGTTCTGGGTCTGAAAAGGGCGCTGAAGCCGCCAACGATGATGACGACGACGACGGAGAATATTCTAGCGCAAGACCCTCGCGCGGGAGAAGTCAGGCTGCGGCTAGGAGCTCAAAGCGGGGCCGGGCCCGAGAGACTGACGACGAAATGCTTGACCCCGATGAGTTGGCTGAAGAAGCTGATGATCTCCGTCGAACCTCTCGCTCCCAAACTCGCGCCGCCCGAAGACGCCAATCTACGCCGATTGTCTATGAGGTACCCTCCAAGAGAAAGCGCAACAAAGTTGATTACACGATAAGGCCGTTTCAACAAATGGATGTGGAACAGGAGGAGGAAGAGCCAGCAGCACCAGTCAACACCCCAGGGCGTCGGAAGCGCGGCAATGGCGGGGCCGGGGACCGCTACCTCAACACGACCTATGGTCCATTCGGCGGAGCTGGTGGCCTTGGTTCCCTGCTCGGAGGACCATGGGGCACAGGTGCTGCTGGAGGCGTTGACTCGGACAGCAGTGACGATGAGATGGGTGCGAGGTATGGTGGCCCTGGTGGTGTTGGCGTGACTCCTACGGCGGCTTCCGGGCCAGGTCTACCCCAGGGGGCGCAGAACACACATCTGGAGAATCTTGGACTTGGTGCGGCGCCAAATGTGGGCAAGGTCAAGAACCAGAAGGCACTCGCAGATGCTGACCCGCTCGGGGTCGATATGACTGTCAATTTCGACCACGTCGGCGGTCTGGCGGGTCACATCAACCAGCTCAAAGAGATGGTACAACTGCCGTTGCTATACCCTGAAGTCTTCCAGCAATTTCACGTCACACCTCCAAGGGGCGTGCTGTTCCACGGACCGCCTGGCACGGGTAAAACTCTTCTCGCAAGGGCTCTTGCGAATTCGATCGGTAGCGGCGGTCGAAAGATCACATTCTACATGCGCAAGGGAGCCGACGCTCTCAGCAAATGGGTGGGTGAGGCCGAAAAGCAACTGCGACTGCTGTTCGAGGAGGCCAGAAAGACACAACCAAGTATCATCTTCTTTGATGAGATTGACGGTCTGGCACCTGTTCGGTCTAGTAAGCAAGAACAGATCCACGCCTCAATTGTGTCAACCCTGCTCGCCTTGATGGATGGCATGGATGGACGTGGTCAGGTCATCGTCATTGGTGCTACCAACCGACCGGACAATATTGATCCTGCGCTCAGGAGACCGGGTCGTTTCGACCGAGAATTCTACTTTCCTTTGCCGGACGTTGATGGCCGTAACGCGATTATCGATATCCACACCAAGGACTGGGGTCTGACACCGGAATTCAGGAAGAGCCTGGCAGAAAACACGAAGGGGTATGGTGGCGCGGATCTCCGAGCACTCTGCACTGAGGCCGCTCTCAACGCCATCCAGAGAACCTACCCTCAAATCTACTCCTCGGAACAGAAGCTTGTAGTGGACCCCAGCAAGATCAGCATACACGCGACGGATTTCATGATTTCTATTAAGAAGATGGTCCCTTCTTCTGAGCGGTCTGCGTCATCAGGGGCGGCACCTTTGCCAAAAGCCGTGGCACCTCTTCTCCGCGACCAATTCGTGGCGATCGAGGAACTCGTCAAGACTATACTGCCATTGAAGCCAAAGATCACCGCCCTGGAAGAAGCTATGTTCGAACCTTATGAGGATTCTGACCATGGCTTTGGGCGAGAGAACTTGCAACAAGACTTCGACCGCTCTCGTTTGTTCAGACCAAGGTTGCTGATTACGGGCCAGCCTGGCATGGGCCAGAATTACATCGCATCCGCTATCCTGCACCACTTTGAGAGGGTACACGTACAGCGTTGCGATTTGGCGACGATACTTGGCGATGGACGGGTAAGTGTCCTTTTCACTTCTTGCATGCGAAGCCAGCCCGCTGACATGTTCAATACAGCCCCCCGAGCAGGTCATAACTGGAATGTTCTCAGAGGTAAAGCGTCACAAGCCGAGCGTGGTTTACATACCTCATGTAGACACATGGTATGCGACCCTGGGCGCTACAGCTCTGAAGGTCCTGACAACAATGCTCATGGATATACCACCGTACGAACCTGTCCTGCTGTTTGGTACTGCAGACTGCGAAGCAAGCGAGATCGACAGGGACATACTGAGGGCTCTATTCCCCTTCTCGAGGAAGAACAGGGTAGAAATCGCCCGTCCCAACAGCGTAAGTTGCACAAGAACTTCTTTCGCTCCAAAACAGCACGACTAACCATCAGATAGGAAAATCGCATGGAGTTCTTCTCCAACATGGCTATGCATGTCAAGAAGTCGCCTCCTGAGTTCCCCGATCCATCTACCAGAAAGAAGAGGGTACTCGAAGAATTACCTGTGGCTCCGCCGCCGCCGCCGAAACCGAAATCTAAGGCTGAAATTAAGAGTGAGCTGAAGAGGGATCGGCAACTGCTGAATCACTTGAAGATGAGACTGCAGCCGGTTATGGACCAGCTGAAGAAGGGAAAATACCGAGTATTCTACAAGCCCATGATCCCTTACGACAGAATTAGGTATCTTTTCGAAGAGGCCGACCCCAACTATGTCAGCCCCGATGTGCCGCAGCACAGGCCGTACATAATTTCCAAGGACAGTCATGGAACGGAAGGACTTCTTGAAGTCGACACTGGAAAGTTCTATTACAATCTAGAGCTCATCACCATCGAAGAGCGACTTTCCAACGGATACTATGCTCGGCCCAAGGATTTCTACAGAGACATCAAGACACTTGTACATGACTCGAAGAATGTGGGTGACAAGGACAAGATTCTCAAGGCAAACGAGATGGAGAGCAACGTGGATGTAGATATGGGCGACATCGAAAATGCTCTCGGGGGTCCAGACCCGTGGAATGCACTGCATGAACGTCAGCTTCGACGTGCGGCAGAAGCTGTCGAAAAGTCAAAGAAAAAGGCCGCTATGGAAAGTGCTATTGGCATGGTCGAGTCCAATTTAAACGGCGACGACAGCGAAACCCAAGTCGGTCCCATAAGGATCGGCGCGCCGGTGCCACCGGAGAGCACGACGTTGGCACGATTCAGGGTGATGAGCCCTGAGGAACGTGACGCGGCCGGGGATACTCACATGAGCAACGGCAACTCGGTACCCTCCCGCATACCGGAGGAGAGCGGCGGTGATGAGGCGACACAGCCATTGTCGCAAATGGGGCCGCCGCCAGCGGTGCAGCGCTCGATTACCACTTCTTCAGTAGTCAGAAATGCTGCGGGAGTGGAGACGCAAGTATCGCAGGTATCAGCCCTGACATCTCTGCCGCATGGCGTGTCGCCATCTGCTGTGCTGAACGAGGCATCGACGACCAATGACCCGTCGACGACGAACAGATCGTCGAGCAACTGGAGCACTCAAGCAACGAATGGATTCCATAGCGACGTTGAAAATGTCTCGCAGCTGCCCGATACGCAGCCACCGGGAGACCACCAGTCTGGCCCAAGTCAGCACACAGGGTCCAGCCACTCGCCCTGGATGCACTCTCAAGCCGACGCCCTTGCGCACGGCAAGCTGAGCAACGTAGGCTACGGCGGCACGTCGAATTTACAGACCAGCCCGACTTCGTCGCAGGTGCCCACGGAGCGACGAGACTCTAGGATCGGCCTGCCCAATCTCCTCAACGACCCGGTATCCGTAGCGGACAACTCGTCGGTGCGCAACTCGGGCGGGTCGTCGTCGTCGTCACAGCACATGCCGGTGGTGCACGACGGGCAGGTGCAGCAGTTCCTCAACGACCTAACGGAGCGCACGTCGGGGTGCACGATCGAGCAGCTGGAGCAGATCAACCGCGAGCTGATGGACCACATCTGGCTGTCCAGGCATGAGTGGAACCGTATGAAGGTTCTCAACCAGCTGGTCAAGATCTTTAACGACACCATCTCGGACATTGAGGAGATGCAAGGTGTAGGCCAGTCGAGCCAGGAGCTGAACGACGAACGGGCGAGGGAGTACTATAGTGGCAGCAGCAGGCACTGAGGAAGAAGAGGGCGGTCAGGTACGGCGCTTAGTAGGTCGGGCGGAAAATGACAATTGGCGGCCATAAAAGAAAGGCAGGGGGGGCTGCTGCGTTGGACAAGCAGGGAACGGTTGGAGATGTGGGCGATTATTTTTCCTCTCATCAGGTTTTGGTTTTCTTCGGCTCTTCCCTTCTGCTGGCGTTTTTTGTCTGTCTGCGTGGCGCCGCAGGCTCTGCAGCAGCTTTGTATAATTACCAGTGGCTTTCCCTGCGAGGGACTGAACCCCCAGAGTGGGAGAAGGGAGAAGGCATGGGGAAGAGGGCTCTCCCCTCAGATGCCTAGGTTATTTACTTTTCCCTCCTTGGAAACGACGGTTCCTCGGGGAGGAACATGTCAGACATACAGGATGGAGAACAATGCAGAAGACATAATTCTTGTGGGCCTCTCTTCTTCCCGCCTACTCGTTTGCTACGATACAACAAGCATTCTGCCAGAATCTTGGGAGGGAACCGGTGCTCCGCAACAGCTCTCTTTCTCTCTGCTCGGGCTTGGAGCAACCAGCTCTCCTGACTACTGTCTGTACAAACCCTCCAGTTGGCCAAGTATTAAGCTTGCCATTGGCCTCAACAGGACCTCCATGCCATGCATCACTATAGGCGAGATGCATACCCCTGTCCTTCCTTGTCCTGCCCGCGGGAGTAACATGGGAACAATCGGTCCTTTGAGGTGGGCATCTCTTTTCCCTGGCGCCCGCCCGCCCGCCTTCTTTTTGTTCAATTTAATCTACCTGATGCAGCCCAGCCAGCCCTGCCTCAGGGCCGTGTGGATGCACGGTGTTGTTGCTCTAAGCTATATGTGTGTGTGTGAATTTGAACAACCTGACGATCTTTTCTGCCTTCAATGTTCTGTCAGCTTCGCCTGTGCCATATATGTCGGGTGCATATTTCCGCGGCCCTCGCCGGACGGACGGACGGACGGAGTGGCCGTCCGTCGTCCAATGTGTGTGCGTGTGTGTCGTTGAGGCTCTGCACACCCCAGAACGGGCAGTTTTGGTGCCCTCCCCTCCCCCACCAGGCCCCCTTGGCATCCATCATCCGGCCCAGAGCGAACTGGCTGAGCCACCTAGCCTGCGGGCGTGCTTTAGCAGCCCAAACCACCGGGTGCATGAGTGCTGAAAGGGGGTAGGGATCAGGGGTCGTTGGCTCTTTCCGACCATCGTGTCTCGTTTCACACAAGCCTACACGGCTAATCGACGGTAGGAGAGGCGGGAGGGCAAGTTCCCAGGCAGGGCCAAGGAGCGAAGGGGGGGGCCAAGAGTCGCCGGGCTAGGGCTGGGCATCTATTGTCCTTTTTCCTGGGCATCACCTGTTCCGCGCGCTCACTTTCGCAAGCCTGACTAGAATGAATTGATGGTGTGCTCCGCGTGTGTTGGAAGGGAAAAGGCAAGGTACGTAGTGAAACCCGTAGGGCTCGCGGTTGGCTTTGGCCCGGGCGTTTCAACTGCGAGTGCTCGTGAGCCGTGTGTGGTTGGGGGAAAGGAAGCTTGCTCGTTCCCCGGTGCGGGCGCAGGAAAGGGGGGGTCCTCCGAATGACGTCCGTTGTTTGGTCAATTACTCAGGCTTCAGTGGCAGGAAGAATTGTTCACTCTTGTCTTGACACTCTGCGGGTGATCCACGGCTTGAAGAAGAATGTCGCAGGACCCGTGGCTTCGTATTCGCGCGCAGAGACTTCCCAGATCGGAATCAAGTCTGGAAACTGAGCAAGTTTACGGCGATATCGCCACAAATTGTATTCTTTTTACTAGAATGCAAGCTATGTGCTGTGCTCGACTACCGTTTGATATTACAAGTAATTACCCTCCTATGGGCTCTTGACATTCCATAGCCTCATCGACCCCCCAGCTCATAAGTCAGCTCGAATATAAAACATTGCGTCCGAACCCAATGCCCGTTGCCCCCCCCCCCTTGTCCAGGGTTCAGCACGTCGGCGATCCGGCGGCGTAGTCATTGCATTCGGCAGCGGTGGAACAGCTGAAGCAAGTTGAGCCGCACTTGACCTGATACGACCCCTCGGCGCCACAGGCCGCCTGTGTGGTTGCGGCGAGGCCGAGGATGGCGAGGATGATGGCGTAGGGCTGCATTCTGTGATGGTGAGACTGCTTGAGTGAGACTGATGTAGTATTGCTTTCCTGAGCTAGCCTGTGTTAGTCTCTTTCACAGTTCGCAGTCTTGAATACAGTTGTAAGGCGGACAGGGTCTTTACCTAGATGCAACCGGCCTGGGAACCTGCACACTCGGACAGATTGATACTGCAAGATTTGTAGACTTCTTGCTTCAAGCCTGTGAGAAGTTAAGAGGACGTCGCTCCTTTTATTCATGTGCCTGTATACCGGCGAAAGATCTACACGAAATGACACGATCGATGACTTTCAATGGCCCGGATTAGATTGCAAGTCCCCATCGCCAGGCTGTCCACGGGATATCATAGCGTGTTAGCAGCACCGACGTCGAAGGGCGCTGACTCGGACGCCTCCACGCACGACAAGGCTGATCGGGATGGGATCTGCGAACCGCCAAAGCCTTGCTGGTTCCCATGACGCAGATTCATCTCTTAAGTCTACTATATCTTGTACAGCCCCGGGCGGAGCCGCGAGGCTGGCACTGGGCATGTAAGGCTCGTGGTTCTTCGGGCGAGTTGCAACGCGGCAGAGCCGGTCGGGCAGGCGTTTCCTGCAGGCGCATGGCATCTTTGGTCCTAGCTGTGCGACCTCAAGCCTACATTGACACAGAATTTCTCATCGTTCCCTGTTTGGCGACGGGATTCGTGGCCTATCGCCACCGTCGGAGGCAAAATAGCTCAGCAATCTGCACTGGCAGATATATAGGCTGGCGAGTACACGAGCGCATGGGTGGCATGTTAGAGCATTATTGACCCGCAGATGGGCCGGAGCCCACTATTTTATACTTTCGGGAACGAAGCTAAGCCGGCGCCTGCTATGCGGCCTCGAGCAATTATGGATGAAGGGATATATGCGCAGCACGTGAAGAGGAGGGGAGAAGCCTTCATCGCATGCCGGCGGGGAGGACAAGAAAAATATGTAATGGTATGCACAGAAAGAGATTGAATATACATGTATATATATATATACATATATATATATATATAGGGCTGGACCCCTACGGTAAGGCCAAGGGTGCGTGCCCGACTGGCTGCCGTAGTGCAACCCGCACATTGCATCGTCCTGTAGCACCGAGGATTGCGTGGGCAGGAGGGGCAGGAGGGAAGCCACTCGGGCATAGGTGTGTGGCGCCTGTGAGAAGGCGGGATGACGGGGGACAAGGCTTGGCTGCTGTATCCAAGTCCAGGTATGGCATGACGGCCTTGCACACCGGAGCAGAGCAGCCAGTGACTGGAAAGGCCATTACGAGTCCTCTTTGCGGACTTTCCGGTGGATTTGGAATAGCGGCGATCAGCAGGATTGGGGCCGGGCTCTTTGGGCAGACTCAATGCCGAGGGCCTCGAGTGATTGAGGTCAAGTCGTGTTAGGCTCGAAGTGTAACAAGTGACAGGCGGGCGTCATAGCGATGGATGAGGTCAGAGGGAGGGAAGTCCGTGGATGTCTCGCCCGTGGGCCTGGGGGATGAAGCGAGTGGCCATGGCTGACCTGCTTTGTGAATGATGTGAAACTGGAGATAGGCTTCAACACTGCGCAAAGTCGAGTCGGCGACGGCGACGACGACGAGAACAGAAGAAGGAGAGGTTGGAGGTCCTGGCAGCCGTTGATAGGAGGGGCTGCAGGGCCTGTCATCCAATCACGAGACTAGCCGCCGCCAGCGTCAAGGCTGTGTGAAGAAGGAGAGGCCGGATTGATTGATTTCTTGGATGATGATGGATGAATGATGGCCAGGGGCGCCGTTGCATGGGCGTTGGCATTAATGTCGTGGGTGGTATTGGCATGAGAGAGGTCGTCTAGGTAGGCTAGGCATTGGCATTGGGGGTGATTGAATGGCTGAGTGGGCAGTGACTCCCAAAGCAGTCAAGGTCGCAAGTTGATGAGGCCATCACCTACCTTGCCTCAGATCCAGGTCCCTTGCCCACCAATCCACTACCTACGTGCCTACCTACCCACGCTGCCATACTAGGTAGACTACGACTACTAGGGTACATACACTGTTAGACTGACTGCAGTATTAGACCTATCTAGGTACCTGTCGCTTGTCGATGCAACGGCTCGCACTCGCAGATACAGTAAAGACAGAGACACAGAGACAGAGACAGACAGAAAGACTGTTCTGGCCGCTCGACTGGCCCGACGATCCAAATCTTTGCCCGCATGCAAGCAATCCATCCAGGCCTTCCCACCCAGCCAATGCTGTCAATACCTACTGTCACAGTAAATACTGTAATAAGACTCTGAGATCACTTTTCCAATAGCAGCGCCCGGCCATTGAGTCTCCGCCGTCACAGTCGGGCCAATCCACTCCCACGATTCACGCCGTCTCCACCAGCATATTGTGCCAGCCTTTCCCCGACGGGCACTGACCTGGCTGTTCCTTGATTGCTGCAATACTATTACTATTGCTGAACCGAACTGGTCCATCCTGTACCGTGCAGCACCCACCGCACTGTGCTGCTCCGTATCTGTCGCCCTCATCCTCAATCATCCTCCTCCTCCTTCCGCTGCCGCCGCTGCTGCTGCTGCTGCTGCTACCACTGCTACCACTGCTCGACCCAAGCAACAAGGGCCCGCTTCAGAAATCGACGAGACAAGAACCCAACCTGCCTCCTGAAGCAACGAAACACCCTCGCCCAAGCCGAACCCAATCCAATTCAACAAAGTCCGTTTAGGGAACACTGTCATCCATCCACATTTTCGTCCACTTCTGCACGGCCACCAGCAGAAAGGAACACCCAGGCCCGCACCAACCAGCTAGCAAGCACCGTGTGCCAGATCGCAAGGCTCCCTCCTTGTAACCGCTGTGGGCTGTGGACTGTGGGTTGTGGATTGTGGGCTGTGGATCTTTGCTGGCTGCTGGCTGCTGGCTGCTGGCTGCTGGCTGCTGCACCTCGATGGTGACGAGCTAAGCCTCCTCAACCTAAACTCATGGAACAGCTCCCGAGCCCAAACCCACTACCGCCCTCCACCTGACGAAATACATACATTCCTACCCGCTGCCCATACCTCCCACACGATAGTCTGCCATACGTGTGTGTGCCCAATCCTAATCTGCCCCTCGACCATCCGTGTCGCGCCTCGCCTCGCCTCGCCCTGCCTCGCCTCCCCTCCATCCTCAGCGGCCGGCCCCCATCATCGAACCTCCACCTTACTGTCTCAAGATCGACCCGACCTTGGCAGACCGATACCACAGACTAATCCGCCCTGCCTGCCCTGCCCAAAGCTCAGCCCAGGCCAGACTCAGCCCCGACCATGAGCTTCAACACCGGCACGGCCTACGCCGAGTCTGATGCCGACGATGAATACGAGCGAGACCTCCACGAGAGCTCCCCAATAGACGCAACCGACGCTTCCATCTCGCCCACCGACTCTGACCCTCCTTCCAACGAACACACCCCTACCACATACGGCTACCGTTCGAGCGCCGATCGCCTGCCTGAGACCATCATATCCGAATGGTCTGTTGACGAGGTCGCCGATTTCATCGCAACAATCGGCCTCCAACAATACTCGGATCGTTTCATCGGTGCGTGTGAAAATACTGTCTTTCGCTGCTTTCCTGTCTGCCGCTGGAGTTCTGACATGCGCCACTCGAACAGAAAATGAAATCGTCGGAGAAGCTCTGGTCGCCCTGCTACACGATGACCTCAAGTCCATGGGCATCACTAGTGTCGGCCACAGACTGACCGTCCTCAAGAGCGTCTACGACGTCAAGAAGGCACAGGACGTGCCAATAGAAAACGACCATTATGTACCATTATGTATGTGATGGCCCCTCATCCTCGCCCCTGATGCTTTCCGTCCCTTCTCGCTCGAGTTCTAAAGACCATGCTGACTGACACCCTCTTCTCCAGCTGCCGACGCCGAGGCCCAATATGCTACCGCGACGCTGAAAGACATCAAACATCTGGTGGAACAGCTTAGGCTAAGGGACGAGCGCATGAACTTGTTTGAGCAGGATTTCAGGAAACTAGCTGATGACTTCCGGCGATTACGGGAGGACATGCTGCCAGCCTTGCGCCTGGCGAAGGACGCCCAACAACCCTTACCAAACGTGAGCAATGGGCAACAAACAGCATCATACAGCTACGACACTACAGTTTCACCTCCAGCCCCAACGCCGTCCACTATTGGCAGTCAGTCTGCCAGCCTCAAGCGGCAATACTCGACCAAGCGGATCGTCCTCGGTACGACACCAAAAACTACATCACCATCACATCTACAGACCAGCCACGACCGAGGCATCGTGGAACAGACATTAGACCCGTCGAGCGCCGCAGAGAGGGCTGTCCTGTCATCATCGCATCTAGCTGCTATGAATGGATCAGGGGGTCCAACCGCAACCTCACCTTCATACCCATCACCAAACATGCCCTCACCCACATCGCCACCGAGCATCGGCGGGACAACCCTAGGTTCCCGATCCTACCGCGCCGACCAACCGACCCCTTCCAGCCGATCTACCTTCAGGGAAAACGAGCACGGCTACGACCCGCGCGACAAACCAAATGCCGCGCCGAGACGAGGCCAGACCCCGGCACCCGACACGCCAAGCTCGAGCAACGCATCCGTCGAGATATTCAAGTCGTTCAGGGTGAGCCTGGACGACCCCTGCTACAAGGTCCTACCGGCGGCGCTAAAGAAATACCAAATCAACGCCCCGTGGGACCAGTACGCCCTCTATATAGTATACGGGGACCAGGAGCGGTGCCTGGGGCTGGAAGAGAAACCGCTGATCCTATTCAAGCAGCTGGACAAGGAGGGTAAGAAGCCCATGTTCATGCTGAGGAAGACGAACAACGCCCAGGCCGACGCGGCAGGGGAGGCGCCCGGGAGCGCGGGGCTGGGATCAGCAGCTTCTACCAGAGGTGGCTACGATCCGCCTGGTGGCATCATATGAGCGGGTTGTCATGGTATCTGATGAACAGGGACATGTTTATCAGTGAGACGGTCCCGGCTGGACGGGTAACGGTCTCCGTTCCGGCCGCCTCTTGTCGACCGTTGTATATTCGTTCGGGATGGTATCCACCCCATGTAGGAACCGGAGCATGGACGACAGGGGACGAGAAGGCAAGGGTGCGGAGGATCTTTTGGCATGGGAAGGTTTGGGGATGGCACAACGGAAGGGCGGACGGGCGGACGGACGAAATTCTGGACATGGTCTTTGGGGGTGGTGTTGTGGAACAGGGGACTTGGATGTATGGATGGCTGAATGAACGGACGGCTTGTGGCTTTGATATGGCTGGGAAACTCAATTGTCTTCGATATTGCGGAAGAGGCCCTTCTCCCCCTCTCCCCGCTGGCAAGGATCTCTTCTGGGTCTTTTTTACTCTCGATTCTCTGGGACAAAATTAAACACACATCCATTTCCCCCCACGGCTCGCCATTCGCCATCTCTTTGTCATTCCGCACTCGTCGAGAGGTTGACCTTACTCGTAGCTGGAGGACTTCATGGGGGAACCTCTGGGCGGGACATCGTATGATTGTGCTGGAGCTGCAAGGACGCTCAACCCCGTACCGGCCGGGATGGGGTTGCAGAGAGCGTACGGATGAAACATGCGTTATCGGCGCCTCCCCTTCTCCCTCTCCCCATTCTCTCTTTGTTATGAGGGACAGAAAAAAAATCGGGAACATGACCGGGACGGAATACAAGCAAGTGCGCATGTGCCGAAACATAATCAGTGAGGGAATGGGCCGACCAGTGGCACGGCCTCCCCGTTGGGACTTTGCGCGTGTTGGGGATGGTTTGTCTGGCTCACCGTCTCGGATGGTCCGTCCTGCTCTTGCTGTTTCTTTGGTAGCACCTGATTTTTATGCTGTCGCCGTTTTCCTCCTCTCTCTCTGCCTGCCAGTGAATAGATGCGTTTCTCCTTTGCTGTTGATCTTATTGACCCAGCATGAGGTACAAACATATCCTATGATATGTCGCGCAATATGTGGATATACCCCGGCTCATCTGGTCAAACTGTCGAAACTCAGTTCGGGGCACGCAATGTGTGGACGATGTTGGTAGGTGATGAACAGAAAACCACACTGTTGAAAGAAAGACGGGCCATCCTGAGGCTGGTCTGTCCCGACTATCTTCACACAAACACAACACCACACGTTGTTGTACGACACACACAAATGAGGCAGCTAAGCAGAAGGGGAAAAGACGGGCACGAGGGTTGAAGAAAATCTGAAGGTCCAAAGGGATAATATCCTCCCCAAAGGAGTAGGTTATCCCACCGATTATGTTCCCTATCTCAATGGAAGAGTAGAGCCAAACAAGGCAACGAGTACCAGGATCTTAGAGCTCCTAGCATCAAATTCTCACCGCCAGTGAGTGTCATCATCATCATTAATCTATGGACCATGTCCGTCAGAGAAAACCGATTCCTGTCCTGGAACCACCAGCTCGTGTGAGCCTTCATCCTTGGTCTAATCAACCACAAGAGCTTGCCCTCCTCCATCAACCCAATGGCCCCTGATTTTCCAGTGACTTTTGCTCGGCGAAGCCAGCACGCAATTTTGTCCGGGTGGAAAGGAAGCCATGATATGTACATCTCGAACGACGATTGCTGGCCAGGCGTGAATGCCATGCTCGTAGTAGACTTTATTCCGCCCTTCCATCAAAAGAAAGGGACTACCCTTCTCAGCCGATTGCCCCTCGAGCCAGATGAGCAGTAAGCTCGAAGTAAAATTATCATCATTACCCGCCAATTTTCGCCTCTTCATATTAGAAGTCAAAACCAGCCAAGCCCTCGGTGGTTACTAGGAGCAGGGCGGATGCAAGGAAGACATGAGACCGAGAATAATTCCAGAATCCAAAGATAAAGCTGTTGGTTAAGGTGCCTTGCCAACAGAATGGGAGGCGTGGTGCCAGGTGAACCAGATACTGTCCAAGAAGCAAGAGGCGATAGGTCGTGGTTTCACAGCCACTGACGATAAGAGGTCGAGCAACACCACACAGGCGAGCACCCTTTACCGGACGTACTTGCGCCCACCTCTCGACGCCTTGGCGGTGTCCTTCTCCTGCGCCATCTTGACGACCTGCTTGAAGTCCTCAAACAGGCGCTTGACGATGCCGCGCTCGTCCCAGTCCTCGACGATGCCGTCGGCGAGCTTGCGCCGCTTCTTGGGCTTCATGCCGTCCTGCTCGGCCAGCTTCTCGGGCGCCAGCCAGCCCTCCCTCTGCAGGGAGTTGTTGACCCAGTCCCGCAGGGCCGGCTTCCAGTGCAGCAGGTTGTGGGCCGTCTCGGCATTGCTGTTGCACGTCGTGCCGACGAAGAACTCCTTGTCCTCGGGCGGGAGGCTGTTGCCATTCGCGTCGATGTCCGGCTGCTCCTCCGAGTCTTCCTCGTCGTCCGAGTCGGTGGTCGTGTCATTCTCCAATTCGTCCAACGTGTAGCTGTCGTATGGCTTTCCCTTAAAACTGATAGCCCACGTCGCTGGGTGATTCGACCTTCCGCAGGCCTGGCACTTCTCAAATTCGGTGCCGAGATGACCCGCTCCAAGCTCGGTCTGCTCGATGTACGGGCGAGCCCGCAGGACCCGGTAGAAATCAGGCCTCCAGACAGACGAGATGAACTTTGACTGCGCCAGGCCGATAACCTCATCGTTGAGTCGCGTCCAGGCCGTCTTGTAGACCTCATCATCCCTCTCGAAGGCAGGGTTGATCCTGCGGTGGACGAGCCACTCCACAGCATCTTTGAAGTGAGCCTTGAGGGGCTTGCGGGCGGCCCGCGTGAACTCCAGAGGAATCTGGTAAAGTGCCTCCTCCGGAACTCCGATCGTATCGTCATCCTCGTCAATGAAGCCCTCCAGATTTCCATCGCTGTCGGCGGTACCCTCCTCGTCCTCTGCGTTGCGTCTGCTCGAGGCCTGACCCTTCTGCTTCTTCTTCGCTTTCTTTGACTTCTTAGCAGGTGCTGCAGCTTCCGCGGGTTCATCCGACTCATCGTCAAAGACTTCAAGAACCTGGTGGTCTGAGTCTGTATCATACAGAGCACCCTGGTCCTCATCAACCTCCTCATCGGATGTGTCAAGGTCTGACATGGTGAGGTTTTTCTCTCCAGCTCTTCGGCGGCGCAAGAGCTCCATCTTCTTCTCCTTCTCAGAACGGTGGCCCCTGCGCGCTCTCGATCTCATCTTGCGAGTCGAGGACTGTGGGGAAGCAGACTTCTTGTTTTGCGGAGTGACCTGGCGGTCCGATTGACTCGACTGCGAATCTGAGCCATCACTGCTGGCCACAGGACTCACTTTACGAGCGTTGCGGGTAAGCTTCCGTCTCTTGGTAGGGCTCTGCACGTCTTCCTCATCATCGTCCTCGTCGTCGTCGTCGTCTTTGTCTTCGTCTTCATCCACAACAGCCCGGCCCTTTTTACGCGCGCTGGACCGCGGTGTCACCAGGGGTACGTCGGAGTCGTCACTAACGGCCGCCTGATTTGGAAGGGATTGAGACGAGCGCATGTTGGGCTCATCATCGTCGCTATCTTCTAAAGTAATAACAGGCTCATCGCCTCTCTGACTCGGCCGGCTTAGATCTCTCCGGGTGATCTCGGGTCTCAGGGGACCTTCGCCATCTGTGTCATCCACTTCGCCATCCTCTTCGGCAGGGGTGTCCGAGTCGCTGTCTACTATGCGACGGGATGCTTTATTCGACTTGGACATGAAAGACGACATGGGCGGAGAAGGCGGCTGCCTCTGTCGCATTCTCACATCGTTCCCAAGGGAGACAGGCTGATTGTCATTTCCCCCTCCGATAGCTTTTGGCTGTTTGGCTATGCTCTGACCTAGAAGTTTGTGTTAACCGTTTGCGGGATTGCAAGTATTGTTGTGCAAAAGCCCGAATGGTGCGAAGTGACCAGAAGCGCCAGGGATGGATACTACATAAACAGGGATGAATAATAAGGTGGATGGGGTACACATACCAAGCGATGCATCCAATGTCTGCTGCTTCGGTTTCTTGGATCGCGCCATCCTGAGGGGGCGTACTGAACGACTGCTTGGACTTCCGTCCTTGGGTGACTGGAATCTGACCCTTGCAGGCGAAAGCCCTTGGCCGAGGGCTGGTGAGCTAGATTCAGAGACAGGCTCGAAGGTGAGCCTCTGCTGCTGCTGTCGGCGACGCTTAGATGAGCTCATCTCGAGGACAGCTCGTTGCTTCTGGGAGTGAGGTTATTGTTGGTGATCATGAGGCAGAACCGATACAGTTGAGTATGTTGTATCTGTGAGAATGTTGCGATGAGGTAGTGAGGATCCTCGCTTCTGTTAACAAGCGCGCTAACGTGATGATCTTAATGGATAGCGAAGGTGGCGATCGACTCTCTAGCCAACGATGGACCAGAGAGCTTGGTATTGAGCAGGTCACCTGGTGCAGGAGAAGGGAATCTGGTCTTTAAAATTGTTTGGTTGGTGTTGACCGGCCACCCCGTTGTATCAATGAAGCCTCTAGATGGGAGACGCGTTGAGGGGCAATTTAGGTCACCAAGCGCGTAATAAGGAAGCGCACGGGCCACATTCAAGTACTTGCTTCACTTCAAAGTACAGAGATGGCCAGATGACATGAAGGACAGGTGAACGGTTCCAATCTATGGCTTTGATCTGCTTACAGCTCGTACAAATCCCTGTATCTTGTATTTCAGTCATATGTAGAGCCTCTTAAAGGATATACTTCTATTCGATAACCTCTCCCTCACAAACTTCCTCCTCACAGCCTTCCACTTGAAAGCCTCCTTCCGCTGTTACTTGGCAGAGACAGCACTCTGACTACGTGACCTCATTCCCATGAAAAAAGCCATCAAGCTGTGTTTACATACGCGAGTACACTATATCATAGCCCTGACTAACAGTACAATTCAAGTCACACAGCATGAAACATGGTTAGAGTGGGACAAGATGATCAAGTTGAACGGAATGGGGTATTAGAATGTCGTATTTGACGACTATCTATAATCTCTCTGTCTCCCAGAGATTTCAATCATCCAGGCTCTAGCGATGGCCGTCCGAAGAATGCAAAAATAATCATGGTGGATGCCAGGACCAGACCCTCAGCCATCGTCGTCGACAGCATCAAAGCAAGAAAGACAGCCCAGCCTCTCATTCCCCAAAAACCATCCCCACGTAAATGCGCATCTCGCAAGGTTCGACTTCTGAACCGCGGTAGAAGTGAAGAAAAGTTTTCTCATATACGTTACATCAAAATAAGAACGCCGTCATAATGTTGTTTGAGGAGTCCCTTTGCTCGCCCCTCTTGTTTCTTTTTCGTTTTTTCCCCTCCTTTACACAACACAGGTGGTATCGTCTAAGCAATAATAGACATTAAGTAGTGCCTGCAGATAATGTTCCTGAACAACACCTATCGCAGAGGCAGCTGGGTATCACGAGCGCCACACTCAATCACATCCTCCAACCTCCAGCGCGGTGGCTTGATAACTTCCTGTCCGTTGGCCTTGCGCCACTCCTTCTCGTTCTCGGCTGACACACCCGTGGGCAGTGGCTCGTCGGTTCCTCCAGCGATACCTGAGGAGAACTTGATCTGAAGGATGTCACCGACCTCGTCGCAGGCAGCCAGCACGCGGTCCAGGTCATCCTTGTTGTGTGCAGACGAGACGCAGAACCTGGCTCGTGAGCTGATCAGCGGCGTGCCAGGGTAGCCGACGACGACTACTGAGATCTTGCGCTTGAGCATCTCGTGGCTGAATGCTGACATCTTGGCCGGGTTGTAGAGCATGATAGGGATAATGGGAGAGTCGTCATGGCCGTAGACGATGAAACCGAGACGCTTAAGTCCAAGTCGGAGGTACCGCGAGTTGAAGGTGATTCGTTGCAAACGCTCATCTCCTTGCCCAGGGGCCAAGACACCGTCGATGATCTTGAGGGAGGCCAGAATTTGCATCAAAACAGCAGGGGCCGGAGACTCTCCGTACAGAGTCGCGGCATTGACGCTCCTCAGCTTGTCGATGATGGGCTTCTCCGCAGCAATGTAGCCACCATTAGCACCGAAGGACTTGGTCAGAGTACCCATAAGAATATCGATCTCGTTGGGGTCGATCTTGTAATAATCACAGACGCCACGTCCCCTGGGGCCGAGAGCACCAATGCTGTGAGCCTCATCGACGTAGAGGTAAAAACCGTACTTTCTCTTGAGGGCAATGACGCCTGGGAGATCAACCATGTTACCCTCCATGGAATACAGACCCTCAACAGCAACCAGGATCTTCTTCCACGGGCGGTGCGTGCGGGGTTGACCTTGGGAAATGGCTTCCCGGAGCTTCTTTTCGAGATCGACCATGTCGTTGTGCTTGAAGGACTTGATGATAGCGCCAGACAGACGGGCGCCCACTCGGATGGAGGCATGGTTGAGCTCATCAGACAAGATCAAGCTGCCCTTGGAGACGAGAGCTGGGAAAGAGCCAGCGTTGGTGACGTAACCCATAGAGAAGACCATGGCAGCAGGCTTTCCGACGAACTGAGCAATCTCTCTCTCAACCTCGAGACACAAGTCAGACGTCCCGGCGTCGGCCCTAGAGCTACAGGCAGCCATGCCGTACTTGCGGACGCACTCTTCTGCGGCATCTGCACAAGGCCCCTCGGACTGGGCGAAACCAAGGTAGTTGTAAGAGCTCATGTTCAGGGTTTGGGTGTAGGTGCCGGGGAACGTGTAGCTCTGGTTGTAGTCGGTTGACGTACGGTCGACCAGTGTCACGTAGCGACCAGGAACGCCAATGGTTGGACGGGAAAAGCAATCGTCGATTCTCCTCTTCAGCCTACGGATGTAGAAACTGTCGAAGTCATCGGTGAGAGGAGCGTAGCCATTGGAGGCCCGGATGCTGCTGTAGCGCTTCTGGTCGCCGAAGTGCTTGCCGAAGAAGTCGCGTGCATGACCGAAGAAGATCAAGAGCAGATAGCTGATGTACGTGGTGAGGACATAGTAATAAGGAGGCTCGTCCTCGATGGGGGGATCCAGAGTGCCGCCGTGGTGTCTGCTGACATATCTATGGCTTGAATGCAGGAGAGGACCAAACTGTGCTTCTGCGCGTCTCTTGATTCTGTCCTCGGCGTCTGAGGGGGGCTGGAATAGGGTAGTCGAGGGCTCATCGTCGTTGGCCTCGCCAGCGGTCGCGGTGGATAGAGAGATGGTCGGCAGCGATAATGAGGGAGCGGTGATCTGATTTGAGGTGGCAACCTGCTGCACGGCCAGCAGAGACTGCTGAGCAGAAAGCTGCTCTTTGTTCTTGGGGGACGCGGAAAAGAGCTGAGTCAGACGGTTGGTGCGAGACTGGGACAGCCTACGGTCACCAAGCTTCTCGTGAGGCGTCATGTTGGACAGGGCTGAAAAAGGGTTCGAAAGCTTGCTAGGCATCTCTGATCGGTCCTTGACAGGCCAGGAGATGACGGCAGGTGGATGCGAAGCTCTCCCAACGCGGTGGCGGTGTTCAATTGAGCGGGTGGCTTCGATTGTTGAGGAGCTGGTAGGGAGGAAAAGTCAATAAGATAAGAGCTGACGGATGAATTGACGGGTGCGAGGCGGTTTTGTAAGATTGTCTGGGACAGATTGGGCAGAAGATTGGCGTGGCAAGGGCCCAGACAGGGGAGGAGACTCGCGTGAGATGGTCGAGGGCTGGATTGTGCAGTGCAGGAGAAGGAGGATGAGAAGCAAACCCGACGACACTGCCGGGAGAGCTTTTGATGGGGAAGAAATTGAAGGTGTGGGAAGGTGCAGGCTGCAGGGTGCAAGGTGCACGTCGCAGTTTTGCAGGCACAGGCCCAGGCACTGGCACTGGCTCAGGCTGGCTGCACTGGCACTGAACACGGTCACAGTCGGCTGGACCGGAATAGTCCAGTCAGTCCTGTCAGTGCCAGGGGCGAGGAGCGCGAAGGAGCCGGGGAGGCGCAGAAGAAGCGCGCACCGCCAATTCCTGCCCTGGGCACCGCGATAAGACGTGCGAGTGTTGGGGATTGGGTGGCGAGGCGAGAACTAGCGCCCGAACCGTGCCGTACAGTACATACGGTCAGACAGTGTGTGCCGTTGGCTGAGGTACTCACTTTGAGAAATGATGTTGATGAGACTGTGGTGTGCCTGCACAACAAACTGGTGTACTATAACAACAACAACAACAACAACAACAAGTCTGTAGCTGTTGTGCGTTCTCTTGTCTTGTTGTTTTGTTTTGTGAAGGCGAGGGCGAGGGCGAGGGCGAGGGCGAGAACCAGATAGATTGCCTGTTGTCGAGCAGGATGTCCAATTAATAAGAATCGACTGACAGGTCGCAGGTCGCGGCTCTTCGGTACGTGCGTTGCTCTCCCAAGGCAGGGGAGTTCATGCACCTTGGGGCTGGCAATCGGCAGGGAGCAAGCTCTGGGGGCAGAACGGGCGCAACGGGATCGGCGATCCCTTTTTCCCTTTCTTCAGAGAGCCGAAAGGGGGGCCGAGGGGCGCGAGGGAAGCAAGCTGGCAAGCAGGCAAGCGAGCAAGCTGGGGCCGTTGGATGAGCTGTTGTTGACGTCGAGACGCCTGCCGTTTGGGAGATCAGACACTGACGGTCGGGCAAAAACCAGAGTGAGCAGCAGGAATGACTCTGGCACTTCGATAAGAAGGGTGGGAGAGATCAAGTTGGGACGATGCAGTTTTCTCGAGCGAGATTGGGACTTTCATATCAATTTTGAGATGACGGGCTCGGCCTCAGCCAGACCGCGCGAGGCCAGGCGAGAATTCCCCAAGACCCAAGCACCAAGGGCCCTTCCTTTTCCCTTGTCCATGTTAACGGGTCCCCTGGCACTAACAGCCAACAAGCCCAATCCTCACCCAGCTCAACCTCCAACGGTAGCCCATCCGGACGACCCGACAGAGCAAGCTGTCGATGTGCCATTATCACGAGGACCATCTCGATCGGCATTTGGTTACAGGTTACAGACTCACGATCAAAACTAGATACTACATTCAACGTCAAACGTCACCAGCAAGACAATGCACCCGGGCATAACAAACACTTGCCTAGCCTGCAGCCCTGCATAGAATTCTCCGCGCCGGCGAAGGTGCAGGAAAGGGTCAACCCTCCAGGCACAGGAGCTGTCTCATGCCAGCCCAGCCCCAACGACATCATCGTCGCCAGCCTCGCCTCGCCCGGCCGGCATGCCCCTCCTTCCATCATGCCTTCCAGAACAAAGAACATGCGGAGGGGGGCATTACTGTACAACCACTGCCGAGCCAGCGTGTGTGTCCTCGCGACAATGGTCCCTTGCGCTGCCATCTACCCACGCCGAAGCAACGCAGTCCGGTGACATGGGACGGGCGCGGACAATTCACTCGTCCCGGGATCTGTTATTCGGGTCGTCCCTGCTTATAAGTTTATGGTGGATGGTTCGTCAAAGCTTTCTTGGCCCTTGGCGGCCCTGGAGATTGGAAATCCTCAATGCGCGCTTACATGACCGCTTGACTGCAGCTCATTCATTACTGCTTACACAGCAGCAGTGCTTACTTTTTTGGTTCGCTGTGGCACTCAAAATCTGCTGCAGATGTCGCCTTTGATAACCCAATTTCAAATTACTCTAGGTTCCGTTCATTCCGCCCTGCCGCCAATCATTGGAGCTCTGGAGGCCTTGCGCTAGCTTGGCAGGGTTCTGCACTCAAATCTCAGAAAGTCCGTGAGAGGGAGACGCTTGGTGGGTTGATCTGTCGGCTACTCACGTTTGGCGATCGTACCTGTGTCTGATTGTCAAACCCCCCCCCCCCCATGTGGCTCCGACTTCAGGCGAGCAGGGACATTCGCAGCATCCGGGCTGGCAACCCGCTGTCGTGGCACAGGCCAGACAGCGGCAAGCCTGCAAGGTTGTTTTGTTGACTTGGGTGGTCGGTGTCCCTATCACAGACTCTATCGCGATCAACACTTGCTCCCAATCGTCGATCTGATTTTGTCTCCGATCCCCGAATCGACGAAACACAGGCTGTTAGCTGGCAGACAGACCCACAGCCTGGGCGAGGCGAGAGAGGAAAGCCCGCAACCGAGTCAATCCTCAGCCTTGGAAAATCTCCAACGCATAACATCAGCCTACCCAGCAATGCTACTACAACCGCCAGGCGGTGTCGCTTGGGACAAGTCAGCAAACGAAAATGTGCATATATGCACCTGCAGAGCGTAGTAGTCAGGCATCAAATTCCACCAGCCGGCACTCAAGTCAGTCGGTCAGCCCTGGAACTACCTTGTCTAACTAGGTATCAGGGGTTGAGCGAAGCGAAGAATCGCGCCAGAAGACAAAAAAAAATATTCAAAAAAAGAAGAGGCGCGCTATCAGAGCGGAATGACGCCACACGCGAGGCTGCCGACCGCAAGTCCTGCCGCACCAGTATGGCGGGATGATGCCTTCAGCCCGCCCGCGACAACTCAATGCCTTTGACCAGGAGCACAATAGCCGCGTCGCAGTCCGGTGCCGAACGCGGTGAGCATTGGCAAATCATTGGTGGCCCCTGGGCCGACTACTGTTATTCATGCCCGGCCGGAGACGGTCTTACTATGTACGCCCCAAGAGTCAAGTCCCCTGCCGCCCAGTCTGCCTGTGTTGCTGCATCCAAGGCCCGACGAGGTCATACGCACTAGACTGCACACAAAATTGGCAGCGGCAGCGTGAAACATGGCGCCCGCGCGCGAGATCTTCAGTTTCCAGTCCATCGGTACTGGATCTAAAGACTCGGCCATGATACTTCGATGAATAAATTGCCCGGACGCAGGGATAACCCGCGCGAGGTATGAGTAGCCCCTACAAATAAACCAATATCAAATGCGAGCAGAATGCTATCACCACCCATCCCCCCTTAATGTCGTGCACACACTGAACTCCAGATAGGGGGTAAAAAAAAGAGAGAGAAAGTCATCGTGCCATCCCAGTCATGCTTGAACAACTCATAAACCTTAAATCCGCCTGTTCCTGCGTCACCCGTCCTCGTCACCGTCACCGTCGACGTTCGCCCCATAAACAAATAAACAGATGCTTTGTGCCCTGCTCTTTACTGCAATGACGTAACGATCTTCTCCAGGGCCTCGACCAGGATGTCGGCGTGCTTCTCCTCAAACGTCAGCATCGGCCTGAGCCGCACGGCGCTGGCTCCAGACCCGCCGATGTTGATGCCCAAGCCCTTGGCCACCTTGAGGAACTCGTCGCGCTTGGGGTTGTCGAAGGCGAGGAAGGTGCCCTGACCCTTGCCGCGCAGGTTGTCGAACTGGCCCGGGTACTTGACGGCCAGCTGCGCCAGCTTGCCGTACAGGTAGTCGCCGACGCGGGCCGTCTGCTCTACCAGGCCGTGCTTCTCGACCTCCTCGATGATGGCCCGGAACAGGATCGCCCGCACCGGGTCGCCCATCCACGTGTTGAACTGCCGGTACGGCTTGTTGGGCCGCAGCTCCGGGTTGCCGAAGTAGTAGCCCGCCGTCTGCGCCTTCTTGGAGAAGGTCACCATGTCCGGCGGCGTCGCCAGGTTCCAGTGCTCGTGTGCCCAGAACTTGCCCGTCGCGCCCACGCCCGTCTGCACCTCGTCCACGATCAGGAGCACGTCGTGCTTCTTGGTGATGTCGCGCAGGCCCTGGAAGAACTCGGGCGACGCGTGGTTGTCACCGCCCTCCGACTGGATGGGCTCCACGATGACGGCGCATGGGGGCAGGTGCCAGTTCTTGAGGAGGTGCTCGACCTCGGCCAGCGAGTCTTGCTCGGCCTTGCGGTTCTCCTCGACGTGCTCCTCCAGGGGGTACTTGAGGAGGGGGAAGGTGGCCTGGGGCCAGTCGAAGGCAGGGATGTCGACCTTGTGGATGGGCTTGGAGCGAGTGGTGGACAGGGAGCCGAACAGACGGCCGTGGAAGGCGGTCTTGAAGGACAGGATGGACAGCTCGGAAGCACCTGGGGACTGGTTGTTCATGGACGAGTTGAGCTCCTCCTCGGTGAACTCGATGTGGGCACCACCACGCTGCTGTTGCCGCTTCCACATGAAGGCCGCCTTGTACGCCGTCTCGTTGGCATCGGAACCAGCCATGGCCGTGAACACCTGGTCCAGGCCCTTGGGAGCCACCTTGAGGATGCCGGTCCGCAGAATCTCGGCCCAGTCGTTTGGAGGGAAGTTGCCCAGGGCGGGCCTGTTAACCAGAGAGCTGACAACGGCCTCGCTCTTCATGGTCTCAATCAGATGAGGGTTGTTGTACCCCACAGGGATAGATGCAATCTGAGCGTAGCTACACACCGAGGTAACACCGCGTTAGCCCACGCCCTGTCCTGACACATCGGTGAGGCACCGTGTAAGGTGTCACGGAAGAGGGGGGGAGGAGGGAGAGGGGCGGCAACTTACACATCAAGTAGGACGTTCCCATCCGGGTCGGCAATATAGTTGCCGATGCTGGCCTTATAGTCGGTGAGCATATTCAAGCTCCTCGTGTCAAAGACCTTGTTCAGCTCGGCGGTCTGCTCCTTGGCCTTGGGGCCAGGGATGGCGGTCTTGACCGAGGGAGCGCTGGGCTCGACACCATCGAAGCGGCCCATGTTGCTGGCGGAGGCTGAGAATGACCTGCTGGAGAGCGCAGAAGAGGACACGGGCGCAAAACGAGAGGAGATGAGTCGGGCAGAGCTGGACGCAGTGCGCCGTGACAGCGTCCGGAGAGCGGACATGGCGGGCTGTTTTATACTTTGGTGTTTTGAGAGTCGCAAGTCGAAGGTGGAAGGGGGGGGGGGCAAGCGGTATTTCGCCGAAAATTAAACTAGAGAACCAAGTATGACGGGAACTAGGTAAGAAAAACTTGATCAATTGGATCCGTACAGTACACCACGAAGTCGCAAGTACAAGTGAAACCACGCAGCAGGAAGGGTGGGAAGTGGGCGCGAGGGGGGAGTATTTACGTCTCGCCCTTTGGCGCGGCGGTTCATGAAAGTGGAAAGCTACCACGAGCTGGGGTCCCGCCTTTCGCACAGGCCTATCGCGGGGTGGGCTACTACCGGCTTATCAGTGGAGTGGCGACCTGCAGCTCAATTGACTTCTCCGGGGACCAGCTTCAGTTTGATGGTCCTCCACGACATGCACTCGGTCCGCCACAACAAAGAGATCTGGCTCTCATTCATGGGCTTTTTGCAGTCTTGATACTCTTGAGGTAGCTACGATATTTTTCGCTTTCCTCTCATTAATTCTACAGAAACTTCTGAAAATTCGCAAATATCATCATGTCGCCAGCATCTCCAACGGTCACTGACGAGGGGGCGGAGGCCAAGCTTCGCCGGGTCCCTGTCGAGACCTTTCCGCTTCAGGCATGTCCAGCCGGCGGCGATCCGGCTGCTCTGCCTCGTGCGCTTTGGACCGGTCCGGCCTCGTCTCTCTGTCATGATTATTATTATTACTATTGTGGCAGTCCTGCTTTGTCAATCCCATCTGCCTCCAACCTAGGCTGGGGGAGAGGGGGGGGGGATGCACGCCCGGCCCGTCTCGAATCGTGAACCCCGATGCCGACGTCGGTAGGCGGCTAGATCTCCTCAGCCCAGCCCACAGTACCACCCCCAAGATCTTGTTACACTCATTTGTGGCCCAAAGAGGAATGTCCATGCGACGGAGCATATTTTCGTGCAATCAATTGTGCAGGTGATGATCTCTGTACACCGCGAGGAAGGTTACACATGCCTGATGTAGTAAGATATTATCAGATCTCGTGGGTTTGGGGTCCAAAGTCTCGAGTACTCCCGAGTACTTGGGCTACGGATTTCTCCTCCATGATCTTGGATGCTCTCACGGCATGACTACTTCTCTTGCCATCAGTCCACTCGTTTCAGCAAAATACCTTGGGATTGATGATGGCAGTCGCCGGTAGCACCCCTTGGCCGCAAAGTATTGAATCCGTTCGATCCCTGAATAAGGATGCCTGTGGACATTGTCGTCCGTCTCCCTGAACGCCGATGCCTACACGAAGTCTATGGAAGCAAACCACGATGCCTCACTGATGGATACGGCTGTCAATTGCCCCACCGTCACAAACAAATAAGCGTCATGCCAGAGGAAACAGCATCCCGCCATTATCGAAGCATACATAGGGCCACGCATACATGTCTCGAGTTGCTCCCAAAACCCCTTGCGCCCTTTACTTGAAATGAAGAAAGCTCGCCCTGTAATGCCCAGCCCTTCAACGTCAAAAAATCAGATGAACGCGAATCCTTTGGTTGAATAGAAGGTGGTGACGGAGATCACCACGAGGGTATACCTAATAATCGCAGAAGAAGCAGAGAGGAATGCGTTCATCACGGCCAATCGATAACATCATCCTATGGCTTCGGGTCGTTGCTCTGATCCGTGCCATCCGCGTTCTGGTTGCCATCGGGAGACAACCCCGCTCCTTGGGCGACCCGCTTCCACATCTCAAGCTCCTGGTAGAGACGGTCGCACTCGTTCTTGAGCTTGTCGTTCGAGGAGCTGAGCTCGGCGATAGCTTGCTCCGTGAGCAGCTTCTCCAGAGTCCATTTCTCCACCGCTTGCTGCTCGTCCTCCTTGAGCTTGGTGATGTAACGCACAGCGTTCTGCAATATGGAGCCCTTGTTCTTCTCACAGCCAGGTACTATCTTTGCAAGTTCGTTGATGCCCTCATTGATCGTCTCACGGCGGCGTCGCTCCACTGGAAGGTGTAAGTACAGACATTCATTACGCTAGCAGATACGGGGTTGCGGGAGTGCTGACCCTCTTTATGGTTGTCCTTTCGCATCTTGTGCCACTCCTCGGAACCAACAGCCGGTTTTGGATTCGGTGTTGTCGAGTATCGAGCCCCTGGTATGTCGTCCATCTGGCGCATACCAGGATCTGGCGGCTGGTGGGCGGCGGCAACGTTGGCTAGTGCCTGATGATCCATGGGCAGGCCATCTGCTTGGGATACGTCATGCGTATACGGGCCCAACTCCATGTTATGTTGGTCCTCATGGTCTCCGGTGACCTGGGCGGCAAAGTTCTCTTCTGATGGTTGAGGGGCATGGATAGTAGGATAGACCAGGGCGGCGGCAGCAGTGCTAGATGCGTTGGCCGGGTCAGCGGCGTCAGTGTGGTCACTACCAGCCGCGGCCTGCTGGAGAGCATTAAAGTCGGAGACGTTAACGCCAGCAGCAGCAGCTTGTGCAGTGTCCATCGCGCTGTTGACGTATGCATCCGTGGGATCAGGACTGCCCATGTTGTTTCGCTTGGAACGGCGAAGGTCTGGTGAGGTCTCCCCGGGGCGCTTTCGTTTTTGAGGCGGGGAGCTGGTGAGGGCTGAAAGATCGGGCTCCGGGTTTGAAACGTGCGCCATCACCAGCGCAGCGAGTTCTGAAGACATTGTGTACCGGGGCTCCTCAAGGCCGAGTGCCTGATCGGTTCAGTCAGAATGTGAAAGAGATTTGCATTTGGCACGTCATGACGCTGGGGCACGGCTGCGCTATCTGAAGTTCACACGTTGAGGAGTTGTCTTTCAGGCGAGCTATGCCCAGACGCGTTTTCCGACGAGCAGAGCAGATGCAACAAGGCCACTTGAACCTTGTTGAGCTTCATCTTGGAGGCTCTCATTGACTTCGCGTCGGGCTCACTTGAGCTTCTGGGGCACGCCAACTTGGGCCGTGTCTCAGTCGGAGTGCAGTGCACATAGGAGGATGACCCAAGTTTGTAGGGAATGAGGCCAGGTCACCCTGAGCTGAGCGACGGAAATGACAGCAAGATGGGATGCCGAAGATGGCATATGAAATGCTGATGCGGTCTGGGGATCCACCTTGGGACACGATGCTGGAGGTCTGATTTGACGGCATGGGGGAGAAATCGAGACCGCCTACTTACACGATCTATCTCTTGTCATGTGGCAAGTCAGGTGCTGATTGCGTTTGATAGGGAGGCAGCGCGGGATCTGGGCGGCAGTGGGCGACAAAACCTCGTCGGAATAACTATTACGGGGAGTTGATGGGGATTTGATGGGATCAAGGGCTGTGTCTGCTTCTCAAGAGTCAGATTCGACAAAGTCCGAACATAAAAAGATGGATGCTGATGAATGCATACCTGTATTGTCGGGCGCCTCGTCGCCTTAGAGGGGGGTGGATGCTCGTGACCAGTTCCAGATTCACGTGAGCTGGAGGATTGTCTGGAGGGAACCTGGCGGCCTTTTGAAGGTGGAGGGGGGGGTGGAAGAGACCGGCGCCGTCAAAGGCCTCAGGCCAAGGCAAGCAAGCAAGCAAAGCAGCAGGGAGCAAGCTCTGGGGGGGACTGGGGGTGACTTGGGGTGACTGCTGTCGAGTCTGGCCTCTGCTCCTCGCTCTTCGGACGGGCGCCAGGTCCCCACAAGTCACACCCCGCCTGGCCACTCACAGGCGGTTGTGCTCGCCTGAATCATCCACTCCCGACCTCAGCTCTAGCGTTGCAGCGTCGACGCACCCCACCCTGCCTGCCTCCCACCCGCCATACCACCCTACTGTGCTGCAACCCCACCAACAGCCGCCGACATTTCCTAAAGCCCCGTCCCGTCGCAGTCGCAGGTGTCTTGTGAAGGTTGCAAGCTCTCGGGTGACATGTCCAGGATGCACAGGATGCACGCTGGTGTCGAGGCTTGCAAATGTCAACGGGACCGGTGAGATACTGGCTGCATGGTGCTTAATTCATATGACAAGACAAGACACAACACGACACAGCACTCGCATCACAGACAGTAGTCTATCTAGTCCGCTGGCTCTCGGCTGCTGGCTGTTGGCTGTTGGCTGTTGGCTGTTGGGCCCTAGGGTGGGCTGGCTGGCTGGCTGACTGACGTTCTGATATTGGAGAGCACATACATATGCCGCTGTCCATCCAGCTGTACAGGTTTGGCGACAGTCGAACCAGGGTGGTTGGTCCGGTCCGAAGTCCACACCAGATGTCTAACAGCCCTGACTGGAAGAGACTGAGAGAGAGAGAGAGAGCTGTGACGAGGCTGCTGTCTCAGCTGAATACTCTCTCTTCGACTCGCACTCCCTCCCTGATCACGTAGACTCGTACGAAACCCCGTGGATGACTAGCATACGATGAGATTGTCCGCCAAGCTGGGTCAAGTGATACACACTTGGCCAGGCTCAACTGAGATGGTGTGAAGGCTGCCCAGGTCGGAAAGGAGCATCCCTCCCCTCAACCAAGCTGGCTTCCTACTAGGCAGCTTCTGTCTGATGCTCATCTCAGGTGCATTCACCCATCCCCTAGGCCCTAGAGCCCGGACAGCGAGCTCGCTCCTCCTTCTCCTCCTCTTCCCCCTCCAAGCTCGACTGAAAGTAGCAGGATAACATGGCCTCTAATATATGATCCGTGTTAATTCCGGAGCTGTACCAACACCTTCTCCAATAGCATATCCTCATTAAAAGCATTCACGATGAAGTTCCATCTGGTAATAACATGTCTCTCGTTTGTGTTCGCAGCTGCTGGTACATCCTTCCAATCATCAGAGTCTACTCTGGAACCAAATTACACCTCCCCGCTAGGTGTGCAATACATCAACCCTTCGATAAGCTACGATGTCACGGGACCCTACAGTCTGCTTTCTATCGCAGGCCCAACCCTCTTTGTCGCCGGCGTTCGTGGAATACATCCTTCGAATAACACTCTCGCAGAGATTGGATATCCCAGAATACGTCTAGCGTATGAGAATATGGCTTATTTGGCGCGGTCGGCGGGGAGTGACCTGGTCAGGACACACGCCCCCCCCCCCCCAACCGAAGCAAAAGAATGGCCCCTGTTGACCTGTCTTCCAGACATCATGCGTCCGTCTGGTTGTCTATGTGTCGGATATGTATCGCTATCGCCCCTTGGTCAACCAAGTCCAAATTGAGCTATGGGCCGAGTTGAACACAACGGGCAAAGTGCTGTTTCCACCCAGAACGATTATTGAGGCACAGAGGCTGAACGACGACGATATTGTCGAGGTCGAAGGAACATTCTGGTTGGGCTGAGATGCTTCATCACCGTCTTGGGTAACTTGGACTCAACAAATGTATTTGGGTAGGACAGTCCACAGAGGCTAGCTGATCTGATACGTAATCTTAGCGAAGTAGTAGCTCGACCTCTTCTCGGCCGAAGATGCCGGACATGAAGTTGATATTGATTGCAGGTGCCCAAGTGGGTAAGACAAGACTCAGCTCGACAAGTCAGCATTTAGACGACGCAGGTAGATCCCATAGTCTGACCACTTCGTCAGCCTGCAGTAGAGCAGTAGAGCTGTGTGGAAATGCCACCCCGCACACCTGGGGTAGTAATAAGGAAGCTCTCCTTATCGGCTTATCGGCTTGACCACAACCTCGGAGCGTCATTGTCACGCAACGCCGTCTTCCAGAGCATCTTCCCCTACGAAACCGCCCGACCGCCCGACTTGAGTTGGAAATCTCATACATAGCTAGCACCTGATTTGAACTCAATATGGGAGACCACTCGGTCACCAAGATTGACCAAGCCAATCATCTCCTGCTGGTAAGTCCACGTCTCTGCAAACTGCGAGACGCCTCCACGGCCTCGACCATGGGAGAGACAGCTAATGACGGGCTTCCTCAAACCAGGACCAACCCCTCCTCCGCCTTCCACACGAGCTCCTCCACAAGAACTTTCGTTCCGCCCACTTCGTCATCGAGAAGCAGGGAACCTTTATCAAGAAGGAACTAAAAGACACAGCCAACGCCGCTCTGAAAGGCGGCGCCAGTCCAGATGAGGTCCTCCGAAGCCTCGACACCATGATCGCCCGCGTGCGCGGCGTCAAGCGGAAGTTGGAAAGCTGTGAACAGGAGGAGTCACGGCTGTACCGCCAGGTCGGCGCCAGGGTAAAACACCTGTCGGATCTCGGGTACATGCACGCCTTTGAGGACGTCAAGTATGAGCACTGGTCGCGGAAGAGGCTCGACAGGCTGCTGGTCGACTATCTCATGAGGCAAGGCTACAGCCAGAGCGCGAGGGCCCTTGCTAAGGACAAGGGCGTCGGGGATCTAGTGGATATCGACACATTCGAGCAAATGAACCGGATTAGACAGAGTCTGCTCAACAAAAATGTCAAGGACGCGCTGGACTGGTGTACAGAGAACAAGAAGGAATTGAGAAAGATGGATGTAGGTCAAACACATGTTCCTTTCACGGCGAAGACTCGTCACTGGCATTTGCTGACTCCTTGACGGACAGAGCAACCTCGAATTTCAGCTTCGCTTCCAGCAATACATAGAACTCGTCCGCACCCAAGACGAGGAGAAGCTCCTCGAGGCCATAGTCTTCGCCCGCAAGTTCCTCTACCCCTTCAAGGAGTCCTTCCCCAGCGAGTACGGCCAGGCAGGCATCCTGCTCGCCTTCCCGCCCGACGCCGCGGACGACGAGCACCGGCAGATGTACGACTCGTCGCGGTGGAACAAGCTGGCCGACATCTTCACCGAGACGCACAACGCCCTGCTGGGTCTCCCGTCCTTCCCGCTGCTGCACATAGCCCTGCAGTCGGGCCTCTCGGCGCTCAAGACGCCCGCCTGTCACAGCACGCACGCCAGCTCCTCGGCCACGCCGTCCCACCACACCAGCTTGACGAGCTCCGTCTGCCCCATCTGCTCAACCGAGCTCAACGAGCTCGCCCGCAACGTCCCCTACGCCCACCACACGCAAAGCCATGTCGAGCCCGACCTCATGCTGCTTCCCAACGGCCGTGTCTACGGCCAGGCCAAGCTGGACGAGTACGCGCGCAAGGCCGGTCTGCCGTCCGGCAAGGTCAAAGACTTGCGGACAGGGGATGTGTACACGACGGACAAGCTAAAGAAAGTATTCATCACTTGAGCCATTTGGGCTGTCGTGGTTGGTCAACGGTGGGCACGTGTACGCGTGTCGGGTGCACAGGAGAGTCTATCGTTATTCGCATATCTTTTTTTGTCCCCTGTTTCCTTACAGCATAGCGGTCATGGTCTTTATGGAGGAATCGGCGTTTCTGGCATCGAGAGGGAATCTCTAATACGGACATCCATGATGTGCAGGTGTATTGTAGCGATGTAGCGTTACAATATGATAGGTGACTTGACTAGTCGGCCATGTTTTGGTGTGAATCACAAGACATTGGCTAATTTAACTACTATATTCAAGCACCAAACATTGACGAAGAGGGAACTCGACCATATGTGCAAGAGTAGTAGGAATTCATGAGAATGCATATATTCCGCTGTGCTGTACCGGGTATCCACACCCATACCCTCTGGCAGAAAAAAAGGAAACGCAAGAGAAAAAGACGACAACCCTGCAGAAAATACACAAAGACAACATATGGATACACACAAGGTTTCAAGAAAGCCCTCCGTGCCCGCCCGTTTCCAGAGACCATCCCTGGCCAAGTTCCGAGAGAGAAGCTTCCCCGAATTTTTTTTGCAACTCTCTGGCCGCCCACCTGCCCCAACTCCGTTTAAACAGGCAAGCAAGCAAACAGACGCACGCACCAAAAGTTGTAGAGGCCAGGACAACCCCCCTCCAATTTCCATCCCATAAGGTGGAGGTGCTAGAGTGGGGGGAGGAACTGGTGACCGACCGCCTCATTACTACACGCTGCTTAGAACGATTAATCAGAAGTGGGAGGCCCAGGCTCGGCTCCTGTGCATTCGCCTGTCCCTTCGCCTGTCCCCTCGCCTGTCCCCTCGCCTATCCCCTCGCCTGTCCCTCGCCTGGCCCTGAAAGCCGGTGCCGCCGGGTTCAAGGACCATGGTGGCCGGGAAGCCAGATTCGGGTTGTACTTGAGGCAGTTGTAGGGACAGTCCGGCGTGTCACACATCTCGGAGCCAGCAGGCGGCGGATTCCCCTCCTCCTCGTCCCCCTCCCCACCGACGGATCCACCCTACCTGGCGCCGATGTGGAAGCTCCCAAAGACCCCGCCGCCGCCCCCGGGCGTCATGGGCCCCATGCTGCTGACGCCGTTCGTGTTGTGCGACTGCGCGGCCGGCGTGTTGACCAGGCCCGCGCTGCCTTGATTGGGTGTGCTGGGCGTCCCTTCGGCGTTGTTGTTATTGTTGTTGCCCTGCGGCGGCGTGCTGTCTGCGGCTGCCTGCTGCTGGGCCGCTCCGAGCGGTGCACCGATGTCTGGCACGCCCAGCCCCCAGATCTTGCCGACCTGCTCGGTGGGGATGTCGCCGTTGAATACCTTCTCACGCATCGAGAAGAACACCCTGCCCGTCAGGAGGCCGTCCGACCCGGCCTGGTGAGCGGCCCCAAGTCGCTTAATCTTCAGGGCTTCTGCTATGCTCTCGAGGCCGGACTTTTGCTCGAACTTCTGCAGCAGCTCTGTCGTGCTCGGGTCGCTTGGTGTCAGGAGCCCGGAGTTGTGTTGCTTGATCGCGTGCTTCATAAGGTGCTTGACGTCGTAGACGCTCGGGAAGTACTTCTTCAGCCGTTTTGTGAACTCAAGCTCGTCGTTCGGCATTTGTTCGCACATCAAAAGCTTTGTGAGGTATCCAAAGTCGTAGCCTCCGTGGAAAGATATCCATTTGACTTCTTCGAAATGGGTGAGACCGGAAGGTATCAAGAGCGCCGCGAACTTCTTGGGATCGATCCCGTCCCGCTCCAGAAGCCCGAAGTCGATCCCAGCGTGCTTGAGAGAGTCGATCGATTGCTCGTTGTACATGTCGTCGTTGAGTGAGAAGTTGAAGTTGAATTGCCATGCGTGGGGGACTAGATTCTGGTTCGCATTTTTCCGCCCTGCGCCACCGATTTCCGCCGCATTTGTCGAGTTTGGCCTTGTCGCTGGCGTCTCTCCGTCTTCGTTAAACAGCGTTATGCCGATTTGAATGACCTTGAGAAGATCTACGTTCACCCGCAGACATTGGTAGTGGTAGTCGCTCTTGCCTCTGAACGCACCCATCGGCCGCGCAACGACGCCAGGAAACTCGGTATCCTGTGGAAAGATCAGATCAGAATGTCCCTCTCATTCCGAGCTCGGACGGCACCATGCGACGACTCACCATGGCAATATATGGGTATTCTAGCACCAGGTCGCGTAGCACAGCCATCTCGTCCTCCAGGTTATGTTTCCACACCTCTCGTATCCGGCCCTTGGCCAATGGATTGCGAGCAGGCTGGTCCCCCATCATGGAGTGGCTCTGTTGTTGGGCATGCTGTGGATGCTGGAGTGTTGCGTTGTGAAATCCCATCCTGGCGGCCTGGCCACCTAGGCCCGACTCGTGCCCGACGCCGAAGCTCGCAGCGGCCGAGTTCATACCTCCTGCCAGCCCTAGCACATTGCCATTCGTAGCGAAGGAAGGGATCTGGGCGTTCGGGTTCAGATGGGAGGGATTGCCGCCCAGTTGTGGAGTGTAGTTGTTGGAGTGGCCTGGGTTCAGGCCAGCGAACTGGTGTTGGTATGGAGCAACGTTGTTGGGCCCATTTTGGAACCTCGATATCTGTGGAGGCATCGTCAACTTGCGCCCAGCTCTGTAGGCTCAGGTTTCTGTCCTGGTAGTGTCGGAGGAGTCGTATTCAGTCTGAAGTGGACAACGCGCTGTCGCATCTGTGAACGAGAGTGGGATGCTCGTCGGGCAGGGGTCGACAGCCTCGGCTGATTGAATATGCAGGTGTGAGAATGTTCGGCTAAGAGTGTTTTCGCTCCTTTGTGATCGGGGTTCGCTGGTGTTCCTCGCTTTGCATTCGTGAGGTCTGTCGTGGGATGCAGTTCAGCATGTCAAATGGCCGATTCACAGTAGCCGTAGACAGCTCCCACGGCTGGGCCAGTGCGGGTCGCTGCCCGCCGCCACAGGACGGGGCCGGACCACGCTAGATTCACCCTGGTGGGTACCTAGGTACCTGGGCAGGCACTATAGGCCTTGCATGCCTCCAACCTCGAGACTCTACTGCTGCTCCAATCCGACGAATCGAACTCGACAGTCCAACCTCACCGCGCTCTTCACACAACCACCAGCCAGCTGTTGACAGACTGAACTGGTTCACCATGCTTCTGCGACCTACAATGTGCGCTCTCGAGTCCTTGCTCCCACTCCACGAGCCCAATTGACTGACCGAGCTTCCAGGATACTGCGGGCCGTCAACGGCCGGACGGGTAACATCACCGGCTTCGACGTCCGCAAGCTGAAAGAGTCCATCGAGAAGCCCCGTTACGACCCATGGGAGCGATAGTTAGTCTCGCAAGACACCCCAGAAGACTAATGAGCAAGGCTGACGTGGGGATTTCACAGCGAGAACTGGCGGTACACAGGACTGTTCAGCAGATGGAACAGATTCAAGAGCGGTTTTCCCGGCCTGGGTATTGCGACGGTGGCATTCGCGGCATACTGTGGATATGAGTACGCGTTCCTGCAGGACGAGCACCACGGCGAGCACCACGGCGAGGGACACCACTGAGGTCTAGGGAGCTGGGCAAGGGATTCTGGTTGGTTGGGAACAACAATGAGTGCTCCGCTGTACATATTAGACGTCGAAGTCAGGTCTGCGAAAAAAAGAGACACATCAAGCCGTGGAAGTCTCAAACTATGCAGTGCTATACATGTGATCATTCGGGTTGGGCAGTCTCGTTTGTGAACACTGCGAAGTAGAGGGTTGGCCCCTCAAAGGTAGATGGGAAACGTTCGATCAAAACAGGGGCTGGCTCTGAGCTCCGTCTAATTTCCCGGATGTGGCTACAGGACGGCAGCCAGGTGCTTGGACAAGAAGGGTGAGCAAAGAGAAGGGGGAGGATTCAGAGGAGTGTGAGGGCCTTGTAGGAAGAGAGGATGCGATGGAAGAGTGATGCATGTGCTTTTAACGCATCTGATGTCCATTCCTACGCCTTTGCATAAAGTAACGCATGTTCACCGGAACTGCGAGAGTATATGGCACCTGTCTGCACCTAGAGGTTCTACTAATACCCAAGTCTGGTTGCAAGATCTACGACTTGAGTCCAATGCCAAAATATTCGTCCCATACACAAAATGCCTGCTCAACGCTAGCCGACCAACTTCTCAGACGAGACGGCTCATGGTGCCATCTCAAGACTAGCAAGCCGCCACATAATACACACGGCCGCTTTCAGGGCAGAAGAACTCATCGGTCACTACATCGCAGAGCATTGGGACGCACGAGTATCTAGGCGACAAGCGTCTTGTCATTTGAGTTTCCAGCAGCGTCAAGCCGCCATTGTTGTCCGCACCCTGACCAACTATGAGAAAGTATCCGAAATCTATAATTCTGGGGGGTATGAAACATGGGCGAGAGTCCTCCAACAGCCTCGCAAGGCAGAGAGTACGTGCGGTGCGCCAGCCAAAAAATAAAGATGTTGGTGTTAAGCAGGTGCTCCTCCATACGATCATAGTAGGAAACAGGTATAATGTCGATTAACCCAAGAATCGAAACACAAGAAGGTGAATAAATAGGAAAGAGGAGAGCCCGCGAGCGCCGCCGTATGCAAGAAAGGGGTTGGCAAGCAAGAAAGCCAGATTAGCCAAGGCCGGGTTACTCTTTCAACTCCGTGTAGGTGTGGTGGTGTTTCGCTATATTCAAAAAAGAAACAGGGAGAAAAGGAATCCAAGTAAGAAGACTACCCAGAAATATCCTATCTCCCATGCCGCTGTTGTAATTCCTTGTCGCTGGGGCCGGGGCCCATGCCCCTAGCCCTGTCATAAGACGATACCGTTGACGGCGTCTAGCGCGCCCTCAAGGCAGTCCTCCAGCTCGCCAACCCGTGACTTGAGGTGCTTGTTCTCGTCCCTCAGCAGGCCGACCGTGTCCCAGGCGACGCTGGCATCCTGACCCTTGCAGTTCCGGCAGCCGTCGTCGCCCGAGATGCCCTTCATCAACTTCTGGAAGGTGCTCATCTGCGAAGTGGTGCTCTTGCGGTTGGACGAGGCCACAGACGACCTCACGTTGCCGCCGCGGGTGGACGTCGGAGTCGGCAGCGGCATGTCCATCACGCTGCTGTTGTCAGCGCCGCCGCGAGTGGTGGTGAAGGTGGAGGCCGAGGGGCTGCGGGGGCGCGAGAAGACGCTCTCGCCCTCCCCGAAGCTGATGCTGTCGTCGTCCGTCTCGAAACTGACGTCAGTGCCGTTGCTCTTGCGCCACTTGCGCTTCTGCATCTCCTCCGCGTCGTCGACGCCCAGGTCCTCTGATATCGTGCTGCCCGCCTCGGACTGGATTCCCGTCGGGAGCCGCTTGAGCATAGACTGGTCTTCGGCCCTGGCGCGGCGCTCCGCGGCGAGCTCTTCCATCAGTTGTTTCATATGGCGCTCCTGCTCGACTGCTTTGTGTGCCATGTCTTCGAGTTGGAACTTGAGGTGCGTGGCTCGCGTCTCGGCCTCTTCTAGCTCGTCCCTGTCGGCCTCCCGCTCCTTCTCGAGCTCGGAGAGCGCCTGTGCTTTCTGGCGGTAAGCATTCTGCATCTTGGTCAGCAAGCCCGTGGCTTGCTGTTGCAGATTCTTGTACGCGGCGGGCGAGAACGTGTCCTTGCTGTTTGGCGAGCCGGCAGGGAACAGTGCCTCCTCCACCTTCATATTTAGCAGCTCATCGTGCTCGGCTTGCGTTAGCACAACAGGTGCATTCCTCGAGAACATGGAGAGTAGAGACATCTTGGCGGGAGCCGGTGCTGGAGCGGGAGCTGCCGTTGTGTTCTTGGTTGTATTGTCCATGGGACCGGCGGTCTGGCTCCTGACGAGCCTCTTGGGAGTCGTCTCTGGGGATGGACAGTCGTCGGGGTCTTCTTGAGGTTTTTGAGTTGTGGGATAGCCCTGAGGTGCAGACTGCCTGAAGGTTTTCCTTCCTTCGCCGGTGAAGCCCATATCTTGTTCGTCTACAGAGGGATGGTCCTCGGATGGCTTCACTGGTGACTGCAGTCTCGCCCTGATGCTTGCAGGAAGGAAGTTGGTGAGTGATTGGCCTCGACCGTGCCCCGTGCGATGTGCTGTAGCAGGTGCGAGAGGAGCGGGTTCCACTTGTCGGTCGTTCGCGTGGCTGTGGTTCTCTTGTTCCTGTAAGGGGCGAGGCAGGAAAACGTGGTCAAGGGGGGCTTGTGCTTGTGAGTGCGTGTCGAGAGAGCTGGAACTGGCTGGACGATGACCAAGATCAAGTAGCCCGGCAGAAGCAGGGGAGCATCGGGACTCTGTTGGTGAGGGCAAACGCGGTGAGAGATGGCCCCGGTCTGAGAGGTCTGGGAGAGAGGGATCGAGGCCGGACGTTAGCATGGTGGCTATAGGTTTCGTGGGGACGTGGTGGGTCCGTTTAAAGGAGAACCCGTCCGGTTTATCTGGTGTCCCCTGTCGCCGCGGGGCCAAGCGTGATTGTATTGTGTAAGGGAAAATGAGCGGCGGTAAACCGTCTTTGAACGGGACAAAACGAGTCGTTTTAAGGCGTGCCTGGCGTGTGCCTGGCTAAAACATCTAGCCGCGCCGTAGCAAGGAGAGGAGGCGTCGACGATATGGTGGCTTTGGACGGGCAGACGGGTGCCACGGCAGGGACTCGGCGGGATGGCAGCGTATTGTGCAGATGAGATCTGGGAACTGCCCTGCACAAGCGGAGCAGTTGCATAAACCCTCCAGGGACCCGATTAGGATTGACGTGCCGGCCTGCAGCTCCAGCAGACCAATCCCTGTTTCTTGTCCCTGTCCCTGGCTGTTTGCTTGTCTCTTCTCTCGCTCTCCTTCTGTCTCCGCTTCCTCTTTCAGTACCTCGGTGGCAATGCGCAGATGGGCAGATGGGCCGCGACGCCGGGAATCTGGCGGCAGTGTCGACTTCCTTTTTGTCTGAGCCTGTGCCTGGTGACGTATTCAACCTTCCTTGACCCGGCACAATGTTTCTGGTTTGTCCTCGCGGACAGCTATGCGCGTATTGTGCACGTTGAAATGCCCGCGGCGATCGAGACGATGGAACGGTGGGGTTTCGCTGCAACCTCGGAAGGATCTGATGTCGATGGAGAGCTGAACAAGAGCAGTGGGTGTGAGGAGAGGAGCGAGAGATTTTTGTCTTCCTCAGAACGGTAGGTAGGGAAAAGGAATTCGCAGTCTTATTCTACGGCTGCCGAACCAACGGGTGAAGCGGAAACTTCAGAAATATACTTTGCTCGATACAAGGCTCTGCCAAGGTCATGCACAACAGCGTCACTGGTTGCCTCGGGAGTCCGGTCCAGAGTGTTGTGGTGGCTGGGTTGCTTTGGAATTTTAGGGGTCCACCGGCCACCACAACTCTTGTATGACGCTGGATGCACCTTGCCCTGGCCTGCCTGGCGGTGTTGGCTTTGTGCCTTGGTAGCCTGATTGCCTGCCTCGCCTCGCCTCGCCTTGCCTTACATTCAACATGGCAACTGAAAGCTACATTCCAGGCACTGACCTTCCCAAGATGATCAAGGCCTTAGTGTATTGGTCTCAATTTGCTTTTTCAAGAAAGAAAAAAAAAGGTTGTTGTCAGGTCATCCAAAACCGTACTGAGACCTGAATCCCATCTACTGATTGATCGTCCTGAGCTTGACCAGAGGTATATGGAGTGCTCGCTCCTCTCGTCCGAACACTTTTGACACGATCCATGGCCACCATGTCACGTATGCTCATACATTTCTGTGGCATTAATAAATCTTGGACAACGTAGCTTTATCGCTATAGCAAGAGTCAATCCTCTACAAACAGGCTTGACTTTACTGCCCCAAGGATGAATCCAAGGTGCTTGTCCAGAAAAGAGTCCCGCCCGGACCTTTAGTAGAAAGATTCCACCATCGTATCCTTCATGTTGGTATTGATGTTCCCGGGCGCCGCGCCCTCACCAAGTCTGAACACGCTCTCGATGACACTGAGCTCCGTCGCCGTGGTATCCAGACCTGTGACGGCCATCCAGTCGTTCACCACCATGCCGCCCCCCACCACGGAGCTGCCTCGGTTGACCGAACCAGCCACAAGCGGCACCTGCAGCAGGCTGGACAGCTCGTCCTGGTCGCTTATTGAGGTCTTGGGGTGCACCAGACCGCCCTGATTCGACAACGCCATGTAGGATCCCACCAGGACATTGTCAGCCACCGTTTGCCTAAACACCTCCACGCCCAGCACGTCTGCGATGATCTCCTCCGTCTCGCGCTCCAAGTCAGGGTGTACCAGAGCGATGTGGTCGTTTGCGACAATCACGTTGCCTAGCGCCGAAAGGCGCTCCTCTATTCTTTGGATTTTTACCTCGTCGGGGAGGGCATTTCGGATGTGCTGAAGCTCTTGATCGGTTGTGCTGGTGGGAACGAGGAGACCTTTGCGGTTACTGTAACAGGTCTGGGTTAGCAGGTAGCTCGTCTTGGCTGCCCCATCTCTCGCGATCACGAGTGACCAAGACCAGACTGGGCCAGGCTAGGTATTGCGACATACCCTGTTGTTAACCTGCCGACGATGCGGGTGCCGGCGATGGTGGTTCTGACGATGGGGATAACATCTTGCAGCTCGGCCTCGAAGATGCTGTAGAAGTTCTCGCTTGCGCCAATGGCCGTGAGCGCGTAGGAGTTTGTGAGAGTAGAGAAGACTCCGACTCTGCAAATTGGGTGATGTTTGGTCAGCGCAGGCACCTTGGGTGAGAGAGCGGCACAGGATCGCGGGGCCGCGGGGTAGATGCTTACTCGTTGGAGTTCTCGAATTGTGCTCGCACCGCCATGATTGTGATTGCTCGTGTGTTTAGTTTGCTGCTGGTAAAAGTTTCGGAAGTGGTCGTGAGTTGGAGAATGGCAGAATAGAGGGTGAGGGAGGTCGTCTTTTGCAGAATTGCTTTGCGGTGTTGCTGATGGAGAATTTTTGGGACGGCCGGGAAGGGTTGACCTTTATCTGCAATCGCCGCAGGGAATCAAGCAGTAGTGGCTCAGATTGACGCAAATTCAAAGCTGCAGAGACACGAGAGCACGACTTCTACAAGGAGCACCCAATTTTTTTTTTCGACACTGCCTGGATGAGAATGACTACAACACACTATGGACCTTCTATTCTCGGCCCTGGTCACGACAGGTAAGCTGGCCAGGTACCTGAGGATCAGAATGATTGCCGGTGAGTCAACTAGTCTAAGAGGCGAGGGCGTCGCCTTTCGTTTGGCTGCATCGCCACCCCTCGACGCATCCCATCCCAAAGCGGGAAGGCCCGCGTTGTAGTCATTCAGCATCATCAAGAAAGCGGTGGGGCTCAGCTGGGGTCGACCACTCAGCTTCGAGTTGCCAATGCTTCATTCATTCCTGTGCATTTCTTCATCATCTAACCAACGCCTTTCCCGACGTGTCCCAGAGGTATCACGACACCATTATTACTGTACATTTTCCTCCCTTTTGACATCAATATGCGTATTCACAGCCGAGTCCCTCTCCAAATATGGCAGCGTAGCCAATGAAGATCGTTTCCTTGTGCATCCGCCGACGGGCATCACCCTATGCAGTATCTCGCTCAAATGTGATCATCCAACAAAAACGATTAGCCACTTGGATGTGTCTCGCTAGCGCCTGCACCCGTATCCGTGCTTGGGCCTGCTGCATTGGCACCAGTGAAGCTTGATTGCGCCTCGTTTGTGCCTGCTCCCGCCGTGTTAAAATGGGGTTGCCCGCCAGTGCCCATGGGAGCGCCGTTAAAGTTCATATCCATGGGTGGCATGCCCATATGCATCATCGAAGGGTCACCCATCAGTCCGTTCATGTCTCCGTTGCCCATCCCGGGGATTCCAGCCATACCGCCGATTCCCATGGAAAGCAGCGACGCGCCGAGGTTGCCTTCCGGGTGAAGAGGATATAGGCTGGCCTCCATGTTGTTGCCGTCGAAAATCACAGTGTTCTGGATGGGCTGCTGGGTCTGACCGAGTACATTGATCACATCCTGTGCCAGTTGCCCGCCCAGTATGGCAGTCACTGGTGCAACCTCACACCCTATGTTCTGCAGGAAACTTCGGAGGAACTCAGCTGTAAGGGTCTCCGTTGGCAACTGGAGATCCTTGTGCTTTTGAGTGGCCGATTTCGTGAATGCCGCGAGATCGGCCTGGTTTGCTCCTGGATTGCGACCGTTATGGGACGTCTGGAACTCCCATAGTGCCCGAAGGCACGACAGGGCGGGGCTGACCGCCTTGAGGCGTCTCTTGCTCTTCGTGTACTCTTCAGGTAAGAAGGCGCCATCGCTGGAGAGCAACCAAGTGCTGTAGACTTCCTTCTTGGAGACGATCTCCATAGTCTTCCCGTTCTCCTTTTTCGTGTCAACTTGGAAAATAGTTCGAGTTCTAGTCTCCGCTTTCGGCTCTGTTGGCACGTTGGGTTTCTCCCGTTCAATTGAGAACGTGTGCTCGATCAGGTCAGCGAAGATGAAGCCGTACAGGCCATGTGTACCAGCTGCATAGAATGGCCGCATGTTTAAGCGCGTCGCGGTGTTGATGATGTTGAGAGCATCCGGATCTAGGTCGGTTGCAATGATCATGTCGAACAGGGCGAAGTAGCTCGCGCCTTTGAAGCGCACATCGTCCGTGTCGGCGATGACGTTGACGCGTGGATTCAGCTTCGCGACCTGGGGCAAGGCTGCCTGGGCCCTGTTCTTCCCTAAATGACCTTCTTTCTCAGAGAGAAAGAACTGAGAACCCAGGTCGGCCTCGGTGACGTTCTCATGGTCGACGATAGTCAAAGACCCTATGCCCGCAAGCACCAAGTTCTTGGCGATCTCGTTCGCCAGGCCCTTCATTGTGATGAGCAAGACGTTAGCGTTGCGAATTTTCTGTTGGGCCTGCATACCCCACAGGCGTATTTGTCTGTCGTACAAGGCAATCTCGTCTGCGAAAATGTGAGCTTCAGGAGTCTTGACGGTGTTTTAGCCAACCTACCGTTGCTGATGCCATTTTGCGGCATACCCAACATGCCGTTGGTGTCCATCGAACCGTCCGGCATCATCATAGGCATCATCATTGGCATGTTCATAAGCGCATCTGGGCCCAGCAAGCTTCCGTCCTGTGGCATCATGGAAAGAAGATTCAGGTCTGCTGGCATCTCTGTCTGCATAGGTAGATTCGAGAAGTCGCCATGCTGCATGGGATTGGCACTGGCTCCGGGCGCAGACTGAGCCTGCGTCGCGCTGGAGGCTTCTGCTTGGGCATTTGCGTGCGTGGACGTGCTGTGCTCCTGCCCTTGGGCCGTTTGCGCTGGGTGATCCATCTTGAGACGGAAGAAGTGGTTGAACCTCGATGGAATGCGGAGGTTGGAAAGGGATGTGGGTGTTCAAACGGCCTCCCAAAAGGGGTTCAATGCTCGAAAAGAAGAGGAAAAGAAACCCAGGAAGGATGAAAGAATTGGAATCTTGGCTGGTCGCCGTGCTTTCAGTCGTGGTCCTTTGCAATTGAGCAGCTGAAGTTTCGTATCTTGAGCCTCCAGAGGTTAGATTGTCGGCACGTATCGCGTTGCTTGCGCTGAGCAAGTAGGTGCCGAGCTTGCGTCTGGAGCTCAATAGCGCACCTTGGACGCAGTGAGCCTTGTCCCGGTGAGCTTCAAGGTGAACGCCTCGTGGTGGAAGTCGTTCTGGTTGAAAAGAAGGCAGATCTTTTAATGTCTAAGCCGTTGTCTAGAGGTCGCGTTGCAAGCTTCCAACTAGCCAGTCACCAACTAAACGCCTGGGCACCTGCAGTTAGTTACGTAGGTAGGGCAGCTCCTCAGCTGTACCGTACTGCACACCCCGTGGTAGCTGGGCAGCTTAGATGCGTACCAAAAGTACCTGGGTACATACTTACGTAGGGAGGCAGGCGGGCGGGCAGGCAGGAGTGGCACCCATGCGGTCGTGCTGACCCGACCCACTCTCTCGCCTTACTGAACAGGGATCCCAAAATGGCTCGGTCTGCGGAATCAAGTACCTAGGTACCTACTTGACTTGACCATGACTTTCTTCATGTGCCGATACCTCCTCGGTATTCTACGCCTCAGAGTCTGTTGGTTGGCAGGTAGCCTTGTCCCCCTTCCATCTGCGCCTGCGCCTAAAAGGTATGCGTTATTTCAGTGGGCTGCCGACCTGCCGCCTACAGTAGGCAGGTAGCAAATTGATGATCCGATTAGATGGTTTGCAGATAGACTACATGGAGGGGTTAGCGCCTGTGAACTACTCCGTACACACTAAGCACGCCCGGATTCAGTGGTCCCTGTCGCCATTGACGTCGCACTTCACCCTCCCTCTCAACGACCACGCTTCCATGTGCAAACCTCGTCACAATTCGCCCGTCCCATCTTGATCTTCTAACCCAACCCACATCACATTTGTCCTTCCTGGAAGGACGGGCTTGACTCACGCAGTGCAGCAAACGTCTTGTGCTGTCGAACCCCACGTCACTGTACCGAGCCATTGGAGTAGGTGCGGCGCTTTATTGGCCGTTTCGCCTGCGCTTCGATCTTTGTCTTGAAATGCCCGTGAGTGATTGATTGATACCCTGCATCTGCTCGGTTCCACCTTCGCCCACAGCACCTGCGATCGCTCTAACTCAAAACACCATCCTAGTACCAAGACCAACGCCGTCTGCTGGACTTCTCTCAGGCCGAAGTACGAGGGGACGACGAACTAGAACGAATAATCAATCGAGTTCGGCGCGAGCGACAGCGTTTGTCCAGGAATCGTTTGCTGCAGAGAGTCGAAATCGGAAGGGATCCCGAGGGAGACTCGCTCACCATCTGGGAACGAGAAGCTTCTGAAGACGCCCCAGGAGGAGCCACTGCGAGACCCAGACCCCGTCCAGGCCTAATAAGCAGCGACGGGGAGAGTGCTTCTCCTGAGAACATGTCGACCAACCAACGGGACCTCCAACGCAGATTCTCACGAGAGCCTGCACCACGACACTCGGAGGCCCTGCCCAGCTTCGCCAGCCTAGCCAGCTCGACAGCCCTCCCGCCTCTGCGCTCTCTAGGCACGCGGCGGGGCTCCGCAACATCCACGCCAACCGGCTCGAGTGGACGTCCCACTCGCCAAAGGCTTTCCGAGAGATACCTTGATCGATACCGAACTTCTGAGAACCGGACCTCGAACCCGATCAGCTTCGAAGACCTGGAGTACGATTTGGACGATGCAAATTCACAACTGCGTGCACTTTTAGAATACACCAACACCGCCATGATGTCATCCCCACTGAGTCCGACATCTCATTCACATACACCTTACCCAGAACAGGCCGAGGACAGCCGTCGAGTCAAGCGACGCAAGCTGGATACAGAGAGGACGGGATCCAGCTTCAAGGGCTTCCGCTATGGCAGGTTTGGGCAGATCGAACCCGGACTTCTGAAAATGGAGATCGAGAGCTGTGATGGTGGAATGTATGCCGATAGCAACATGAACCCTCCAGAAAGTATTCTGAAGAGCGACCAGTCTGTATATTGCACGAAGCGGAACCGCTGCAACATTGTGCTGAAGCACCAAGGTGCCACGGTCTTCACACTGACAGAATTGGTGATCAGGGCACCGAGTGCCAACTACTCCTCGCCGTAGGTCTCTGACTCGAACGGTGTGTCAAGAGGAAGCTAACCTTCACCAGGATCAGGGAGGGTATGGTGTTTGTTTCTATGGCATGTGACGAAGTGCTCAATAGGACTGCGCAGTACCAGGTTCAGTACGTCCCTCGCGACGATGTAAACCCACACGCAGACCGGGACAATCGGGTTCCCATATCCTCTGTACGGCATAATGACGATGGGACGGTGGCGTCGATAAGCCGTGCGCGTCAACGGCGAATCAATCTCAACACCCGCCTGGAAGAGGCTTTGGAGCACAAAGCAGCCGTGTTCCCAGTAGACCCTCTGCCTTTCCCCGTGACTGTAGCCACAGACTGCAGTGACAGCGAGGAAACACCAGCGCCCCGTGGCTTACTTCGACGGCAAGCGCCCCCGCCCAATAGGATTGGCCCACTTCCATTTGAGAGTGATGACAGCGAGGACGGCGAGAACGGGTTCTCGTCTTGGAACGATGACATGCGGTTCAATGACGATGACGGCTCGACGCCGCCGGCGCCGCCGATGGACCGGAACACACAGGATATGACGTTGGCCGAAGCCGCTGAAGCATCACAGCTTGCCACGCAGGAGGCCGTGAGAGCTGTCGGTGGCGCGCTGCTGGCACCACATGCCAAATTCTACATCGAGAAGGACAAGAACAGGTGCACCATCAAGTTCGACCCGCCAATTTCGGGGAGATATATTCTGCTCAAGATGTACCATCCAACGTACGTATTTCGAGAAGAGGTTGCTCTTAACTTTCCCTTTTTTTCACCCCCGTTGCGTGTGATCATTGGTTGCCGCTTTTGACCTTTCAACCCGTCCTTTCAAAGTAAATGCTGACTTTCAATGATCAACAGATCCAACATTGACGTCCAAGGCGTCTTCGCCAAAGGCTTTGCGGGTCCACGTTACTTCCCTTCAGCGGATCTACGATGAAGCAACCTCTAGGTGTCATCACGCTGCGGGGAGGCGTCGTCATGCGATGCTGGGCGTTTGAAGGATCGAAGCAAAACTTTTCCGCCCTCGACCTCATGTAATGATACCATGAAGATATGTCGGGAGGGCAGTGAGTGTATATTTGGCCGGACTTTCTTTGGAGGATTAGCATATCCTGGTGGTAATACGTGAATGCGGTGGTGTTGGTCTTGTAGGAGAAGCTGACTGAATGAGATACCATGGCGTTGCGTTGATTTTGATTTGCCTCTCAAGTCCGTCTTCGAAGGTGATTTTTTTGCTCTAGAACTGAAGTCTTTGTAATAAGGAAGACCAGATCTCGACCGGTTTACCCGTAGCATCGTGGTGGTGACTTGTTGCATGTGTGACTTCGCCTACATAGGGCTGGGAATTATATTGGTCCGGTCTCTTGCAACCTGTGGTCCATGCGAGTTGCAGAGTCCGAATATTGGGATGATCCGGTGAGGATCTGTAAAGCCTAATCTAATGGACTACCGTGGTGATTTGTCAGGGCACATATGAAATATTTTGACAAGTGCAAACTGAATGACTGGCATGGACAGACAGACTAACTGACTGACTGACATACAACAGCCATGGGGGCTTGGCTCCCGAGACCTTGCATGAAGCTGCATGGGTGCATGGCCGGGCCCGCTTATCAGGCACAAGCCACAAGCGGCAACCCACAGCTGCAGTCCCGCGCCCCGATAGCCGGAGGAACGCTGCCCATGAACGAGAGACCCTCCCAGATCCCAGAGTGCACCCGGCAGAACTGCGAAGAAAGACTCGTGCATTACAAAGCATGCGTCTGCCTGACAAGCGGCGTGGGTTGTTCAATTGACCGTCAGGAGAACTGCACAGATGTGCGACAGCTCTCACCTTACTCAGCTTGTCCCCCAGAGGAAGAGACAGCTCTCCTGAACAGAAATCGTGGACGGACTGATTGACTGGATTAGTGCCCATCAGAAGACTAATTGGAAGAAGTTGAATGACGAGGACAAAAAACGTCATCGGCTCGGATCTAATAGCTTCTCAACTCCGAGGCCCAAGCAGCTGGTAACAGTATCGTCCGAAGAGGCAAACCATACCTCCGGGACCACCCAAACTTTTCTATTTTTTTTCTACTTTAGTCGTCTTGGATTCTCGACATCCATTCGACATCACCCAGCCTGACAAGACCAAGACCGCCCTCGTAGGAAACCCTCAACCGACAGCGTACTTCCTAGCATGTCCTCAGCCCGCGAGTGACATCGCGCGAACGACTGAGAACCTTCCCGGACATGCAGCGCGTTCTTGGCGGCGACGACCCGTCCCAGCAGGCCGTCCTCGACTCGGGCTCCTTCACCGGCTACCGGCCGTGGCGCCTCGAGCTGGGCAAGGGCTACCTCACCGCCGGCGAGGACTTCAAGCAGCCGCTATGCGGTAACGAGGAGGGCTGGGGGCCCCTCAGCCCCTTCCGCTACGACTTCACGCCCTGCTTCCTCGACGTCTGGGTCGCCTCTGTCGCGCTCTTTGGCGTCGTCCTCGGGCTGCTGGCTGTGGTGTGGCTGCTGAGGATGAGGAAGCCGGCCGAGGTGTCCAAGGGCTGGCATTTTTGGACGAAGCAGGTACGAATACGACCGCAATACACCTTGATTGACCTTGCATTATCCCCGTCTGCACGAGAATGAAAAAGGAAGAGAGCATGTGCGCTGACAACTTTGTGCCTGACAGAGCCTTCTCGCCCTCGTTATCGCCGATTTCGCCGCTCAGCTCGTCATCCAGATCATCAACTACCCTCACATATGGTTCGGCGACTTCAGAGTGTGGACGACCGTTGTCACTATAGGGTCTCTTGCTGTCATATTCTCGATACAATGGCTCGAACACGCGAGATTGCGGAACGCGAACGGCGTCGTCCTCTTCTACTGGCTGTTCCTGCTTATAGCTCTGGCGGTCAAGCTGCGATCCCTCATCTCGCAGCAGGTCTACGTCTCGAACCTGGCATACTTCGTGACGTACTGCGTGGGGTTTGGGCTCTCGGTGTTTGCGTTCCTTGTGGAGTGGCAGTGGCCGAAGCAAAGCAATCAGTACGAGGCTCTTGTCGACGAGGAGGAGTGCCCGGCTGAGTATGCGACGGTGTTCTCGCGGCTCACTTTCTCGTGGATGACGCCGCTCATGAAGTTTGGCTACTCGAATTATCTCACCGAGGAGGACCTATGGGGGCTGCAGAAGAGCGATACTACTAGAGCGACTGGCTCGGCCTTCGAGACAGCATGGAAACACCAGTTGGAGCACCGCGAGCGCCCGTCGCTCTGGATCGCGCTGTTTCATGCGTATGGAGGCCCGTATGCGCTCGCTGGCGTGTTCAAGATGATGAACGATATATCCGCGTTTGTTCAACCGCAGCTGTTGAGGTTCCTTATTGCCTTTGTCGACTCATACACTCCGGGCAAGGAGCCAGAGCCCGTGATCAAGGGTGCTTCTATCGCACTGGCTATGTTCGCCGTCGCTGTATTCCAGACCAGCATGATTCACCAATACTTCCAGGGCACGTTCGTCACAGGCATGCGGATCAAGGCTGGTCTGACTTCTTCTATATATCGCAAGGCCTTGAAGCTATCTAACGAGGGCCGCGCATCCAAGTCGACAGGCGACATCGTGAACTACATGGCCGTGGATGCTCAACGTTTGCAGGACCTGGCGCAGTTTGCCCAGCAGGTGTGGTCTGCGCCTTTCCAGATCACCATCTGCATGATCTCGCTGTATCAGCTGGTGGGCTGGTCAATGATGGCTGGTGTTGGCGTCATGCTCGCAATGGTGCCCCTGAACGGCATCGTAGCTCGCTTCATGAAAAAATTGCAGAAAGAGCAGATGAAGAACAAGGACACCAGAAGCCGTCTAATTGCCGAGATTGTGGCCATGATGAAGTCCATCAAGCTGTACAGTTGGGGAGCTGCCTTTATGAACAAGCTCAATTATGTCCGGAACGAGCAGGAGTTGAAGACCCTCCGCAAGATAGGAGCTGCGCAGGCAGTTGCCAACTTCACTTGGAGCACAACCCCTTTCCTTGTGTCGTGTATTACGTTCACAGTGTTCGTGCTCACTCACAAGCAGCCCCTGACGACGGACATTGTTTTCCCGGCTCTGGCACTCTTCAACCTGCTCTCTTTCCCACTCGCAGTCTTCCCTATGGTGATATCATCGATCGTGGAGGCTACTGTAGCTGTGGGTCGCTTGACCGCATACCTGACTGCGGAAGAGCTGCAGCCTGATGCTATCTCATGGAAGCCAGCTGCTGAAGAGGCCGGTGAGGAGACCATCTCAGTCCAAGACGGCACTTTCTCGTGGGACCGCCACAATGAGGACAAGAACGCTCTTCAGGACATCACATTCTCCGCAAGCAAGGGAGAGCTGTCCTGCATTGTCGGTAGGGTAGGAAACGGCAAGTCGTCGTTCCTGCAGAGCCTGATAGGGGACCTGTACAAGGTGAAGGGCAGTGTCACCGTCCACGGCGCAGTCGCGTACGTCGCCCAGACGCCTTGGATCATGAATGCCACCGTGAAGGAGAACATTGTCTTTGGCTATCGGTACGACTCAAATTTCTACGAAAAGACAGTCAAGGCGTGCGCGCTGCTTGATGACTTCAACGTCCTTCCGGACGGGGACGAAACTGTTGTGGGAGAGCGAGGCATTTCTCTGTCCGGTGGGCAAAAGGCCCGTGTTGCTCTGGCCCGCGCCGTGTATGCGCGGTCCGATGTGTACCTCCTGGATGACGTTCTTTCTGCGGTAGACGCCCATGTTGGGCGTCATATCATTGATAATGTTCTCGGTCCCAAAGGCCTGCTGTCTTCAAAGACACGTGTATTGGCTACCAACGCAATCCCTGTTCTGGCTGAGGCTGACTACATTGTCATGCTGCGAGATGGCAAAATTGTTGAACAAGGGACTCTGCAGCAGCTAGTAGCCATGCGTGGCCTCGTCGCAGACATTTACAAGTCTGCCGGTCAAGACTCGGGCTCTTCAACGCCGGGGCCAGCCACTGCCGACAGCCCCGGTAATGCCTCCTTTGACAGTGAGATTTCCTCGATTGAAGACAACCAGGAGAAGGACGAGATGGAAGAAGCACAAGAAGGGCTTGGAACTCTCGAGGCTATTCGTCCAGGGCCACGCCAAGGCAAGGTGAACGGACGCTCCGATAGCATGGCAACTCTGAGAAGGGCCAGCACTGCCAGTTTCCGTGGCCCTCGGGGCAAGCTGACCGACGAAGAAGCCGCACCCAGCAAGACCCGGCAGGCCAAAGAGCACAGTGAGCAAGGCAAGGTGAAGTGGTCTGTCTACGGCGAATACGCGAAAATGAACGACCCCTTGGCTGTCGCTGTGTACCTGATCGCGTTGCTGGCCGCCCAGACCGCCTCGATTGGAGGCAACTTCTGGCTGAAGGATTGGGCCGATACCAATTCCCGTGCTGGTGCCAACAATGACGTTGGAAAATATATCGGCATCTACTTTGCCTTCGGAATTGGCTCCTCCAGTCTGACAGTGGTGCAAACACTGATCCTGTGGATCTTCTGCTCTATTGAGGCCTCACGAAAACTGCATGAACGTATGGCGAAGGCCATCTTCAGAAGCCCCATGTCATTCTTTGACACGACACCCGCGGGCCGGATCTTGAACAGATTCTCGTCTGATATTTACCGAGTGGACGAGGTACTGGCAAGAACCTTCAACATGCTCTTCGTGAATGTGGCCAAGTCAGGTTTCACGCTAGCTGTTGTGTCTTTCACGACGCCTGCCTTCATCGCCGTGATTTTACCGATGGGCGCCATGTACCTCTGGATCCAGAAGTACTACCTGAGAACTTCTCGAGAGCTCAAGCGGCTGGACAGTGTCAGCCGCAGCCCGATCTACGCCCACTTCCAAGAGTCACTAGGCGGCATTTCCACCATTCGTGCATACCGTCAGCAACAGCGATTCGAGCGTGAGAATGAGTGGCGCGTAGATTCCAATCTAAAGGCTTTCTTCCCATCCATCAGCGCCAACAGATGGTTGGCTATTCGCCTCGAGTTCATCGGCGCCGTGGTCATCCTCGCAGCCGCAGGATTCGCCATCATCTCTGTCGTGAGCCACAGTGGCCTGAGCCCTGGTATGGTCGGTCTGGCCATGTCATATGCTCTGCAGATTACGACCTCCCTCAACTGGATAGTGCGCCAGACCGTCGAGGTCGAGACGAACATCGTTTCCGTCGAACGAGTGCTGGAATACGCCAGGCTCCCCAGTGAGGCACCTGAGATCAACCCTAACAAGCGGCCGCCCGCTGCCTGGCCCGCTTCCGGTACCATCTCCTTCAACAACTACAGTGCTAGGTACCGCGAGGGTTTAGACCTTGTTCTAAAGAACATCAAGCTTGACATCAAGTCGCATGAGAAGATTGGGGTTGTCGGTCGCACTGGGGCCGGCAAGTCTAGCCTAACGCTTGCCTTGTTCCGCATAATCGAGGCGGCCAGCGGCAATATATCGATCGACGGCATGAACACATCCAGTATTGGTCTACTAGATCTGCGACGTCGCTTGGCGATAATACCTCAAGATGCTGCTCTCTTCGAAGGGACGGTCAGGGATAATCTGGACCCAGGACATGTACATGATGTAAGCCACTACAATTCTCGTGTCCACGGCATCCCATTGCCCAGAAAGGCGAATCCGCCCCAAGTATTTGGACGGATTCGGAATCGCCACTCCAAGCCCCCTAACACGATTGACACTTTTCGAACCCTTTCCGGCCACGAGATCATGAGTACTGATTCAGATGCTGCAGGATACCGAGCTGTGGAGCGTTCTCGAGGTAAGCCGTTACACGGAAGGCATTCTCTCCAATAGCCCTGCCACATGGCAGAAAACGTTTATGCAGTGGCGCCTCGGTCTGCTAGGCTGTGTGATCTTCTACTGACCGTGTCACTACTAGCACGCCCGACTGAAAGCCCATGTTAGCCAGATGGACGGCGGCCTTGAAGCACGGATACAGGAAGCAGGTGAGTCCACAACCATACAAATAGATCAGATCCCCTTCGCTTTCCGTCGGCCCTTTCGTGCACCCTGCCTCGCACAGCATCATCGCTTGTAACAGCGGTCTGGATCCTCTGCTCCATGTTGGCACATACGAGTATGTGGTGGGTCGATGGCTAGTGGCCAGCCCGGCGGTGTCTTTGGGTGCGAGTTTCTGGGCGGGTGGCTGGATGGCAATCGCTGTCACCTCTCATCTACAGCTTCCTCTTGAGCCAAAAGAGGAAGTGCCTGCATGATCTCCATTACATGCAGGAAACTCTGGTCTCGTGGCCATCCACACACTTTTAGGCTCGCTCGCCCCCTTCGCTTTCACTCCAGCCAGACGCTGCCCGTCATGCCTTGCACCCTCACGTGGCACACGCCTGGTCACACACGTCCGGCTGGACAAGGCCGGTCGTACACGGCCTGGTTGGACATGCTCGATCTGGCTCGTATTACAGCCGGCAACGTCTTACCCACCCCAATCTTTTAGCCGACGATGTGCTCGCAGACCCTACCCGCTCTTTCGCTTCCCTTCCCTCCCCTCCCTCCTCGCCCCCCGTCTTACATCATCGCCTCCATCCTTGAGTAACGAGCGGGAAAACTCGCGCGGAAATTCCAACACGCTCTGGAAACAACGACGTGTGTGATGGTGATGATCATGAAGGCTGACCACCGCTCTTTCTCTTTCCCCCACGTACAGGCTCGAACCTCTCACAAGGCCAGCGGCAACTCGTGTCCCTGGCGCGTGCTATGCTCACGCCCTCGAACATCCTGATCCTGGACGAGGCCACGGCCGCGGTGGACGTCGAGACGGACGCCATGCTGCAGCAGACGCTGCGCAGCCCGCTGTTCGCCAACCGCACCATCATCACGGTCGCGCACCGCATCAACACCATCCTCGACAGCGACAGGGTCGTCGTCCTCGACAAGGGCGAGGTCGCCGAGTTCGGGACACCTCAGGACCTCATCGCCCGCAGGGGAGTCTTCTACTCGCTCGTCAGGCAGGCCGGGTTGGACAAGGATGCGGAGGAGTGAGCATCTTGGGACTCGGCTAGGTAGGGTCCCATCGCCTCGGGCCTAGGCCGGTATAAAAGATGGTGTTGTTGTTGGTGGTATTGGTGTTGGTGTTGGTGGTGTCGTGGTTTTCCTGGCATTTGGCCGGGCAAAAAGGGTGAGCGAAGCATGCATGAAACCGGCAGGCAGCGGGTCAAGGCATTTTTTGATTTCATGTAGTTACACAGAGACGACCTGCTCTGACCATATAAAAGTCCCCAACAAGGCCATCTCAGATCTCGGATGGGCAATTCACAATCTCGGCAGGCATGTGGGGGCAGGTGTGGTGTGCAGGGACGGTGAGACGAGTGTGTCGATGTGTTGTTGGTGGTACATAGTTCTTACCACCAAGATCCCGTGACGGGTGGTTGGCGGAACGCCCTCTACCACGGTGTGTCGGTGTGTGGATGGCAGCCATGATAGGCGAGAAAAAGAGAAAGAGGCGGCCCAAAAAGAAAGCAGGCTCGCTAGGATGAGACTTCTCCAGTGACCTACCAGGGACGTTGTGTAACCGCACCACCATCGAGAACGTGTCTGCGTGCGTAAGCAGTGGCTTGCCTACTGAAGAAGGAGCATTAAAAAGGAAAAGAAAAAGGAAAAAAACACAGGGTGAGGGGCGCGACAACACAGCCCCCCCCCCCTTCCCCGTCCCATGCGGGAGGCGGAAGAAGCAAGTGTCGGAACTTGCGGATGTAGCAGCTACCGAATGACTATGCTCGCCTTGAATGCTGTTGGTGCCTTTTCCCCCTACATCCTTCCCGTCCAAGACAAGCCGGGGCGCGAGGGGATGTCGGTGGTTGAGATCTCCCTGGGGGGATCTGTAGCTGATGTGCCCCGGGACATCTTTTCTTTTTCGTCGCCTCCGAAACAAAAACCCAATCTCCCTGATCCTCTGTGGCTTAATCCACACGGGAGGGAGACATGAGCTGTCACCCACAGTTTGGATCTCGCGGTCTCGCCAGGAAAAGAAGGTCTGCTTCTCGCACACACCAACCCAGCAGCAATCGCGGGAGACCGGGGGGCGGCTCCCGCGCAGCAAGGGGCCCCTCCCCCGAGCCCGTTGGGAAAATAATCCCGGGGGCATTTCCCTGGTTCATGGACGTGCGGCACAGCTCCTTTCTGACAGCACAGATCCACCTCTCGGAAATGCACAGGAGGGGGCCGAGGGGAGGGGAACCATTTACCTCTTTGCATGTACAATGTCCTCAGAGTGACGGAGCCCCCAGTGGTTTTTGGGTTGCTCCTGTTGTTTCTGGCCTGGTGCCGGCTGTCTAATTTCTTGCGATGGGGCCTGCATCCCGTATTTCGCCTCACTCATTGATGAGTTCACCGCACATCATGGCCACGCACTGAGGGCGAGGGCGAAATGAGCTACTCATCTCTGTACTATGCTGTAGCGGGGTCATCGGATTATTGGATGCTTAGACGTAGTGGCGTATTCGGTTGAGAATACCTTGGGTCAAAACCCACAAAGAATGTCCCTGAAGCGGAAGCGCTGCATGTGAGATCAAGCTCTTCCCAAATCCATCCTTGCGCTGTGTAGCAACGGCGTTCAGATCTTACACCCACATTCCGACCTCGACTCACGGACTGTGAATCGCAATCGCCAAAGGCCAAGCCAGGTTGCCAGGAATGCCGCGTAGAGCAGAGCATGAACGTGAGAGAGCAAAACACCAAATCACATGAAAAACATCAATTGCAAACAGGCAACCGAGCCAATGCCCTCGTTAGCATTGCCGCGGAGGACTGAAGCGCCCACAAAAGAGGGCCAGAAGGATCAGCGGTGGTCCACCAAGTGACGGGCAACTCTAAACGAGGTGTTCGAACAAGATCCCACGAGATATTCAACGCTCCTGGGAAGGCTGATCTGCACGGGTCTCCTGGGCTATATGTGCATATAGAATTAATAGCAGACCACTTTAAACCGTTGGTGTGTACCGATATAGGATGTTTGAGAGACGTCGGAGGACTCCATGTGATGGGTTGTTTTCACAGGGAATTTCCGTCCAGGGCGTGCAGATCCGTGCAGAAGGATTCGACAGCGAATCGCGCAGCTTTCTGAACAAGACTTCGGGGGTCGTTGCGGTCCCGAGTCGCGATGCTGAGGCCTGAGCTGGCAGGCCGTACTGTATTGAGCGCGACTTGGCGGGTTGGTACCCTAGGTGAGACTGCCGGCGGTAGGCATTGACACGAGCGGCAGTCAAGCACCACCTGATTCGCCCGTCGTACAGGTGGGGGGTCTCTTCCTTTGCCTGACACCTGTACACATTGGCTGAGTGAGCCAGTGAGTCTCGATGGTGGGAGCACGCATGTGCTGACACCCCCGAAGTCGCGAGCACGGCGGGAACCATTGGAGCTCCTGCTGACCATCGACCTTGCCAGCGAACATGACTAGAATTACTTAGTCGCGTGACACGGCATGTGTTTCTCGCGCCGATCTCCGGACTGTGCAGGCCGTCGATGCTGCAGTCATACATGGCGGGAGGGGGGGTGGGATGCACAAGATTTCAAAACGGGGTTATGGCTGTTTCCTTGGCGTGGCATTGCAGGCAGACCTCTGGGCACTGTTCGCCTTGCTCGTTGCATTTTTATGGGAAGGCATGCATCAAACACGGCCCGAGCGTGTGAGAGTTGCTAGTTGTAGGCAGCTAGCTGCACGGAAAATAGCACGGCAGTCGAATTCCTCTTAGAGCAGTCTAAGGCAGTGGATCTCTTCACCAGCGCACAATAAGCAAGAGCTGTAACAGCTGCGCCTAAGCTGGCTTGAACTGCAATGTTCGGGAAGTTGGTGTGGTCTCACATTCACTGGTCGCGGTGTTCTCCCGGCTGCCAGGGAGTGCCATGACACCTAGGCTTGACTGAGCCGCGGCCCGTGAAGGTGGGAATAGGGGCTTCACCGCCGACGGTTCCTCTAAATTTGGTGGGAGACGTCTGGCAAGACCGCCATTTGCCTTGGCGCTCGATCAGGACATGGCTTTCGCAGCAGTCCACGTTCAGTATGCCGCGCCCGGCGTCGAACTGTGCCCGGCAGGCACACAGGCCACGGCATCATCCTTTCCCGGACAAGTGCTTGTTTATTGACAGCAGGTCTCCATTCGAACCGTTAGAATGATCCTGGACGCCCTGGCCAGGCCCCGAACGGTCTCCGCAGTGGAACACAGGGCCGTTCTTCACGGAGGCTGGACCAAGTCTCCCGCTTGATTGGCCCGGTGGTCTCACGGCCAAATTGTCGTTACCAAGGAACCACGTGTAATCATAATGATCAGTACTTTCTCGATCTGGGGCCATCATTCAGGGTCAACGTCCCAAATTGCATCAAGGGAGGGGGTTGCACGCCACCTGGACAATTCGGCCGGTCTGTACAGCCGGAATGTCGAGCGACTGTCACTTGGCTTCCTCTCAGTTGAATTATCCAAAAGCAAGCGGAAAATTTGCGCCGTTGCGTCTTACACAAGACGACCTTGCGCAGTGACACATTGTTCCTCAGAGCCAGCTAGTTTGGGGTGTGCTGCATTCCCGTCGAATGAGGTGTCATTGACATGTATCGAATCAAAGTCGCATTAAACGCTGGCTCACCATAATCCGGGTTATTTCAACCAGTGAGGAACATTTCTGGAAGGGGCACAACATAGCTGGGTGCACTTGCATGCGACCCATCAATGTTGGGTCGTTGATGGATGGCAGGCAAGCGGGCAAGAGTTACATCGTGAGCTGTGGTTCGTGATGAAACCATGGTTCCAGCGCAATTCCGGCAGTGGGTGGGTGGACCACTACCACCCAAAACAGTATCCGGCTGCTGGAGGGTCAGAGACGTTGCTGTTGCTTGTACTCTCTGTTCTTGCGGTGCAATGAACATTCGGATGAGAAAGGAGACACAGGCCTGCCCCACCTCGAGTCAGGCAAGGGACTCGCGGAGCAGAATGCAACCTTGCGAAGAAGTGGTACTCTCGCTGAGAGTTTCCGGATCTCGAGAGAGGCTCCACGGCTTTCATGACGGTGTGCTGATAGTGTTGTCAAGACGTGTTGTCGGGACGAAGGGATTAGCCTCGAACGTCGGTGAGCTTATGTGAATCCCTGTTCCTTGACTCTGTCAATGCTTCCCGCTCTTGACAGGAAATGTGGGGCCTGAGCTGCCTTTGGACTCTCCTGCACCCTGGAGCTCCAACCAGGATGGCTGCCCTTGGCCATCCGAGCTTTCACACCGACGATCACCAAGCCGTGCGGACACCAGAGCTCTATGCAAGCCACGATGTACCCTTCAGTAGCTTGTGGGCCTTTGAGCAGCCTGAGACCCTGTTGGCTCCGTACGAGAATGGCTTTCTCAATGTTGTCTCTCGGGTGGCGGAATCTCTACCGAGCGGGCAAACCAGAGTAACAATAGGATGGAGATCAAAAGCCACGCGACGGAGGGTATCACGCCATTATGCGAGTTAGCCAATTTGCGGGAGCAACGGTTGATCATCACCGCTGGAGCCTCCTTGTGAACTAGGCTTGAAATGGGATTGGACTGATGGCTGACCTCGTATGAGCCCATTGCCTCCCTCATTCGAAACGTTAGAAATAGGAGACACATTTGCTATGGGGTACGCGTTTGTGATATCCACGATTTTGACTCGATCTTTGGAGAACATGAGGCAAGAGTTTTTGTAGGGTCTGTCGCTCTGTGCAATTGAGATCATCGAGGTCAGCTCTGAGCCGAGAACCTCTGCAGCCGCTGGTAGGTGTGTGCATTTGGGGCGGCTGCACAACGAACCCGAATTCATGGATCCGAGATTATGCATACCATAACTTTGACGAGAAAAGCTCACCTGTATGCTCGATTTGCCAGCGGACGGTAAGTAGTAAGCCACTACTGCCATCCCCATCTGTCTGAGGTGGTGAGGATGACAAAGCTGTATCCGAGTCGTAGTAGTACATTCTGGAAGTCGATCCGGCTCTGGGGAAGTGTTGAATTGAGATCGTTCAGATGTGAGAGCTATAAT